GTCGAGCATGAATTGTATTATCAATGTCCCAGTAATGGTCGTAAGTAAATCGGTATATGAACTTGATCAGTGGTTCCCAAATTTGTTTCGCGACCATAATTTTCGTAAAAAAATGCAGATTTATGCGACTCCACAACAAGAAAAGTAAAGCAATTTAAAAACAGTAAATTCTATTGCATCATAATTAAAATAAAACCAACACGTTATCGCGTCACAATGATTCATAAATGTTAACTCGTAGCATAATTTCAAATCAATCTCTGGCGATATTTCAAAGTGAAAAAGGAACTATCGGAATGTAGTATGTAAGAAATATTCACACATGTCCCAATGTGCCTGTACCTGTTTCATTAATTAAAGTGATTGATTTCATTTGACTTGCTTCAACACCTACAAACATAAAGACAAACCCAAGCTTTGTAGAATACCAATTGAGCAACTATAGATCACTTACTCTCTGTGGTAGTGCATTCTTTCAGAAACACTCGTTTTAAAATAAATGATAACCACTAAACTTAATATTTAATAGAAAATTATTTCAAAAATAAAATAGATCACATACGCTACCAATGATAGCAGTATGAGGCTATTCTGCTGCTTACTAAAATCCAGCTATTCGAATAGATCTTAGAAAATAAAGGTTCCGTGCTTATCAGCCGGTTTCGGCCAGGGTCAAGTTCTCTGCCCACGAATATGTTCCACATTATGACAACATACCATCACTCACCCATTTTCATATTTTAGACGAACAAGCTTTTCCTTTGTCGGTAAGGTCTGAGATTTCCGAGAAAAAGCCATTTGTGGCGGTTAACAAAACGATTAAAATAATATTTTTTTCTATAATACTATATATATCTAATAGTGAGAATCATTCTCAATTAGGGAAAATAGTTGTCAATTATTTAAAATAGTTGACGCTTATCACGTATTTTTTAATTACATGATGTGATCAAACTTGAAACTCGCAGATCTTCAAATTGAGATCAAAAAACTTTCAATAATGAAAAAAGTCATTGATTGGACCATTGTTACTTTATATGCAACAAAGTACAAGAGATAAATTAGCTCAATTAATCTATATCATTGGTTCCCGAACTGTGGGTCCCGACCCCGAGTAAGGTTGCCAAACTTGAGCTGAACGTGCAATACTTCGCGGCGCACAAGTCACTAGGATTTGACTGCTGGGAAATGAAATTTGTTCTGGTCGGGTAGTATTAAACGCGATTGAGTGATACTGTTACGAGCGCTTTGCCGAGCTTTTTTTTATAGCTTTGCCGAGTATGTTACATTCCGTCGTACTAATTTGGCAGCCTTTCTCCATGCAGCTAAACAGCAATGCTAGTTTTGGGTTGACTTCAGTTTACATGTTAAGATGAGATTTGAAAGAGTTTTCAAAAACGCACAGACGATATGCAGGCGCAGTCATGCATTAAATTTTGTTTAGTTAAAGCATTTGGCTATAAAATAAAAGTTGAGTAAAGTGCACAATTCATGATATATGTTATAATACATTATACCATACATTGTTCCTGTAATCATACGCATGAAATACTACTATTTCTCGCTTATACGCAGGATGAGAAGTGGCACGGAAACAATACCGCTGCATCGTTAGTCAAAAATAGTTGACATGGAATGACGCAAAAAATTATGTGAATCCATGGATGCTAATCTGGCGACTGTCGGAATTAGAGATCCGATGATTTTTAATTATCAATTCCAGAATTTTCTACAATAAATGGTGAAAACATGTGGGTCGGACTAACTTTCGCTAAAGAAGAAGGTGCGTGAATGTGGATTGATGGCGTCGCATCTACAGCCAGCAACACTCCTTCATATGCTAGCTAATCTGACAGAAATTGTACGTGCATGGAAAGTCTTCATAACTTCTTTGACTGATCATAAATGGCAGTTCTCAGATGATTGCACGTGTTGGTCAACATATCGAACTTCGTGTGAGCTACCAGCACATCGATTTGTTTAAATATACACAAAAAAAATGAGAATCTGGCCTTTTTGGCAATCAGAGATTTTTATTTGGAATGAAATATTCATAAAACCTAAATGTTTTTATTCATTTGTTGATATATATTTTGCACAGTGTTATTCAAGTCAAAGACATATTTCTGGTAAAAATAAAGTAACATCAAATATAGCGGGGCATACTCCTTTGGCTATATATATATTCAATTTTAATACGAGCTGTTCATTAAAAAGTTTTTATACTTTGCTAGCCAAGGAATATAGATTGGAATAGTCTGCCAACTTTATAAGCGCAAGGTGGGTAAAACATATCCTGATTATAAATGGATGTAATTCTGTAATTATATACAACGCCGTGCACTAGTACAGCTTTTTAGGGGTATGTATGTGGAATCGGAATGGCTCATCCGCGGTCCTGTCAAAAACCGTATACCCCGCAAAATCACAAGTGCGGAGCTGTTTATGAAACGGTAGGAAGGGAAGTCAACGCCCTTGTTTTGGCAATGTTTTAGTTTCTCAAAAAGAAAAAAAGATTAACAAGAATAATCAATGTCAGGAGTATTGAATGTATCCTCAACTGAAATATCAGAGATTGTTACATATTATCAGATTGTTTATTATACTAATGAAAAGGGCTCATTTTAAGGCAGAGATTTGTTAAATATTATCCATAGCACATTTTCATTATACTACCTCTGATGGCCCGTATTTATTGCATTATAGAAAAACATAACTCAAAAAGCCCTAAAATGAATAAGTGAATGGCAAATGGGACATTAAAATAATAATTTTCGTGTTTGGCTGAAGAAGCACAACAATGCAAGACAGAGCAAATTTTTTGTTTACTACAGGAACGATGGAAAAAAATATAGTGCTTGACATATATATTTAAAAGACGAGACTCAATTGAATAATTGATGTTATTTTTTAATATTTCCAAACATCAATTCGATTCATACGCCATATGAACGCAAATATGTTGTTGTGTGTCTTCATCATCTCCCTTTTATCATTCCCCTTTTTTGAATACAATTTTTACAAAGGTTTATCTACATTATTGATATGTTTTAAAAAAAGATCCCAAGTCAGTAGGTAGGGGAAAGTGGGGAAGGTTGGGACACTTTTTTTCTTTTGCATATTTTGAGCCGTTAATTCTGCATATTCTCTTAAGTTTGCGGGACTAATGCATAGAGGGGTAAATGTAGTTTTTATTCAGCAACAAAGAAATTCCCTTGCGACACACATCTTACTACCAAAATGCTTTGAAAAACGTCTGTCAAGTGTCCCACTGTACCCCACTTGTGGGGCACAATCGGACAGACCCTGGGGCACAATGGGTCAGTCTGTCAAAATTCAACGAAGTATGCCCTTAAAAAGAAGCAATTAATCAGCATAATCGTCTAAAGTGCGGGGAGACTTCGAATTTGAAGATTTAATATTTTTAAAATCAATGTTCAACTGAAATAGTTCAGATATTTTGACAAAACATTTTGCAAAAAAATTTGATTATTTCCTTCCTCGAATCTAAATCTGGAAATATTATTGATTCTCGAATATATTCCATATTGAGCCATGGGTCGAAAGAAACCATTATAATACACAATATATAACGCATCTCTAAGTCTCTAAGCACTTATTGTATCAAACACTGTCGAATTGTGCCCTGTAGAGCATGTCCCACTGAACCCCGGTCCATTGTTCCCCATAGGAAACAAATACTTTCAGACCATCCCACGGCAAAATTCGGAAGGCACAGCCAATCGCTAACGTTAGGAATATTGTACAGTGGACTGACGCTAAAGAATATCAGACGATGGTTTGTCTCGTTGGAAAGGCTAAACTAAAAAAAAGAAAAAACTGGAACGGTGAAATTTTTTTTTCAACCTCCCAAAACCAATTTCACCCCATAGCTTGCGCCGCTCTACCCGTCCGTTGTCCGTTCGCGGGGACGTTGTAACTCACTGAGGGCGGATTGGAACATCGAGCCGCGGACAGGATTGCGGATATAGTATCAGTGTGATAGCTGATTTTCCACTGTGCCCCATGTCCCAACGTACCCCACCTTCCCCTATATTATTTCTTAACAGTTGTACAGGACATAGGTCGTACTTTCTCTTCTGTTTCTTTCTTCTGAAACAGTTTCTTTTCCATGAGGGTGTCTCTTGTGTAAATCTGTACCTATGGTAGTAATTGAGGCGAATACCAGCATTAAAATTCCATATAAACCTTTTTTCGGTTTTGGCATGCAGATCAGATCAATTCGACTAAGTGATCGTTCACCGAAAGTTACTTGTAACCCGTTGTACTATACCAGCTGGTAAATCAACTGAAAGCAAGAAACTTGTATAAAACCAATAGATTTGTTAAGCCCAGCAATAAGTTTGTCTAGTACCAATAATCCGACTTGATCATCGACCAATGAAGCAATTACAAATAAAGAAAAACTACGTGCAAATTGGCGGCTATTTTTACGTTAAATTACGTTATTTTAATTGGCAAAATAGAAATTTTTGATGTGCATTTGTGATTGGATACTGCTTGTTTGTAAAAATTGAGGAAATAAAGCGGCTGTAACAGCAATCTTTTGTTTAAATAAGCTGAACGGCATTCAAAGCCAAGTAAAAATTGAAGAAGTGCTTCACATATTTTTCCATTTTACATAACTGTAATTTTCTATTGCCGCTAGCAATTGTTTTGTAATAACATCTTAGAGGTTGACGTAAATACGATCTGACTGTTTACATAGTTTATCTAAAATCAGCAGAAGTTATCTCCACTATGACTCATTAAAGCTACATTGTACAGTTTACTTAGTCAGAAACGAGATATATTATGTTATACAGAAACAAGTATGGAACAATAATTAGGTAGCTAATAGTAAGCAATACAAAAACGAGAAGCGTCCACTGGATTTAGTTGCAAATCATTAAAATTATATAAAAAAATTGTATTGATTTAATATCCTCATTCCATCATTCATTTCTTGACTTTTCCTGTTTTTTTTTATTTTTTGTGAGACAAACGAGAGAAATTTGGTTAAAAATACATAAATAATTAAATTCCACATATTTGCCAGAAAAATCATTTAATTGATGACCATTGTTTTCAAGCAATCGTAGAAATAACAATGATTGTAATTTTTTCGATACTTGTGATCGCTTTGAACTCTGAGGGTAAGTAGATCTATGTTTTCCTTGATTTATTTCAAGCTATGTTTAAATAGATGCTTAAATATATTAACTATGACGCTTAAAAATGATCCCTGTGTAAGATGTGCAGAATCGATGCTGTTTAATGGCAACCAAAAGTATTCCAGTGTGGTTTCACGTTCACGTCGCTCACGGCATTTTTCCACGTATCTGAAACAAATAATTAGTCAGCTATTCACATACCAGTATTAGTAACCTGTCTATGCACTGTGTGAATAAATTGTCCTATCACTTTTGATTTTCTTCGGGATTTACAGAAACTTATTCAATTTTCTTACTCCATGGTGCCATGACCTATAATTTTTGTGGCTCATATACTTTACAGTGTTAACATTTTATCTGACAAATTTTTGTAACATTAATTTCTATATATTAAAGAAATCCCTTGGTAATAGATACCGTGAATTTGGGCTTATTCAATAAAATATGTACACGCTTTTACATACCTTCTCGCTTTATACATGAACACGTGATCATCTATCCGTACATTTCTTTTAGGAGTGGAATCTAATAATGCTGCTGGCATTACCTCTGAACCAATATCGGATGATGTATTCGACCCTAGTACGTGTGGAGAAATAAATCTAAAGGAAACTTCAGGTTGGATCACTAGTCCTCGATATCCCAACAAATATGTTCAGAACACATTTTGTGAATGGATAATAAATGCAAAACCAGACCATGTTGTAGAAATAAAATTCCATGATTTTGAACTTGGAAACAAAAACAATCTTGATGATTATGTTTTGGTGAGTCGATATTTTCTTTTAATCTGAATACAAATGCAAATGATCGCGACAGATAGTGACAATGGGCGGGCAAAAATGCTTCGTTTAGTGAAGAACCGTGAGAGTTACAGAGGAGTTGTGACCCGGTAACTCAAAGAACAAACGGAAAAATATTGCTATTTGCAACAAATTAGGTCATAGCAAATGTTCGAATGCGGTCGCATAAGCGAAGTAAACACTGTAATTTATGACGTGCCCAGAGGATTAAAAACAAATTTTAAAGACTTTTTCCGCTTTTCTTCAATGTTTTATAATTACTAAATTCAATTCTGTTGTTACTTGTTCCATGTACTTTTCGTTTTCACGACTTTCTGAATATAGTGGTATCAATTGCCGCATGATTACTATTATCAATACCGACAAAATGAAAATTCTGATATAATATTGCAATACGGTGCTTGATTTGTGATGCAAGTATTTTGATACGATTAGTAACGCATGCAATTTTTCAGATTTACGAAGAAGTTAATGACGAGGACGGGGGAAGCCCCACAAAATACTTTGACGGTTCCTTGACATTGAACCCAAATATGAGTGTTACTTACAGATCAAAATCTAATTTTGTAATTGTTCAATTTTCAAGCGGAAGCAGAATGAATTTTAAAGGATTTAATGCATCTTATCGCAGTAAGTAAAGTAAAAACAAATGCATCGATAGAATAAGAATAATGGGAATGTGTTGTAGTGTGTGATCAGTATAGTCTGTAAAAGTGTGATAACTTCTGAGCCTTGGGAGTTCTCTTGAATCCAAGAAATCCATCATTACTTTTTGTCAAATGATGTACATTCCCACACTTTCTTATCAAGCTTAGACTGTTTTACTAAAAATATTGTCGAATTTGACGAATCGTGTTTTCACAAACTATCTAAATTTTGTAACATTGCGTCGCATTTGAATATATATATCAAGTGCTTCTTGTTAGACGCAAACACAAAAGCACAGAAAACAATACAGATGAGTAGCAAATGTACACAATTTCTAAATGTGTGCCAGTGTTATTAAATAGTATTGAATCTTTGACCTCAATAATATTTTAAACTTTTCATTTTTTGCGTCATCTGATTTGTGAACGCTAAATCGGGTTAATTCAGATAAGTAATAAACGACATTCGATTTTCTCATCATAAATTGGTCGAATATGCTTTATACTTGTATATATAAATATATATATCTGATTTGGCAAATATGAATCTTGAATACGAACCTTCTATCGTAGCATAGCGTGATCTACAAAGTTGGTGACTTGCTGTCCTTACCTAGTACCTTGATATTACACAACTGAAAGTATTTTTTTACATTACATGTTATGACACGTATTGCGACAAGGACTCTTTGGCTGCTGACGGGGCCATAGATTTGGACTTCACATTTTGTAACAGGGGAACAAACAGAAAAAACTTTTACAAGCAGTGTTACGTTTGGTGTAACAGCAAATATATGTTGTCGTCAAACTCTACAAAAGTCGTATGCCAAGATGGTTCATTTCAACCACAAAATGTTTGCGATTTGATACCATACAAAGTTACAGAATGCGAGAATACGAATCTGGTACGTTCTTTATTCGTCTATTAATAGCTGATACGATAAGCAACCTGCATCTGCAATAAGTAACTGGTTAATTATACACATACCCGACACGGACCGTTATACTGGCAATAGAGCACGGGCCGCCATATGATTAGGTCGCCTGATCGGGTTTCCTCTCCCCGGGATAAATACGAAAATCCCAATATCATACGTTTATCGCATTGAAAAGAAAAGAAATTTTAGTGTTAACAACAAGTCTGCATTCCCACACCTGACAAAATCATGAAATTATTCATTTCTCCGTAAACACACATTTTACCTGAACACAATAACATGCAACATAATCAGACCGAATCATTGACTATAGCCAAACTTAATTGGACAGTCCATTGCCGCTAAACGATAATAAGTGATTACAACACAAAAACAATAATGTAATAATGACAGGATATAAACAAAAGAATCCAACATGTAGCACTCTGCAACAGGAATAACTAAACTAAATTCGGACCTCTTGAAGTATGTGCACCAAGATGGCGCACAACCTGAACATAGTATATGTACAAGGTTAGGGTTCAAGTTGTGCGCCATCTTGGTGCACATACTTCGGGAGCGCCCTAAATTCTTATAACAACTGTATTAAATACAAGAGATAATTCATGAGTCTGACTTGATTATTTAATTGTTTAAAATAATTGACTCCTTATATTTTTAGAAAAACTGTCCTTACGTTCCAAAGGAACTTGCAGATTATTGGAGAAGAAAAGAGCCATTGGGTCCCGATGATGCAGAAGGGGTAGATTTCGACCTGTTTCCGGATATAGAGGTATCTGTAATGTGTTATGACAGGGTGGACCAAACTGCGACCCGCCGACACATTCCGTGCGGCCCGCATAACAATTTTGGCGTACACTACTAAGCCATTGGCAGATATTTGTATTTATAAGCTGAGTAATTTTGATTTATTTTTAAACTATTCCAACTGGGAATAGTGCTTTTCCTGATCCCGATGTCGGGATTGATGTTAGTTAAAATAAACGTCGAGACGGGGCTATATGTGAATGACGTCCTGTGATCGGTAAAAGGAGAATGAATTGTCTTGTGCAGAAAGACCAAGCCGATGAAATGAGCTTGCGTTAAGTAACTCCTCATTTGAAAAGACGTTTCGTGCCTTTATTTTAGTCAAAGCACTCCTCTATTTTCAAGCGTTGGCCATTGACAGCAGTGACGAACTGCAGAGTAGACTTAGCGCCGCGCAATCCAGTTTTTCATTTATCTGAGTACGAGGTCCCAAGTTAGACGGACTTGGTTGTTATTTGATGGTAGCACTAGGCCTGCTCACGCTACAAGATATAAATTCATCATGCAATATGAGTGTAGAAAAAAAGGTGACCGAAGTAAACTGAGAGTAAACGTAAACTCACAACAACGTTAAACCACAGTGTCTGATGTGTTTTCAAGTAATATCTGTTACAAAATAATATAATTTTAAGCGACATTACACAACCAAACACGAGAAAATACCGCGGGAAGCAATTTTGAAATAACTAAAGACATTATATAGTTTCCTTTGAAAATTGATTAGAACGACAAACTCTTATTTTTAAATATATTTAAAGTGAGTAAACTATATTTTGATCACTTTTGGGTTTTCTCCGACTGCGGCCCGCGATACCTCCTCAAAAGTTTTTGCGGCCCTATGAACTCGCAACTTTGGACCACCCTGTGTAATGATATTTAAATATGCTGTTCTACAACTTGAAACAGGGCTCTATTCGCAAATGTCACAAATCTATACTCATGCTTATTACATGCCACACGACATTAATTTCTAACAGCGTGTATAACATGATATTTTAAAATACTCCTATAGAAAAAATTCAAGTTTATGAACGTAATTATTGTGGACATAATATTCAGTTGATAAAATTAGCGAGCCCATGAATTTTATTATGACTCAAATGAAGTTTACCACTTCAAACATCACAACTCAAAGATATGTCACTAAATTTATACATCCTAAACTAGTTAATAATTTAATTTTAAGAAAAAAGCTACTGGTTCAAGAAGCATACGTGGCCAATTCATAGAAACAAGTTGCATTGACAAATTGATTGGATACAGTTATTGCAGAAGAAAGCCAAACAAAAAATTTGCTTTCAAATGTAACGTTTTTACCAAGATTCCCAAACTGAAACCAGCAATAGGTAAAGTGACGAATTTATTCAGAAAATCTTTTTTACTTAAAAAATTTCATTGTGAAACACCAATATTTTAGAAACCTTGTTTGTTTCATTTAACTCCAACTCAACCGGATCTTGAAGTCTGGCAAGACATAAATTTTCAGAAATTTCGTTTGTTCCATGCAACTCCAACCGGATCTTAAAGTTTTTTCTTATATTGCAGGGGTCAACAAAATGGATGCGTGCTTCAAATGTCGTGCTATTCAATGCACCGCTACGATATATCTTGGATAATGCATGGTAATGAAGTTCATGCTTCATAGAAATGAAATAAAATAATTTTTTTCTGGATTTTTCTGTTTATAACTCATGACGTTATTGTTGCGTTTGTTACTTTTTTACCATGTGGTGGTTACCGCATTACCGCGGTGGTTATTTGAAGACGAGAAGAATATTTGAAGTCTTTCATTTGCTCGGCATGCATGTGGAGCTTGGCTGTCTCTCCTGTTTTTGCTTTACTATCATAAGAGCTTAAATTTATACACGATTTGTTCATTGAAGGCCGTTGTGACCCACATCTGAAACGGAAACTTTTTTCGAGGTTATCAACTTTTAATTCGCTTGAGGATATTAAAAAGACGTCCGCGAATTAATGATTAGATTACTTATAGAATGGACGTGTGTTAAGAGAAGTATATAAGGAAATTGTATAAGGAAAAGTAAAATTGAGAATAGACGGCGCATTTAGTTGTTTGATTATGATGAGAGCAGCAGTATTCATTCATTAAGAGGTGCTGTAATAACTTTTGCAATATTGCTCGCAATATTTTGCGAGCTGCAATACCACACAATAGGTTGGCTCGTTTAAGTACGCTGAAGTTTAATGATGAATTTAAGAGCTTTTTTATACAGCAGTCACGAATTGAACAGATACTGAAGCGGGCTCACGTAGACAGAAGTGCCCGTGTCAGCCATGAATATCAAAATCTACATTAGGAGTAAATAAATATGTTGTAGCCATGACTCTGACTTTGCATACTCCTGTACATAACCATAAGATAACGAAAAGCAATGAAACTAGAAAAAGAGCGACATCCATTCCCGCAACCTTATCGTTTAATTCTAAGCCTAGATTACTACTTCAAATTTAAGTAAGTATTGAACTTACGGCTGTGATATATAATGATATTATGATTGAGGTCAGATACAAATTATACTCGGTAACCGCATCTTGGGTTATGAGATGGAAACGCGGTGATCTGCGTAGAAACCGGGACCACAAGCGCAAAGCGTGTCCATTGAAGAGTAGGCCTACTACAGCCTGAATCTTGCATGGACTAAATTTAGTGACAAATTATAATTAGAATGATTCCTTAGAAAGAGAGCAATGCTCAAATGTGGACTCAAAAGTCAAATGTCGCAGTACCGGTAGATTATGCGATTTACACCAAACTGGGGCTGAGCGGCGCTCGCAAAACCCAGGACAATGGCGTAGCCGTCAAGCTTGACGGAATTCATTTTTGAAAATGAGGTAATTTCGTCCCGAAGTTAAGCAATCTGGTGTAGACATTTGACATTTGTGTTGTAAAATGTGAGCTTATCTTTTTAGTTTGATCAATTTAAAACAAGCACGGCCACCATAGCCTGAGCATGGGTCTGTATAAAATGGCGGAATGACCTAACGGAATGCCACATGGAAGGGGAATATACGTAAAAAGAGGTAAAGTATCGAGCCCGCAGGACTCAAGAAAATGGGAATGTGACAAAAATTCAAGCGATCTCACTCCTTCATATACAATATCATCGTTTGAGGTAATCTATTTTAAACTATGACAGGTATAAAATTTTATACACTGTATATGAACAAAACATAATAACATTATCAGTCGCCGCAAGCAATGTCACAGGAAAGCTTCCATATATGACCTCAAAATCTATATAATTAATGAATGAAAACTCTGACGTTTCAGAAATACTTGTTTAAAAATAGAATTAGTTTACATAGATTCGTTGTTAGGACGCATTTAGCCAATATAGTAATAAGATTGGCTGACAAACAGATATAAAGGAAAATTCGTGGATGTGGAAATGTCGATTTATCGCTTGAAATTGTCGACCAAATTGAACTGTTTATATACAGATTCAATTTGACAAGAAAATATATGATTCTACGTTGATTTTGACGCTTTGAAGTTAGTTATAATGAATATTCTCAATATGGGATACGAAATGCTTAATACTTGAAGGGGGATAAGAAATTTGATCAAATTTGAGGATTTCACGCTAAAAAAATTCAGTAATTTAAATTCGCCAAGTTGATTAGAAATGATCGTCTACATTTTGTATTCTACAGGTCAAATTGTAAATTTTCAACTCAAAATGCATAAAATAATATTGATATTTCTAGCGTCCTACCTAATCGCAACAGTGGAAGGTGAGTAAAATTTATTATTTTTTGTATTCGTTTTTAGTTACTAGACACACAACAAAGAACCGTAGAGAATTACGTTTCAACTTGACCAAAGATAGATAGATTCACAGTTCCACGACCACTATACCCATTGAGACGCAAAACAGCAGTTATTTATGACAGAGGACTCCCAGATAAAGAATGATCCAAACAGAATTTAAACGAAGCTGCTGGTAAAATGAAAATTGAATTTTCTGTTTGTTGAGTATTCGGTACCTATGGCAATACAAAAAACGCAAGCGATATTAACACTTTTGGGCATAAATTTCGCTTTTGTTGACGTATAGGCAAGTAGTGTTACTGATCAAAAATACAATAGTAAATAATGTTCAGTACTAGATAAAAATGAAATATATCGGAATACGCATCAATGGTAATACTTTATCTCCTACCATAGCTGTTTTTATCAAAATGTGAAAGACTTGAAGACATAGGAATGTGACGTTTTTGCCAACGGCAATTATATTCACGAAAATATTTTATATAATCAGAGAAAATAGCTAGACACGTTTTAGTCATAGATAATTGTCAGTGACTCATTATCTTTGATGCTATTTTCCAAGATTATGTCAGAGGACGATGTAGTATTTATTATCATCATTACCAGCTATATCAACGTAAAAACACATTTTATCACGTCACAAAGAATTTTCAAACAGCCATTCAAACAAATATTTTGTCAGAGTCGTAAATTACACTCCCAATAACTAATATTGTGTTGAAACAGGACTCTTTTATATACTCAGCCAGACAGCGCAGCGAATTTAAAATAAAAATTTGATAAATCTTCAACTCCGAGCTGGTTCGAACTCTCATCTGCTGTGACGAGTAAAGAAATTTAGGCACTGATGACAGCTTACGAAATGTAGGCAACCAAATATCGACTCCAGACTGTTGCTTTGCCAACCTTTCTATATTCCAATACAAACATTGGAAATCTAAATCCGGTGTTGATTAACAAAAAATGTCCGTTTTAGGCCTGGATCGAGTTTCGCAGTCCCGCAGTAATTTTCTATGACACATTGAATTTATTAAACTCGTTTCTTATTATTTACAACACAATTCTAAAAGAGGGAATATTTCAAAATATTTAATTGAAACTCTACCTCCAATTCAGGAGACGACTCCAGCAGTACGACTTCAATCTCTGAAGATTTGTTAGATCAAGACGAATGCGGAGTTTCTCATTTAACTGCCAGCTCCGGCCAGTTTACCAGTCCACGATATCCCAAAACGTATCGAGCAAACGGTTTATGCGAATGGATTATAGAAGTAGAAGAAGATCATGTTATCGAAATTAAATTTGATGATATTGAACTAGGAAATAATAAATATCTTGATGATTACGTATTGGTACGTTTGTCATATTTTATCACATTTGTCATGATTTGATAAAGGGGGTTAACGGAATTTAATAAATTTGAATCAGGAAAAATTTTCAGATCATTTGAAGTAATCAATTTTGTATCATTATCAATTGTTGAATTGAATTGAATTATTTTAATTGGTGAATGCTTTTAAATTCTGAATTATTTCAGAATTTCAATTTGGTTCATTCCTGCCATATGTCAAAATATCTGTTCCCGATGATAATGATTATAAACTAGCAAATTCGAGTAGCTATTTTTCACTTACGATGATACTGGAATCTAATATCCAATGCTAAATTTAATATTCTTATATAATTATGTATTATTAATAAATCGTATATAAATTTTGCAGATATATGAAATGGAGGAAAACGGAGACCAAGTAGAAAAATATTTTAAAGGTTCAATGACAATAAATCCTAACATGAGCCTCACTTACACATCAAAATCGAACTATGTTATTGTCTTGTTTTGGAGCGATGGGAGTTATAATTTCAAAGGATTTAATGCTTCTTACCGTAGTAAGTGTTTCAGTAAGTTTTAATTTGCTTGTGATCATCAAAGTTGCCCGCTATAAATTTATAAGAAACCCAATGAACAAGGAGGATGCGTATTATCGTCAACACGATATGCGAGTGGGTGAAATTATCTGTTAATCAATACCATTGTATTTGAGAAAAAAAAATTTTTTTTGAATGAGATGCATGATTAGGTAAGATTGAGAAAACAAAATAAACATTTTTTTTACTTTACTTTTATGTTGGGACACTCTTTGCGACAAGGAATCGTTGGCGATTGACGGGACTGTCAATCTGATGTTCACGCACTGTATTGGGGAAAAAACAAGAAAATATTTCTACTCAACCTGTTACTTGTGGTGCAACACCAACTATATGTTATCAGGATTCTCCACCAAAGTTACCTGTGAAAATGGCTCTTTTCGTCCAAATCATGTCTGCGATCTGATACCGTATAAAGTTGATGAATGTGAGAACACAAACCTGGTCAGTCAATGAACTTTTTTGTCTTAATTTTTTAGCCACTCATTCATGACTCACCCATCCTTTGGCGTCCCTTGAGAATGAGCCAACTACGATAACTGCTATCAGTAAGCAATAATCGTACGTATCGGGAAATAAAATAACAGAATACCATATATACCTTATATGTCATTTCAATAAGGTACATATGATTCTTCAATTCCTCAATTGAATCGGTGTGTTTTTGAACTCAGTACCTAATATATGTGTAAAAACGTGCGTTTTTAAACAGAAATACGAAAAAACTCTTAGAGTACAATAGCTTTTGTTGAAATGTGACAAAAATCGTCAAAATCTATGAGGATCTCTACCACCGATCGTTTCGTATCTGTACGTAGTGCGAATCAATTGAGTTTGTCCATTATTGTAAATCCATTTTAATTAATCTGGCAACGTCTTTTTATTTGCAAGGATACATGCCTGTACGACCCTGATCAACTGGCAGATTATTGGAGAAGAAAGGAACCTCCCATAGATCCAGACCAAATTGATGACGTCGACTTTGACTCATTTCCTCAGATTATCGTAAGATTTTTCGAAATGGCTTTCATTGTTTGCTGTTTTGAGTTGAGAATTTTCTTTGCCAATAAAACGCTATAACTACATAACGAGATAGCGATCGGAGACCGCCGACTTATCGATCTTCCGCGAAAAAATTAATTAAGAGCTCGCTAATTATAAAAAAAAATAAAAATTGAAAATTAATTCAGTAATTAATTAATAACTCGCTAATTATACGATATAATTCATTCAAAATCAAAGGGCTTCTGGTCCGAGATATGATGAATGCACATGCAAAATTATTAGCAGATTCAACCTCGCTTTCGTGAGATATCGCGTAACATACGAAAATGTCTAACAGACAGACAGACAGACAGACAAATAAACAAATATCTATCAACATACTTACCGATTAGGATTGATAAGTAATAATAACAAACTTAAATCTATTTTACATTGGGAAATAAATTCGACGAAAGTGGTTAATGGATTTATGTGATTATGATTAACAGCTCTGAATATATATTTTAATTATAATTACCCTGTAATAATGTTTCACATAATACAGGATGTAATGACTTTGAATCTATGTTTTATATAATTCTCATTTCTTATTTTATATCCAGCATATTGAACAATACTAAAGCGTAAAATGTACATTTTTTTTAATTGTACACTTAGAACGTTTGTTGTAAACGGGCCTTAGCACATGCTGTGCGATATACTAAACTAATTGGGCTTTAGTGGTGAGAGTGATAGCTGTATAGCTCATTTGCCGTATAACTAAAATGAAGCCTTATCCACAAACTACGCAATCATAATGAAGATGTGAACCCGCATACGACCACTACCAATCAAAACCATTTTGTATATACATTCTATTCTAAGTAATCGCAACTTTTTTCTTATACAGTCAATTGTTGCTGGAAGAACAACCAGTACTGAAGTGAGCTGCATTGACAAGTTAATAGGATTCAGCTATTGTGCCAGAAAGAAAAAAACCAAGAAATTTGCATTCAACTGCAAGGCGTTCACTAAATTTCCACCGAAAAAACTCAGCAAAAAAAATGGTAAATTTTGAAAAAAAAGATAAATAAAATGTATATGCAACCATAATTTATTTTCTTGACTCATACCAAGATTATTATCGTTGAATACCGAATTTAATTTATGTACTTGACGCTGTAATGCACAATTTTACTTTATAGTTAAGAAGCCTAGACTTAGATTTTATAGCTGAACGTTCTTAACATTTTAAATGTGCCTTCAACTCACATATAAATTTTATTGACTTGAACTTAGTCGAGTCTCTCGTCAATCGGTATTTGCAGGCAGCACCATAAATCTATATAATTTCAGCAACACTTGGCAATCCTGTGGTCATTCCTACTTTTGCTCAAGGAGTCTCCTTCACTTCTGAATAAGTGCGCTTGACATTGCATGTAGTAATTCTCTTCAAAAATAAATTGCGTGTTCGCATTCTTCACTTTTCGAATATTTGATCTACTATTTTATAGCAAAATCAACTCTAATAACCCACGAATAATTAGTAATATTAGATGTTACCATAATTTAAAAAAAAAAAAATAATAATAAAATGCTCATGCTTATACGCTTATTTTTTTTCAACAAGAAATTTATCAGATTCACTTATGGATCCTGAAAAGCAAAAATAATTGCGATATTGTGTCAAAACAGCTGTTAAACAAAGAACACATATTACGCCACACTGCAAAAGTGTTAATTACCGATGGTTAATCGTGTTGCGCAATCTGTGACGTCAGTCCCGTTTCATTTTAGCCGCACCTCGGTATAATAGCAAATAGTTGGTAGCAGATGCTGGGAATTGTTGTGAACCATTAAACTTGACACGACAAAATTGACAAAGTTCAAAAGTTTTCAACATTTCAATGAATTTTGTGAAAACTTTCATATGCATATTATGTTTAACAAACTGATTTGTTTTCAGCCGAAAAGAAAATGAACGCTTGTTTCAAGTGTCGAGCCATTGACTGCACAGCAACCGTGTATATCTAGTTGCTGCTTCTTGAAGTTATTTTCAACGTCAAATTGTGTCACTTTCTGAACCTCAAAAAAACTTTTTGTCGTTTTTTTGTTCCTATATCCGAAATACTTTGATACATCTCTACAACACACAAAAAAATGGTTTCCGTCTTTTTGTTTTTTGGTGTATGAGTCTTAAAAATTTTAAATAATAAAAGACAACCAAGAAATGAGCATTTTGATGAAATACAGGTACCAGACATTGAGTAGTAGATTATGTTTCTGCCCAAAAGAACAACGGCAGAACCTATTTAGAAAACTAGTGATGGTTTCAATCATTTGATAGGGTTGATCATTTAACAATCAAAAGTTGTACGGTTTGAGTTCTCTCACTGTCTGCAGTCCAGTCCAATCTGACGTCAGAGAGACACTCGGAGAACTACGGGTCAGTGGTGACGTAACTGCATAATTGCATAATGCCCTTGGTTTCGATATATATGGCAAATAGACAAAATTGCTCACGGTCATCCTTTTAGGATAGATAGTCACATTCAGTCAGAGCTGATGACTAATGATATTCAATTGGTGCGCCATTATAATCTTTGACCTTATTTCGGACTTCCAAATTACATGTTCTCTCCCGGGCGATGGACGTTTAGTTTTGAGTAGAAGAAGAGTTTAAGGTATATAATAGTCGTAGTCGAGATTTTATTCAACCGGAGTTGGAGTTTCAGACACCACAAGTAAAGCCTGAATCGAAATTCACTACTCCGTTCAAAATTTCCAGAAAAAGACTTGCCAGTCTTACAGTTTCCAATACATAATGTTTTTTTTTTCGGAGCTGGAGTCGAAGTGTGAATTTTTTTAATCCGGAGTCATTATGGTTCAGAGTTGTAATAGGATTTTTGAAAAGACTAGGAGTGTTATAGCAAACATCCCCGACACACTGACATAAGCGGACAACCTCCAAGTTTGATGAGGTTGCCTGTGCAACAGTTCAAACAAGTTCAACTTAGTGGAAAGTTATGGTACATATCCGAAATAAACGCGTCAAAATCGTTTGAATGTTGATGCGTTATTTCACTTACCTATACTGTGCTATGTTCGATTTAGCTTCAAGACTCCAAAAATAGGTCTGTCTCTCAGAAAATATTTAAATATTATATATAGAAAAAAGATATATCCGTTCAGCGAAATATTCTCAGAAACAATATACCAATTGCGCTGCTATCAACTTCGAGTAAATAAAAGTGAATTTATATGTAACTGGAATTCCACGCAAACAAAATCAGTCAGCAAAAAAGAGTTTTTCACTTTTTAATACAAATAATGGATTGACATGCCGCATCGACGCATTGTACCGTACATTCACGGTAAACAATGATGTAAAGAAATATTCGATTCCACGTCTTTTTGCAAGAATTTAAAATTATATAATTATTCAAAAAATTACATAAATGCAAATTATAGGGATATCTCGTTGTGACGCAAAATCATAATTATATATAAATTATATTTCAAAAGCAAAGTAGGGCCACCCGCCCAGAGCAATGTTACTATCACGTGTGTAACATTTTTGAGACTGGGCCTAATAGAGATTAAATTTGTTGCCGAGATAGGTTTCGCATTGACTGCCAAAGCGATTTTTCATTGATACTTCACTTCTTGTTAGGTTTCGAGCAGATTATTCCAAGGTTGTTCGAGTAAATTTATTTTATGGAACAATGTTGTAAGTCAGTCCAGGTCGGAAATTGGGTTTGAAACGAGTCATCGAAACGAGTAGTTTTTTTGGAGTAAAAAGAAATTTTATGAAACTATTTTGAAATTGCTTCAGGACTTCATGCAGAGTATAGTTTTTCAAAGTGGGTTTTTTAATATAAAGTAAACCTGCATAGTCATTACTTTGTTCTTCGTTTTATTTTCGAAATTATTCTTGTCCTGCCTTGTGAGTATATGACACATCTCTATATATATAAAAAAAATATATATATAAAAAACTTTCGACAAATTGCAGACAGAAAATCTGTATTTTGAAAATAAACAAAATTAAATCATGGGCATATAAAATAAATATCTATAAAGTTAAATTAACGGTTTAAAAAGTATTAACTATAATCTAAACATAGATAATGTCTTTTAACACGGCATAATCCCGCCTTTGTTTGACATTTATCCAACGATGGCTAGTTTGAAAAGAAATAGGTTATTTTGACTTGGGATAAAATTGGAAAAAAGTCGCTATAGTATGCAAAATATGATAATCGTGTTTTTTTGTATCACTTGAATATTGATGGAAGTGCGATCATGCACTTGCACTTTCGTATCATGTGATTGATAGTGTAATGCCTCGTAACAGGAACGCAAACTGTTACATCGTTGTCAGGTGTATACAGATCACAATCCAAAAATAAAGTGACGCAGTTAGGTACTTTACCCTGTAAATTATATATTTTTTGTAATTGTACAGAAATTAAAACTTGATGAAATTACATTTTACATTTGCATTTTTGGCTCATGTGATTGATGAATAATTGTGTTACAAGAACCCATTGGGAAAGCTTATAAAAGGAGGTATTCCTGTGATTGCTTTCACACTGGCACAAACCTAACTCTTCTGAAGTCGTGTTGCGATACGAAAACATAATGTGTGTATGTGTGAAGCACCAGACACCTGGAATTTCAATTTATTCTTATAAATTTCACATAAAAAACTTTGACTCATTTTTATCACACAGTTAATATTTATTGTTATAACTTTATAGCATTTATAGTGCGAATATAAAAAATTCCTGTTTTTCCATCAAGCGATAAGATGAAGTATATATGGATTTATATCTGTTTACTTTCTTGTTTCTATGCCTCAGCGGAAGGTGAGTGATAACTACGAAAGAATGATTTTTATCAAAAAACAAGCGAATCCAATCAAAAATAATATCAGATATTTAATATGTTTTGTTCTTTAACCTAAAATTTAATTATGAGTAAAATATGAGTAAATTTTTCAATTTTTTTTCAGACAATTTTGACCATGTTGAAGCAAATTTTGGAGACTTTATTCCTCCATCTCTGCCGGTGGACCCAGATGACGTATTCGTGGATTCGAGTAGTTGTGGAGGAATGTTTTTAGACAGAGTATCAGGACAATTCACTTCACCGTTTTATCCTAATGATTATCCAAATAATACAATTTGTGAATGGGTGATAGAAGTGGAAGTTGGCCATATAATTGAAATCAAATTTGAAGATTTTAACGTCGGGATTTCTGGAGAAGATATAAATGATTACGTCATGGTAATATTTTATTTCGTTAATGATCATTATAATTATCTTTTGAGCAGGTCAAAATTGCTTCTCTAGTTCGCCTCCAACTTGGCGTCACGCTTTTTGACTTTTTTACACCTTGATTTTAACTTTTATATGATTTTATTTTCTTATGGGCAAAATTGTAATGATCATATACCTGGAAATAAAAAATCCACTGTGATATATGCGGTTTAAATAGAAAGTTTTTACACTATATTCATAATCTCGCTTAAAGTTGTTCGTTTTACTAGAATTGAATCTGAAATACTTTAATCGGTACTTTCAATTTTTTTCACAGTTTTTCATCTTTTGAACTCAAAAAATAATGATGTTAAAACATATTTTGAGCAACAAAATACTTGAACAAATTTAGAATATTAGTTTTCAAACCTTATTTCATTTCTGATTGTTGCGCAAATTTCGTCAACTTTCCAAATATGTTTCATAAACCGTCGTTGCACTAGACAAAATGATTATAATCGGTTAATTTTAATAAGTTTTCAAATCAATGTCTACAGATATTTGAGAGCAACGAAGATACTAAGGAACAGTACTTTTATGGTCAGCAAACTGGCGCCGTATATAGATCAAAATCGAATTTTGTTGTTGTTCAGTTTTTCAGCGATGACATTGATAATTTCAGAGGATTCAAAGCAACGTTTGATAGTAAGTCTATTTTATCGGTATAATATGCTTATACTCAATGAAATAGTAAACATTTTCACAAACTCCTCCACACTCAAACTTTATATTGCCACGACCCACAGTTTTTAGTTAATTGTGTGAAACTAATTTATACATGAAATGGTATCTATGAAAGAAGATCACCAATAACTCATCTTATAAAACTTTTTTCTAAAATGTTTGCTGGTTTGTTATTGCAGTATCCCATGAAGGGGGTCACCAATCACCCCTCGATCTGAAATTGGCTTAGATACGAAGTCTTCCTTTTTTCAAGCCAAAAGAATATTGTGTTAGATTTAAAATAAACACATAACCCAGCACTCGTATCCTTATGAAATAAGGAATTATTTATCTGTAAATACAAATGAATTTTTCCATATAAAACGAGTTTTTACCTAAAAGCATCTCACTCAAAATTTGGTTGTAGAATAGTTGCCTGAATTATGATGCCATGATATCTTTACCAACCGAGTTCGATGTAAAAAAAATAGATCAGATTATAGGATAACCATATCGTGGATGAATTTATCCAAGTATCTAAAATGCGTTTTTTAGGTTGGAATGCTATTGAATATTGCGACAAATATTCCCTTGGATTTGGACAAACCGTTAACACGGAGAAAACAAAGTGTAGAGACGAGAACAAAAATGATTTCTATAAGAGATGTTACGTTTCTTGCAATCCCAACTATATTCTGTCGAAAAGTTCAAAAGTTGATTGCGTAAACGGGAAATTTATACCTGAGAACGTTTGTGAACTTGTTGCTTGGGAAGTTGAACTTTGTGAAATTACAAATTTTGTAAGTTATATAATCAAATTTTAAAAGTATTGCTCGTAGACTGAGACAAGGCGTCGAAAATGTGCATTGCTATAATCATTTGGATATTCTAACGAACAAATTTAATCGAAAGATATTGTGTTAAGGCATGTGGTTTAACATTTGAGGCTAACTAGAACCCTCAGTAAATCTTCTTATTACTAATTAGTAATTACTAACTATTAGTCAGATTCATATGTTAAATTAATTTTATTAATTTAAATTAAATTAATGCAATTTATTTTTATTCAAATGATTAATTTTAGGCTTACTGTTTATACAACACCGGTGAACTTACTGAGTTCTGGCTGAGAAAAGAATCAAGGTATTTGCAAGGAGTTGAAGCAGATCCCGTGGAAATTAATTTGGACATATTTCCAGATCCGACGGGAGTAGACATTCATGTATGATTGAACATTTACTACTTATTGTTTTTTTTTAATATTTTGTATTCAAACATGGCTTTGGAGAAGAATTGACCCAAGTTAAGCAAGCTTGTCGACACAACTCTTGGTGTGAAATATTTCATTCCTCCAAATAATATTTCCAGCAAAATCCTGTTTTGTATAAACATCCACCAATACGCATAGAACTATAATATTTGGGAAAGAGTAACAAATCTTACGTTTATAAATAGTTATTCTAAATTTCTTCACATAAGTTGAACATCGTGTTATGGCTTCAAAATAGTTAGGACTCGCTGACTAACCGGCCGACCATGAGTTTTGTGCTGAGGTTCTCATTTTTACGAAAACAGTTCGTTATCTTGATTAGGAAGGAAATGATGTTTTTTTTGACAAAAATTTCATTCTTTTTTCCTCGTTTTATAGACTGGACGAGTTCCAGATGGTGGTACAGCCGTAAACAAACCTACGCCGTGTAAAGACAATTTGTTGAAGTACAGTTATTGTGTGAGGAAATTGAATACCGATTATCTTTTTAACTGCAAAGCGTTTCTGAAGATAAAGAAATTGAAGGAAGAAGTTGGTGAGTGTGTAATATTAATTATACACAATATTTTTAAAATAATACAAAACAGAAAAAATATCTCTCGTGTAACATCATGCAAGATAGGTTGGTAGAACAGGTTGGTACTGGGATACTGACTATTTACAATATTTACATGAAAGCAATGCTCAAATATATGGACATTAATGTCGCCAATAGGTACCGGTACGGTAAGGCTTTTTAGAGCATCGAGTGTTCTGAAATGACCTACATGCGAGACGGGTTAATGTGTTTCTATATCTACAGAAAAAAGATTCCTATAAATCAAAATAAAACTGTATCGGGTCACATATGACTCAATGGAAAATTAAATAAAAAGGAAAAGTAATAACATTCAAGCGCCTTCAACCATCTTTTTAAGTACTGAAACGATTTGCCTATTGCTTGTTGAGAAAAGCAACAACAACAACAACAACTTGTTAAAACTACTCATATTTATTTTAATAAACTCAACTCCATCAATATCAAACCAAGTTCAACTAGCATTAGATGACTCACTAATTTGGTCGCTTATTCACCATTACTCATCACAATTTAAATTTGTAGATAAACGTAAAAACAAGCTTCTAATATTTTTCTCGCTATGTCAAACTCTTGATTCCGTGAATAGTAAATGTTTCATATCGTGTTATTTGAAACGCATACTGTAAATGAATAAACATCTATTGCAAAACTTGTAGCATCCTGGCAGTCTTTGCTGCTCTATAGCATGAATCTTAATAAATCAATAATATTTTGTAATTTTTCAGCAAAAAGAAAAGTGAAGGCGTGTTTTGAGTGTAGGGCAGTCGATTGCTCTGTTCCAGTTTACATATAAAAGCTTATGATGATGATTTTCACAAGGAGGACTAATAAAACGTACAAAATGGAGTAACCATTCTGTTATAAACCGGTGCAACTTTCTATGTACTATTTTTCCTGCTTACCTCAATAAACAACGTAATGCGTCGTAAACAAACACTGAAAAATAGTATGGTTTCAATTTTTACTATACCTAATAGTGAGCACTTTGCTCACCTCTGGGTTCTAAGCCTTATCACATTCCCAAGATGGGAGAAACTGAATAACCCATGTTATACGCGGAGCATTCCTTGCCTTCCACACCCAATAGTTTCTACAGTAAGTAGTAATGATAGCAGAAATGGCATTAAATATATTTTTCTTTTTTTTTTATTTCATTAGATTGCATTGTAATTCTGTAATCATGATTGGACTTGTATATTCTTGTCTATTGTCTTCATATCATATATTGTATATTATTGGCGTTATATTGAATAACTTATGTGTACAGTTAACAATGGTAGTTATTATTATTAATATTCTAATTTATGAATAAATCAGTTATTTTTTTAAAGTAAATGAATAATTAATAAATGATGAATTATTGATTTTACTTTGTGTGTGATGTGTGCATAGTATAAAAGGTTTTGCTACAGGAATATATATAAAAAATAAAAAAAAAGATATTCTTGAGATAACGCATAAGCGAGACGATGTCGCTTTAGATTGAAATATCGTATGTCATAAAAATTCTCTTCTTAACCACGAATGCAATATCCCATTACGTATATTTATATCATTGTCCTATTTCTTGACCCCAATTTGACTATAAGTGGTTTTATCAGAAGAATCTTTAAACCGAATTCTATCATAAGCTGAAATATCATTGTCAGTAATATAATTGTTTTCGTTTACTATGTTTTTTATGAATATCATTTTTTTCGTGGTCTACCATGGCCTATAAATTCTAATGAATTCGCATATATTTTGGCAAATATTTAAATAAAAGCGCCACAATGTGCATTAATTGAATTGACCATCATGGACAATATCATTAAACTATACTGTAAAGCGTATTCCCGATAAAATGCACCACGGACGTATATGAAAAGAGAATGATGCCATAACAATTCAGCGCAATGGTAAATTTTAGGGATTTGTAACTCGAAAGCGAAACAAGTGTTCCAGGTTATAACCTTTGAAACTGAACTCAAAAGTGCTGAGGTACACAGAATAACAATGATATAACATATTACCTCATTATTGTGAAAGTAAAACAAAAAGCATCAGATAAGTTGTGATAAGGTGCGTTGTTTGAGCTAATTTCAATTTAGCATCTGACGTACGTTGAGGACGAAATGTTTTGCGACGTCGCTAGCTGGTGTCAAAATATGCCTTACATAGAACACACCCGGACGCTTATGGTGACGATGATGAAATGGTACGTATTACGTGTCGTGGATCTCAGTTCTGATAGGTGACAAACGACAAGTGGTTCACATTATTGATACATTTTGTTTTATTCACTTTTTTGTTGTTAAGTATACATCAAAATAGTGTTGGAAACCAATTTTATCATGCATTCAGAACGATTAGCAATGTACAGATACATGAACACGATTCACAGTGATGGTCAGTAATATCTTATTAATTTACATCATCAATTTGTCCCCTTTTGAATATGCAGTACTTGTCATGTTCCTATAAGTACACGAGGGATATTAATGGTTATCTGTAGATGGTCGTACGTGTTTATGCCCTTTGATCCCTAATTCGCCGTAATGAATAATTAGAATATCATCACTTAAGTCTAAGTTGTTTAAAATAATATATATTTAGGATAAAACAAAACCAATGCAAGCGTATATACGATAATAATATCAAATATATAAAAATAATTCGGCTCTTTGAGAAATTAATTATTGAAAATTTGGAAGCGTCAAATTGTCCAGAATAAGTCCAGTTTTAAGTATAAAAGCGATTTTGTCAACAATAAGAACGACAGAAAATTAGCAATATAAGGAACGTTAACTCAAAGTGGTCAATTTTTGTGTGAAATTCTGCAATTTCTATAATAAGTGTGGTGGTAACGTGAAGTCTTACTGATGTAGCAATTAAAACCGCTTCATTTTGTGCTAATATGAAAGCATCCCATGTTGAATTGTTCCGACACAGTTTCCGGTCAAATACGAATATACTTTTAACTAATATATTTAAGAATTCCGTCCAATTTATGCATAGTTGTAGGTAGGTGAGACTCGATAAGTATACTATCCGTGTCAACAAAACATATTGCAATACCACGTATACTACAAAATTACAGTTAGTTTTACATACTTTCAGTTGATTCACAATTGCACCAATTGGTCATTTTTATCAATTTTTTAGAAAACTATAAAAGTGGAAATTACCGACAAAAATTTTCGTGACGTCATGACCCAAATTTACTTCAAAAGAAACCAGATAATTGCATTCTCCCGAGAAACTAACTGACACGAGATATCTCGATCGATCGCAAATCATCAAATTAAAAATTGTCGACATTAGTTGTTGCAGACAAGTCGCCTTGAGCAATCTCATTTATAAAGCTTATATTTAGCTAAGCCCTTCATGAAGTATTTTCGGAAACAGCTTATTTCGAATACCTTGACATACTTACCAGGAGTTTACTAGTTTCGACCCAAATAGTAAATAAATGCAGGAAGGTTTAGACAAGTTTTTTAAAAACACGTTAGTATATAGGTCAGATTTCTTACGCTGAACAGAAATGTGAGGAAGTCGTTCATCCAGAATAATAGGGCGCAAGGTTTAGCGTTATGATATTTTGCATGGCAGGTAGTCTGAAATTCAAAATGAATCACAGTAGTGCTGTTGGTTAGAATTATCGATGGTTACAAACTAGTCTCTGAATTCTTTTTGGAAAAGAAAAGGCAAATGGATATTAGTCCTCAATTTATTGCATTCCAATTGAAAGGATGCATTTTTGTTCGTTAATTGTGGGTTCAAATATATATTACTAATAATCTAATGTAATTGTTGCTGTTTCAGCTTACAACAGTAAAATAGTAAAATTAGCAAAACTTATTTAACCAAAATGGAGTTGAATGTATGGATTTGTATTTTAGCTATTTTTTGTGCTCACGTGATCGCCCAAGGTAATTTAATATTTATCACGGATACAGTTGCTTCAGGCTCTATATGGTATTCTGCCTTTTTTGTTTTTTCTAGTTTCGACTTTTTGTTGTTAGTATGTATACGGAAGTTGTTCGATATTCATTTGGGACGTGTCGAAATCTTCTAAATTTAATAAATATTTGACTAAATATTCACGAAAATATCTGTCACACGGATACGATAAAGAAAATCAAACGCCACTGCAAAATATATTGTCACGACGGCCTCATTACAGCAACATCACCCGGCAAAAAGCTTCTTGGTGATAAGTTACACCACATCCTCAAAATCCAGGCAACTACAAATATAAACTCAAAGTTCACTGACGATAACAACATTTTAGCAAAACGATTTATGAATTTAATTTGCGCTCAAAACTGCCAGGAGTCACCGTCGCAAAATGATTGATCCAATATTCTGATCCCTTGAAATGTAGTGCAACTGTTATGAATAATACTATTGATAATATTTTTATATTATATATTTTTTAATTTTTATTTATGTTCAGATTCATTCATCGAAGCAAATTTGGATGTTTCGCCATTCGATTTTGAAGTGGACATTTGCGGGGAATCATTTATGACAGCCCCATCGGGACGTTTCACTAGTCCGTTGTTCCCTGCTAATTATCCAGCAGATATGCTATGTGAATGGGTAATTGAGGTTGAAGCTGGTAACATAGTCGAAATCAAATTTGACAATTTTCAAGTTGGAGAGCCTGGCGGAGAAATGACCGATTACATTATGGTAAGTGAGGCTGTAATATTTGAGTTTCAGTGCGTCTCTGGAATAGACACCTTCTCTCTTTATACCTCTCACTTTCTTTCGCTCTCAGTCGCTCCCGTGTCAGCAATTTTTTGTGTTTGAAAACATGGCTTGGAAACTAATCGATATTATAATACGGTATACGAATCGTTATATTACTTCGTGATTTCTTGAGAATCTGAAATTGAAACTGCTCAGTTCATTAGGTCATTAATCACAAAAGTTGCATAATAATACTTTAATTTTTTAATTACGTAAATGGATGGTGCACTTGCAATTGATCAAAGCAAATAGGTTATTGTAATTAAATGGGTTTTAATAGAAAGGCTCTTTTCTAATATCCTTTGTTTGAAGGGACATCTACGATTCTGGCATCTCAGTAAGGGAGGCCAGCTTCAAAGCTGTCGAGGATAAAATTGGTTTGTTGATATACTGACATGACATTATATTCTGCAATTTTTACTGCAATTTGACTCGGTTTTCTGGCAATTGCATCTGTTAAACGTTCCCAATAAGTTTGGCTAACTTTAATCTTTCAAGTTTGGCTATAAACAACAAAATCATGTGCACAATATTTATCGCCTAGTTTATATTTTCAAATTAGATTTTTGAAGAAGACATCGACGGAGATGGTGAATATTTCTTTGGATCAAATACAGGAGCAACCATGAAATATCGATCAAAAACAAATTTTGTCATAGTTCAATTCCTAAGCGACGAATTCAATAATTTCAAAGGATTCAATGCTACTTATAATAGTAAGTTATGCCTACAAAGTAGATTGCATTAGTTATAATCAACGTCGCTGAGGGTCGCGTATACATAGGCTACAACAGAGTTCTCTGGTATTTTCCTGTTGTAAATTGTAGCGCATTTCATTTGTTTGTTTTTATGGACCGTTATAAAAATCAAAAAATAGGATGAAATATTCAGTTTTATTAAATAGTTGACAAACGCAATTTATGTTATTGTGGAAATAGTTTTGCAGTTTGAAAATATGTGTTGTTTTTCAAATGTAGGCTGGAATGCTGTAAACTTCTGTGATAGGAACATGCTTGGGCCACAAGCTGACCTTGAAAAAACAAAATGTCGAGACGGAATCAATAATGACTTTTACAAAAGATGTTATGTTGCATGCCAGCCAAACTACGTATTGGAAAAAAGTTCGCGAGTCGATTGTCAGAACGGGAAATTTATGCCAGAGAAATCATGCCAACTTGTTGCGTGGGAAGCTCAACTCTGCGAAATCACCAATTTTGTGAGTTCATGAATATAACTACTATTAGCCCAAAAGACTTAATTCCATTGCAGTATGGTACCAGGGAGTGACGGTATTTTTTTGACGCCGCTTCGAAATATTGCTAATGCGTCTGCCTCATGACCACAGTAGATTAAAAGACACTCAATTGAAATCAAAAGTACTAGGGAGGTTAAAACACCCTAACATTTTCGTAAACGTAGATGGGAACAATCGTCCAATTAGCTAAATCGTCCAAAAAGCCTGAAAATAATATTTGAACGGTGTCTCACAAAGGCCATACCACTTATTCCACACTTATCGTCTCTCTTGCCTCAGACTTGTTCCACATGTCTTCCTTGTCTGATATTTGTTGCACTTGTCCCATTATATATATTGAGTTAGAGTAGATTTAACGTCAACGTGAAAATGTTTTTTAGTGGAATATCATTATTATCGGTTGGTACGCAAATATTGTTATATTTTAAAATATTTCCGCAAATATCAGCGCTTGTCAATGCTTCGATATCATTTGAACAAACCTTCAAATGGTGTATCTCGCGTATTTGAACGGCGGGGAATAAACTTTTTGAAGGGAGGTGTCAATAGTTGCTTCGATTGTCGGAGGACATAGGGATTTATAACGCAAGACAGATACAAACCCCACTTCAAAAACAATTAGGCTGAGAATAATAGAACATATGAATTTTTTCAGGCTTATTGCATATACAACGCCGGTGAACTAGCTGATTTCTGGTTGGGCAAAGAATCAAGATATTTGGGAAATGTCGAAACAGAATCCGAAGATTTTGATTTGGATATATTCCCAGATCCAGCTGCGACAGAACTACAAGTAAAGTGTAATCTATAGCGATAATGCTAAATTAATAATAAATATAGAAAAACTTGGGTCGCTAGCGCTCAATCTGATTCAAGGCAAAATGGGGATGTTAGTGAATGTCATATGCAATTTAGGTAATAGAGATTTCGACCAAACCAGCGTTGTTATTTGCATTTAAAGCTTACATTATATATGTATCGTTATAGTCCGGAAGGAGTACGCCAGGAGATGAGTCCACTACCGCGGGCGGAGTAGCAGCAGTATGTTTCGACAAGTTGATAGGTTTTGAATATTGCAAGAAGAAAAAGAATTCTGACAATTACGCTTTTAACTGCAAAGCATTTCTTAAAGTCAAAAAGCTGAAGAAGGACGTCCGTAAGTATCTTTAGTGGTATTTTTATCTCTTATTTCAAAAACTTTAAATTGACCTGATTATAATTCTGAATTTTACATATTTTCGCTTTTATTCATTTTATGGCGTATCTATCAAAATAACAAGATAAATGAAATACAACTTTAAGGAAATTCGTTGCAGAAACCCTTTTTTTACTATGCTGACATAAATCATTTTTTACTCAGGTCAAAGAAAAATGGAAACATGTTTCCGTTGCCGTACTGATGACTGCAAGAATAAGGTTGTCGTTGATCAGTATATATAGACAATCGATGTGGTTCTTACGCAGGCATATCTTTGTGACGCCAAACACGAACTTGCTCAAAACTCGTATTCAGAATCACAGTTTGAAGTCAGGGAAATGTATATATAAGTGTAATAAAAATTGTATTTTATGTCTGGTTTCGTTTAATTGTTGCAAGCTTGAGGTAGATGACTGTGAAATGTAGCAGTTGGACTTTAAATGTCATTCAATACACTTTATCATGTACATTATTGATCTTTCAATCCTTTGTGAATCATTTCCGGGTTTTAAAAACTTTTGATTTCATATATAAATTAAATGAGTAAAAGTTGTTAATGTTTTTCATATCTCTGAAGATACATATTAACCCAGATGGCGTCACAGCAACGGATTCAAAAATGCAAAATCAAATGATTAGATAATATCGTAATGAATGTCGACAACTCAAACTTTCCAAAGGCATCGACTTCATCTGATTACTCAAACCTTGCGAAGTCTACCGGACAGTTTCATCATTTTACAAGTGTTTAATCAATAGACTACTGCAGTGGTTCCCAAACTTTTTAGAGTTGGGACCTACTATTTTTTACCACAGCTCATGGCGACCCATTTAACTTTAATAAATTAATAAAACATTGATGGAGGAAACAAATTTAATTTGTCAAATTGAATTTTCAGTGAAGCTAGTGAGAAAGATGAGATTGTTTCTTGCTATTTTCCATAATAGACTTGACATTTATTTTAATTTCAGATAGTTTTAGACGTAAAAATTGAAAAGTTGCAGTTTATTTTGAAATTTGCCCTTTAACTTGCTTGGCCACCGATCCTAATAACCAGAATAATTGATCAAAGCTTTCTACATCTTTTAACGACCCACGGAGATTCCTCTTGCGACCCACCAGTGGACCCACCAGTGGTCGCGACCCAGTTTGGGAACCGCTGGACTACTGCAATGCAAATATACTCATATATACGTTTGTTTAGTTGTTTTAGATAGATCTTCTACTTATACAAACTTTTACTTATACAAAAGTTCCATCACAGGCTCGTTTAGAATTATTCTCATTCTACGCCCATAGTAATAAGGAATGCGTCCTTATTATAACACTGCAATCATTCCCAACAACTTCAAATATTAAAAGGGGAAAAGTTTTTGCGAAGATTGCCAACAAGTGCGTTTGTACCCTTATATTGACTTACTGAATCTTTCGACATACGAAAATGAAATGTAGGACTACAATAAAAAAAATCGTTTCCATGGACCACAAACTGAAAGATTTGAATTATTTGACATATATTTAACGGATTGAACCATAAAGAGAAGCCGCGATTTGTTTTGGGGGAAAAATATTCATACTCATGGAAATTAATGAAGAGTACATATGGAAAACAGTAAATCCGTCTAATATTTCAGGTTATATATTGTTAGACACGAAGACAAGAGAGGGTATAGCTGAAATACTGTATATATATTTGAAATGATCTTTCAACTTCATGAATTACTTTTCCATCTCCTTCAGGCATTTCTTTTTGTAGAATAATTTTCCTGTTATATTGTGATCGTCAAGAACATTCCAAAGATCCACTAGTTGATCAACTGTAGGATTCGTTGTAGTTAACTTGATTGATGCAATATCTCCTGTAAAAAAGAAATCCGACGATCCGTAACCGTTTTTTTTTAAACTTGTATTAAATAATTTAAGCTAAAGGACCCGAGTCAGGGAATGCGATTTCCTCGCAGTTATTCTCACAATATGTAATAGCATCAAGTGGTGATTCATTGGGTATTATGGATATTTTATGAGTTGAATATGTTATTCAGAGTCATAATCGAATACTTTCCTTTATCGGGATTGCCCTTTATAGGATATAGCACATATCTGGCAGTGCGTTCAGTGCTTTTACATATTTCAAACGTTAATCTCTTCATTACCTTTAGTGCTTGCTCCACAGAAAATAGCAACAAAATAATTTTCATAGTCAGTTATCATTGTAAAGTCGTTGAGTATTTGATGTTCAGCTGTAAATAAAACGGTTTGGAATGAAAAGTAACTTTTTAGATTATCTTATCATAAGAGAAGTGACCTGCCAACCGTTTTCAATATATATAAACCTTATACCTTCGGCAATCTTTTTTTGCAATGTTTTTCCAATGTTTCCTACGTTTGCTCGTGAAACGGCCCGATCATTATTTTTCTCTAAAAATACAATGCATATTCAACCTTGGAAAAATGTAAGGTGTTTTTCTATGAAATTGAGTTTTCCTACCGCAGCGGTGAACAAAATCGTGAAAACATAACTAAAATACGATTGCATATTTCACATATTGTATTTATTATGAAATTTTCATTGTTTCTTATTCACTTGTTGTGTATATGAATCAATAAAATAATTTTACCTTTCTATGTCGTTTACCTTCTGTTACGCAGTACCTGCCTCTATTGTTACGTAACAATAAAGATAGACAGTACGTGCTGAAGTTTCGTGAGCGGCAGTTTTTTTTTTTATCTTTTGAACCGAGTTAAGCGAACATGAGAGTTTTTTTAGGGGAAGGGATGAGGGAGAAAAGTTGGTATTCCCGAAGTATGTGAATCAAGATGGCGGACACCGGAACGTAGTATGTGTACCAGCTTAGGTTTAGGCCATAATTTCAGGTACAAATACTACGGGAGTCACTTGTCTAGTCCCTGAACTCGTAATAGAATTAAAATAGGGAAAATTGGAATAAAACTATGGCCTAATCCGAACCTGGTACACATACTACTTTTCGGTGACCGCCATCTTGGTTCACATACTTCGAGAGTACCAAAAAGTTGACCTTTTGCCTTTATTTCTTAGGCTTACATGTTTATAAAATTCAAAAGGCATAAACTACACATTAACGATCACAAAGTTAGGTTTTATTCCAAAGCAGTTTTTTCCGTGTAAGTGCGCCGTGAAATTTTCCTGCTGATAATTTAACTTCGCACGAACAAAAAGTTTGGGAACTGCTGTCTTACCGACTTTCCATTCCTCCGGATGAATATAAATATAAAAACCGTGTCCTCGTTTACTTGGTTACGCGCATTTAGTAATATTCTTTAAAGTTTAAACATATTTGATACTCACTCGACTGATGTGCAAAGGCATAGATTCCAGATCCTTTCGACACCACTTGAAGATCGTAATCATGAGATTCGAACCTATATGATATATTGTAAAGTTTCTTTAATTAATAATGAGTCATTAAATATGTGGTGTATGCTATTATGCTATCAAAGTGAATTTTCTGAATAGTTTCCTCGGTCTCAGTTTTCCTATCCATGTGTTGACTATATTGCTATTCCACTCAACGGTTGTTGGTGTGGTTTTGATACTTGGTTTAAGTATTATGATGAGCAATTATATTTTCATTTTATTTCTCACCCCATTAAGTTTATAGATATGGTCACATATACGCCGTCGGGCATGATGGTGATATTGCGCATGTGATAACAATCCAGGGCTGCATATGTTGCTGGAACAAAAAATGCATCGTACCAAATTTTGCCTTGAAGCTGAAACACAGATGGATGAAAAACGTGGAGTTATACATAGCATACAAATTGAAAGGTTCAAAAAAGTGGGAGGGATAACTTACTACACTGTAAGGCAGGGGGTTGCAAACTTTATTACAGGAGGGCCACATACAGATAACCTGGTGAAACCGCGGGCCGCACCTTAATTTAACAAAGGCTTTCTTTCACAAGCACTTCTTTTTTGGTTATTGATCTTATGACATGCGTTGTTCGCTTCGCACAAACTAGCTGTTATGGCATTGTTACGTCATAGGCATAATAAAATGGACTCAAGAAAGGCTATGCAACGCAAAGGGATTGGAATTACTCGCGCGTATCTGATTAAACTAAATTAATAACTAAACAAACTGACACTTCTCTGCGTGCATATTACCTTTGTCCAATCCACAATTTGCTTCGATTTGCTGTTCTTGCAATCGTTTGCGGTCACAGAGCAACAAAAAACAATGCAGAGAAGACAAACTGCTATTTTCATTTTCCTCTTTCTGTATCTGAGCATATTTTTCGCAGATATCGAAATGTATTTTACCCGATTAGTTTCATTGCAAATTGATAGAAATAAATAAAAGTATAGAATATTATTATTCGACTGTCAAAGATGGACAAGGCGAATGACTTTTTATCGGTATCGCGGAAGGTCACTGATTAAGTCAAGGATACAAAAGATTTTCAGTCAGCACGATGACATGTCTCAAGACAACTCATAAAAGTTTTTAAATTAAACTCAAAATAAAACCCTGATTAAAATTTGACTCAACTTTCTTCTAACTTTAAAATTTTACCCACTTGAATAATTTGGATTGGATAAACAATTTGAAGTTCACAAGTCGCGTTTTCGATTTATCATTTAAATACCAGTGAGCAAAATATATCTCACATTAGGCCAAAGTACCAACTACAACAAAAAACCTCCATATGAGCAGAATTTCGTCCCTACTCTGTTGGGAGCTTTTAAATATATTTCGTGACGGAACCTGAAACGTGCCGTCTGATGTTCTCAACCAACAAATGAAATCATCAATACATTGAAATGTATACAGAAAGCATCACGTACACTTTTCCTCATCTTCAAAAGGGTGCACATAACTAGATGAGTTCAATATATTAAGCTATCTTTTGTTTATTTGCATGCAGTTATATACAATCCAGCCAGGGCAAAATCTTAGTGATTGAGATTGATCAATCTCTCCACTCCACTCAAAACGCAATTGCGATTAAGAGAGAACTGCTGATTCGCAACTGCGTTCTCTGACTCAATTTAGTCGCACTGTAAGTACAGGATCAAAAATATGAAGCCGTCATTCAGTGTGGATTGGCAGACCCACAACAATGAAAATATTTATTCGCGGCATGACCGAAGACTTATTCAAATAATTATATCACTTTTTTTGTATTGTTTAAGAGCACTGAATTCTTTACAAATGCGGATATCTGTCGTGTTTTGAGTGCAGTGAGTGCATCATACTCAATCCACGTTTGAGAACATAACATATTCCACCCAGTCATTATCAAATTAAAAGTTATGTTTTCAAACGTGGAGTAATTTGATTCCTACGAAAGTCTTTGTTTGAATTTTGGGATAAATTCACTTTGTTTTCGTAAATTTAACTGAAATGGGAGTAAAACTCCGAAATTGGGGTGTTCTCATGAGGGTTATTGCTATAGCAGTATTGTTGTTTATGCTGCTGGTGTAACGGTTCATCATACGTTACTGTCACGGACCATAGTGTCCGCGTTTATGTCGTGTATATATATTTTTATGTTTATATGCTGACTGCTTATTCAATGATGTTTTGTCGGGTCTGATAACGAGCTCGCCTGGATTCGATCGATTGATTTTGTTGAAATCGATGACGGCAACTTTCGAAGTTCGGACAACGAAACGAATTTCAGCATGGAGGAATCGTGTGCCGGAAGCGTCAACTTCGGGAACGATGCTTACATTTTCGAAGAGAAGCAGCGAACTTTCAAAAGGAATTTTCGGGGAATGACTGAATGAGGCTGATTTGTCGTCATCCGTAGGTGGTGGTGAATGTATATCGACTATTAATGCAAACCAGTGTCTCCCAAACGCCGTGTGTGTGCCGCGGAATGAATATTGGTGTGTCGCGAAGAGATTTCATTTTTGAATTCATTTCAAGTGATTCGCAATCCTATCTTGAATTTATCGGTGACAAATCTCTCCAAGTTTCACTTATGGGAAAAGGAAGAATTAGCAAATTTTCAAAATACCTGAAGCCTATTTTTAGATAGGTGTAGTTTGTGACAAATATTGTGATACAATTAAACAGCCGAATGAAGTTTTGTTATTTTCTAAATTAACAAATGCCAATTACATATTAATTTTAGCATTTTACTATTACAGTATTGCAATTTACTGTATTTATTACAAAAAATCGTAAATTTTTATGTACAGCTATCCAAAAAAATTTTGAACAAAGTTTCGATAGGGAAAGAATAATACATACACTAAAAAATCTAAATATATCTATACCAATGAAAATTTACAAAAATACTACAAAATAAACTCAATGTTGTTTTATTACATATGTCCTGACGTTTGGCATCCCTTTTGTACCACCAGCTTACTAATATCAGACTGAAATGATTTTACGTTACCAACTCTAATTAACGAGGTGAATGATCGTCGGTTAATCTGGATCGTTGAGAATGTTTGATTAATTTCGGTAATGCAAAATATTACGTTTATCATTTCAAATATAGATCAGTAAACAAACAAATGACTGACTTTTCGGACTAGACATTGACCGCCACATTTCCTACCATTTCGTGGCATAGGACCGCTTAAGTTATGTTTGATATTGATTCTTAGTAACTAGCTAGTTATAATTATATTAATACAAATACATAAAAAATTACTGTTCGGAATTTTTCTTTAAATTTGTCATATTTACTGCTGAGCTTATTCTGATAATGTCTACTTAGGCCTATATTGTATTCTTTCATTGTACTGATGCAAATGTGACAAATTAAACAATGTGCTGTATAATTTTGAGAAATATTGCATCGCCCATTTTTCGTCAAAATTGCCACTTTCTTCATGTACTTTGCGTTTCATTTCAATCCCTGATGTGCTTCTTTTAAGTATTTTTTTGCTAGCTGGAGGTGTAGGCCTATCCATAATTGGGTCAAATTGAAAACAAAAAAAATTAATTTTTCAAAACTACTTTGGGTAAATTGTCGTTTTCTGTGTGAATAATCAATTTCACTTTGAAAGGTTAGAAAAATGTATTACATTTAGATAAAAAAAACTCACAAAATATTGCAATTATTGTTAAGCGTTTGAGGGCCGCATTGGAAGTTCTCTGGGGCCGCAAGTTTAACACCCCTGCATTAGACGACTTTTGGATCTCTGTTATGGAAGAGTATATATCTAACTTTAATTCGATTTGCTTACCTAAACAATATTAAGATTAAAAAACACGGAAGGAGAGTTAAGAGTAACCTATGTCTCTCTTACATTCGTCTACAAATTGCATCAGTAGTAATGAAGCACTAGGCACAAGTGTCCCACTGTCATTCATCAGTATTATTATATACCTGTTATTAAATACGGCGTATGTTGTATATACATGAATAAAATCTCCCTTATCTGATCTTCTCTGTTTTTTATTATTTTATAGCAAAACGGCTTTATGAGTAGCCTATATACAAAATGTTCATGTTTTGTGATAGGTTTTTGCCGCGAATAATTAATGAGCCGATTAATGTGCCGCAATATAAAAAGGTTGGGAACCACCGGCGTAAACCATTGTGATATTGCCAAGAAATTTCTTTTGAAGACGGGTTGGTTCGCCATATGATAATCCAGCCCTGTATCTGAAAAACAGACGACCTCCAGCCAACGGTATTCTGATTATGAAAAACAATGTTAGGTATTTTTTTTACAATAATATCATTTATCATCGAATTCAAAGGGGCAGGACTTTATTAATTTTACAAAATTAATATCAATGATATATAACAAGAGAGCTATGCTCAAATATATGGACACGTTTTAAGTAAATGAAAGTAATAACCGTCTAAATAAAAATTTTATCTTTAAGCAATGAAAATTTCAGAGCAATTGATCCAGTAATGAAAAAGAAAAGCGGTTTAGGTAAAAAGTGGGCGTGGTTTTTCACACGTTTTCACACCTCTGAGGGGACGGAAACACTGCCCCCATCCCAATGCCACTTAAATAATTCTCAATACTCGGGCAAACGCTTTTCCGCCCCGAACGGAATTCATTATTTTACTGGTTGGAAAAAATAAACTTGACTATGACTATGACTATGACATAATATTGAAACGATCGTTATGTCCACTACGTGTCCAACAAGAGAGCTACGCCCAAATATATGGACACGTCTGGTCGCAGTACAGTACGGTTTATCGTACCGTCAGATCACAGTCTACAAATATATTCACACCAAGCGAAGCAGTACAGTAGGACACAAAATGGCGTCCGATGTCCACAGAACGTTTAATGACATCATAGCAAACAAAAACAAATCTCACAGAGCTAACAGAAATATTTAAAATGAATAAAAGTAATAGCCTTCTGGGGAGAAATTTATCTTCAACCACTGAAAATTTCAAAGCAATTGGTCCAGTATTCGCAGAGAAAAGCGGTTTTTTAATATTTCCACTAGGTGTGTTATTCTGTGTCAAACAACAAGAACAACAAGAACAAGAACAACATAATATTGAAACGATCGTTATGTCCACTACCTGTCCAACAACATAATATTGAAACGATCGCTATATCCACTACCTGTCCAATAACATTGAACTAATACCAATAGACCTTATTCATTAAAAACCCATTCTACGCGCAAAAAGAAAAGTGATGTAAAAATTTTTTTTTAACATTAGCTCTTATGGGGAATGTGATCACCAGAGCAGAAATTTGCATTTTTTGTAACTTTCTAGATATTTTTCATTGTATACATGAGCAGTTTTGAGGACAGAATATTTTTTACATCTTTTTTGATATTTTTATCATGATAAACATGGTCAGGATTTTTGATAATCGTTCATTAAAATTTTAATGAGCGCGGTGTTTCCGATGACGTTATTCTTACTAGACCATGAGATTCTGTCAACTGTGCTCTGTGGGATATGCGCTGCAAATGCGGCGCTAATGTCGCTTTGGGTACGGTACCGATACTGGAAGCGTTTAACCCTTTCCATGCGAATTTTATTTTTTATTAAATAATCGTATTTGCTACGCCGATTTTATGCATTTGTACCCCCACAACTAATCGATCGACTAACGAAAAACTAATGATCCTCTGCTGCCCACTGACGGCTCGTTGGAAAGCTTATTTAAAGAGCTTGCAATTGTCGATTAAAAACAATTTTTTTTTTAAAAGGGGTGGGTCTGAGTCACAAACCGGATAGAAAAAAGGCATTTTTTTTTTTGGGTGTTGAAACTTCAAACCGTGATAAAAAATAGAAATATTCGCTAAATCCTTTACTGTTACCGCTTCTTGGTTTGCAAACAATAGCATAATATTGCTGTAGCAATTTCGTTATCTAACTCAAAATACTTTGGTAGATGGAAGGGATAATATGTCTTCTATTACCACCCAAAAACACCGAAATTTGCATAAATTTCAAAAACACTCCCTCGTTCCGCCGCAAATAAAATTCCCATGGTAAACGAAAGCGAGATTTATCGTCGCTTATGTTAATCTCGAAGAAGACTCCTTATCAATAAACTAAAACCCGGAAAAACTAGACCAACAGTTTGCGACCGATTGCTAAATAAAACAGTGGAGTACATCAACGTACCCGCCGCAATCTAGCGAGTTTTGTCGTGGGTACGTATACGTGCCCACCGCACGGAAAGGGTTAACATTGACAATCTATAACCCATACCATTTCTATCACGTTTGTTTACTGGTTTACGCATTTATACCTGTCCAGCTAGCAATCATTTACTGAAGGCATGCTGACGTGTTTTTAAACTACCGGTACCGTACCAGGGCTGCAAGAGGTGAAAACTAAATTATTTAGTAAATACTGAAATAGGCCCACGAACAGAAATGTTGGCCATCCTGCCAATAGGCAGGACAAGTTGTACGGTACCGGTATACAAAAAAGATGAATATCTCCAACCTATAATGGTACAATACCGGTCTCCTAACTAGGTTAAAAAACATGACTGAATACGAGAGGGAGAGTTATTTTGTCAACCAGAATACAAGCATTGAATCAATAAAAATTATATAGACTACAAAACACACAGTTATTCGGTATAGACTGGGGAGCGATACGACCATCACAGTCAGCTCACCCCCTGTCCCCCCATGTTCGCTATCAAGATTAACAGTAAATAAGATGTTTAAACAATTTAACAAAAACTCCTTGGAGGAAGGGTTGACTAAGTTACGGAATATTTTTGGATTCGGTTAATATTGTAGTCCATTATTAAACCACTGCTTTTTTTGTAGACTAGATTTTCACTTAGTGGACACTTAGCAAGTACGACAGTTAATTTATAACAAAAAATTGTAAATTGATAACAAATCAGTAGAAGTCAGCTCGAGTATTCAAACATGTGATGATTGAAGTGAGAAAAAAATTTGAAGTCACGTTTAGGATATTACATTAAACAACAATGGAAAAGATACATTGGAATCAGTCAAGCTTCAAATGCTAATGGCATTAATGAAAAGAATATGCGAATTGAAGACTGAAGTTTCCATCTGAGACATTGGAAGACACTAAAACCTTATAGACTTGATAGTGTGGAAAGCCTTCTCACAATGCAGTAATAATGGGACATATATTTATAATATATTATACAGGCTTTAAGCTGAACTATATGTTTAATTGAAATATCTATCTTTGCTAATAAATAATGAAAACCACTTATTTCAATCTGCTGAGTGATTAGGGCCAGAAATTTGCTGTAGGGACCATCACCAGGACTGGATTTACCAATAGGCTAGGCAGGCTGAAACCTAGAGCCTCGAAATTCGGTTTAGAAGTTTGTAATTCTTTTGAAAACTTGACAAGTTTAAACCCTACGAAAAGTATATATATATATCAAACTTTTCAAAGTAGAAAATTCTGTACACAACTGGTTTCAACCACATTGTAAGCAGCCATTATTGCGTCGTTTGCATCATAATAAGGGAAATTATTATTATGCGCATTCTGCTGGAAGTTTCTATGTTATGGCTGTAGCGGTTGTTTGATCAAAGAAATTGAAAGCAAAACTGCCTCAAGTAAATTTTTCTTCTTTTAATTAAAAAGTTAGGCCATTGGATTTTGAAAGGTGTACCAGAAAGGTGTACATAGTTACAAGGAATTCATGAAATATATAACATCCAAAATAGGTCTTTCGTTGAACGCCAGTTGTGGTCCCGGTACCGGTATTCTGTTATCACAAGCAGTTGGAGTGCATATCCCACAGAGCACGACGCGTTGGCAGAATCTCATGGTCTAGTGAGAATGACGTCATCGGAAACACCGTGCTCATTAAAATTTCAATGAACGATTATTAAAAATCTTGACCCTGTTTATCATAATAAAAATATCAAAAAAGATGTAAAAAATATTCTATCCTCAAAACTGCTCACGTATACAATGAAAGACATCTAGAAAATTACAAAAAATGCAAATTTCTGCTCTGGTGATCACATTCCCCATAAGAGCTAATGTTAAAAAAGATTTTTTTACATCACTTTTCTTTTTGCGCGTAGGATGGGTTTTTAATGAATAAGGTCTATTGAAACGGTGCCCACACAAGTAATAGAAAGAGATAAAATTGGATTTACATTTATTTGTTAATCACAGAACACATCATATGCCATTCCATCGACTTTCAAACCAGCTTCCGTGTGCAGTTTGGGGTCAATAAGACATTGTTTTTGGGGTGGACAACTTGTACATAATGATCGTTATTTATGAAATGGTTAAAAGCAAATTATTCCACGTTAGCAGTTCGCAAGAAAAGCAAACTGTCTGCTTGATAACCAGTTTTGGTTCCCCGCGGCTTCCCTTCCCCAGTGAAATGTGTATTCAATATTATTTATTCGTCTTAATTTTGCATGTTAACTTTTTTTTACTGGATGGAAAAAATAAACTTGACTATGACTATGTCAGAAGGTGTCGGTATTGAGCTAATACGGAAGAAATTAATTATTGTTAGATAGCCTATCACCAGAACGCAGGCGCCGTTTCGACTGTAGCCTAAGTTATTAGTTACCGTAACTTATCGCTACGCGCGAGTTCGTTACAAATTGTCTAGAGACAGCTTGACAGCGTAGGTTTATTTGAACACTAAATTACCCCAAAGCTACCCAATAGTTGGCTATTTATTCTAAAAATTTGTTTGAACCATAAAAAAAAAAATTGAGACGTTTCATGCGTTTGAACTCTCATGTTGGGTGGGTTGAAAATCACTCCCTTCAGCTGATCGAACATGATCGTTAACTTATCTAAGTAGTGTAAATGTTTTTCTAATAATAATATGAAAAAAAAGGTTTATTTGTTAGTGTACGCCGTACTACACGTAAACGAGCAATAAACTAATGCTGTAATACCCTGATAATGGGGTCTCGTGTAGTTTCGTACCTAACGTACTTCTAGTGGGCGTAGAATAACAATTTTTTGATATGTCAATACTAACCCTCATCTGATTACGCCATTCAAAAATTAAATCACTACGACATCACAATCACGTCTTAGAGCTTGCCAAATATACGCACGATCGACCGAAATGGCATTGGCGCCGACGATAAAGAACTGACACTGACATTATCGGTCTCTGTCCTATTGGAATCGTTGCGACGAGAAAACGAGAGAACTAACTGTTCGATTTCGGGTGCTCGTTTGCGCGTCTTGGATGGCAGTTTGTATAGTTTGAAGGGCTCTATTACGGTACGTCACTGTGACGTCGTAATGACGTAATTTTTGGATGGTGTAGTCAGGTGGGGGTTAGGATTGATACGTGAAAAAATTGTCATGCTACGCCCACTAGAAGTATGTTAGGTAAGAAACTACATGAGACCCTGATAATGCATATATCAGTATTGTATGTCTGTGTATGTTGAAGAATAGGATTTCATAGGCTAGCTCTGAAGAAATCCTTATTTCTGTATGCACGTGTAACTGTATGTACCGTAACCGTTGGTTAAGTAGACTTTTTCTCATCCTGTTATAGGGTGGTGTAGCCAGTCTGCGGACGATTTCATTCAAACCGCTATAAAACAAAAACCAATATTTCTAACCTGTTAATTTTTTCACCGTAGGTACATGGGCATTTCTTCTACACGCTAAACCTCGAATTAACTTTCTACGACCAGGGGTTAAAATTATACAAACCACCAAAGTACGACACTCTGAAGACCTATTTGCGACCGAACCACCAGTGTGCGACCACGGATTTCAAGCCTTGAACATCATTTCTGCTGCGTCGAGACTAGGGCATACGCAGCCATGCGTGAAAAAAATTAGCTTCTAATTGCATTCCTGACTGTCATATTTTTTAAGAACAAGGTTTTTTTGAACAAAACTCGTCAAATTATAATCAAATCACCGCATTACAGCAATCAAACAAACAAAAACACGGTGGTCGCAAATTGGTCAATAATGCTATTATCGACGTATTAGAAATGCGCACCCTTCTACTCCCCCTCCTTTGAATGTAGAAACGCGAAACTTTGAAGATGGGTAAAATAAAACAGAACTCTACCCATCTGCCAAGTTTCATCTTTTTATCTCTTCGGTCGGGTTTTCGGTCGTAACTTTTTTGTTTGTGGCCGCATTTTAGTGTAATTTCGCAGAGCTACGAGGGATAAGTGGACGATGAGGTGTGAGAAATATCGTCTTGGTTCTGTAATTTTTTCGGCATTAATTTAATCGATGAAGTTGATGGTCGCAAATAGGTCATGGCCGCAAAGTGGGTAAGCCACCCTAGCTTTCACTCATAACGCTTTGCTTTTTTCATACGACTAGTTGTGGATTGAAAAATGAATCAAGCTTACACCAATAGTTAACACAATAGATAGGCTACGCTGTTCCTTGTTTCCAGCCCTACCATGTTTGTTTTTTTCCCAGCCCTATTTCAGTATTTGAGACACAAACATTCTAAGTTGCTGGTATTCCTGTATTCGGACTCTGACATTGTGGCAAACCTACCCAAAGTAATAAATCTTATGTTGTCGCATATTTTGCTGGGCCTATACCACCATTTTTATCTCTTATTTATTTGAGTATACCTTTTCTTTACAGATTGTATAAAACAATATAAATATCTGTATGATAGCATAACAAAAATGACTGCATATGGAGATGCCCAAAAATATTTTTTGCAAGCTATGATGCAAAAAGGATCAGCGACTGACCATGAGTGTGACTCACTCATAGATGAGTGCTTCAAGGTTACAGAAAAAGATAGAAACCAGTGGACACTATCATCGTTTATTACATCTGTAAATAAACAAATTCAACCTTTCCACCTAGAAATAAGGAAAGGCAATGATGAAGATTCTGGACAAGATGTCTATGCACTAATAAGCGTCACGGATCATGATATAAATCATTTAGTAATTGGAGGAAATTTCACGAAAATAGAAATTGAAATTTTTCACCGAGCTGTTGATCTTATCGTTAGCTCAAATACGGGAATGGTTTCTTCTACTGATATCCTCAACATAACGGAAGAATTGCCTCAGAAAAATATTTTAAAATCTGAAATCGAGATTCTGATTACAAAGCTTGTGAAACAAAATTGGGTTGGAGAAAAAGATGGGATGGTATACCTCACCCCTCGTTCAATACTAGAGTTGGAACCGTATATAAAAGCTGAATTGAAAAATGAGGTTTTATACTGCAACATATGCAAAAGTATGGTATTAAAAGGAGTTAACTGCAAGAGATGCAGAAGTAGAATACACTTGTACTGTGCCTCCACTTATTTCAGGGGTAGATCAATGGACGAATGTAAATGCCCAGTCTGTCATGATGTCATGACGTTACTTCCATCCTTGCCCAATATGGATACATCTCGTGTAAACGGAAGTATGGAAGGTCTGACGCCAACGATGAATGAACGCAGAAAACGAAGGCGATAAATGGAAATACTGTTTCATAATCAATAACAAAGATTATGGAATATTTTCTCGACTATTGTGAATGCTCCACACTTTGTCTGGAGCCTTCAAGTTATTTTGAATGAATAAGATTTGGTTTCAAAGTGAAATCATATTCTAAACTGCGTCAATTTTGTGTAACTTTTTGCTTATGCATGTGGGTGTACAAAAAATACTTCATAGAACAACATAGGTAGTTATCATACTTTTGACATGAGTTAATGGAGCACTTTTTAATTTACAATTTCGTTGGACATCATCAAATCCAAACATTTCTACTGTAATTTTCAAACATTTTTGTTTTTTCTACTTCTTAGATTTTCTATGCTAATTGTTTACCAGTAACCTCAACATACGTACACTCGTACTTTTCATTTACGTTCATTTCCCTTGTCTTGTTTGAGGTACCATGCTGTTATTGAAATTATTTGTGGCCATCGCATTGGTGCTGTTTCACACTGTAGAAGGTAAGCATGAATAAAATTCTAGTAGCTTATAACTACAGCTCAAAACAATAAACAGGGTAGCATGGGTATTCACAGACTTTAGTTTAGAACTCTAATCAGCAATTACCTTCAAATTTACGTGTCAACTGCATGACTGAGTAAATATTTTTCAAAATCCTGCATATGTATATCTGGAACATACAAAGTGGTTACTTTAATACATCAATATTAAATTTTAGCCATTTAAAGCAGGGGTTCCCAAACTTTATTGGCCGCGGGTCAAAATTTGGAACGGAGGGATGTTCGCAGGCTGGAAAAGTGCGCGACAGTTTAGTTGGGGCTCAGTGAATTCACCACTTCATTTATCGAAAAAATGTCAGTTTTCGGAGTCTAGTTTTTGTCTTGACATGTCTAAGCTTATATGGTTCATAACTAAATTCTGCCTTTGGTAATTCTAATACCGGTACGAATAACCGCTTTAATCGAATTGTTACCATAAACACGTGCTTAAACTGTGATAACACACTCGGCGCTATCCAGAATCGCCTTCTTTCGCAACCAAAACCTCAACTTCTTTATAGTTTTTAGCACTTAGAGATGGAGTCTATTATTATTAACCCTTCATTTCTTTCACAAAAAGGTAGAAACAAAATTTGTTGCATACTTGTTCACTTAAGCTCGGCGGGTCATTTTAAATCTTTACGCGGGACACATTTGCCAGCGGGCCGCGGTTTGGGAAACCCTGATCTAAAGAATGATTTGAAGTTGAAAAAGCAATTTGTATGAAAAACGTAACAGCACAACCAGTGTGTGATTAACATTTCTCTCAATACGCTTTTCTAAAACAATTATCTATTTCACATTACAGCCAAGGGACCTCACCAGCATATCAAATATTACGAAGAGTTGAAGTATGATAGATTGCAGCTTCTCGAACAACATGAAAGAGTAAAAAGATCAACTCAAAGCAGTAATGGTGGCTTAGGACATGTTATGCTTCGATTCCAATCTCATGGAGGGTAAAATATTTGTAGCCTCAAATGATGATACTCATTAAGGAAGTTTCAATAATCACAAGAACAGATTGTTATGTTTTAAAAATTTGTCAACCTTCATTGGATTATTTTTAACCATAGAAGGATTCTTTCGAACCTGTTAGATTTCTCATGTATATGTGATTACTTCATTAATAAAGTCATATTTGTCTGAATCAACAAAAATTGTATTTAGTCTTATATATTTCAGATTGATGAAAATTGTTTTTAACACAATTATCCAATGTACTTCTCCATTCCATACAATCTATAATTATTTCTAGTTATATAGTAACGACTGAGTGGCACTGTGAAATTACCTTGTCGTTGGAGTTCAATGCTCCCATTTCAGGATTCATATTTCCCTTTGCTGACACAAGTTAATAATTTATGCCATAATGGAGGGCTATTAACTTAATTTGTCTTTCATGAAAGGGAACACTGAACTGCGATATAGCTAGGTATATCAAAAACAAATTGGTAATTTTAAAAGTGGGATTTATTTAATATAATGTTCCTGACCACTTTGCAAATGTAAAATGTAAACGCGAATTTGTATTAAAACTTGCTGAATATTGTTATATGAATATCCATATTTTTGTTCATCTATTTCCCAGAAAATATCAGAAATTTAATCCTCTGTTTTGTAATGTCACGTGGTGTGACTTTGTGCGTAGGTTTGATAAAAAATAAAATAACCAGTGAGGCAGTAACACCATTTATTACGTCAAATTACTCACGCTAGTACGTAACGTTAGGAGAAAATGACCCACTGTGGTTGATTTAAGCAACGATCATCGCTTGAATCATTTTCAAGTACCAGTATGTAAAAAACAAGTAGGCCTACGTAGTTTTTTATTATTTTACATAAAGATGTTAAAATATCGGTAATACTACATAGTCCATGCTTTACAGAGTTATTACTGGTTTAATTCTTGTCCTTATCTGTTGATATATTTTATGTAAATTGATTCAAACAAAATTATAATCTCGATTGTAATAATATTATATATGATTTAACTCAAGCGCTCCAGAAGTGTTTTTACCAATATGGAGGTAACTAATATCATTCGCCTACTAGACATCAAGTTGTGTAAAAGACTGAAACTCATGACAGGGGGTATATTCACTTGGCTAACACAGACAGTCCCAAACTCGTAATGGAACTAAAATAAGGAGAATTGGAATATAATTATGGCCTAACCCTAACCTGGTTCATTTCACTGATAATTGTTTGGTATTAATAATGTTTGTTATGAGACGTTGAACCACAAAATCATAATATAATATAAATTTCAATAATTGTGTCTATCTAATGACACTTTTTTTGTAAACATTTTTTTCCAATTCAACTTGTATTTGAATAATATTAATATTGGCTTTGGTAGTCTGTTGTGAATAGGTAACACAGTAAAAGATTTTATGATACCATTATATAGTAGTTATAAATAGCAATTTCATGATTGGTTGACTGCCTTTTATATTCCCTTCTTTTCTACCGTATACTTCATATTATATCCTGTTCAAAATGAAACTAGTTAAAATTCTTCACAATTGTGACATGAGTAAAATCGGTGGATTTAACATTACATTAGTCATTAATTTTCGGCTTAACAATAATAGTTTAATTTAAAAAAATTTAAAATCAAATATGGTGAATATAAGAATCTGCTTTTACTCTCCCACTCATAACTAACAAGCCACAATATGGAAAGTTGATTTGTGTAATAAACAATATAATATAACGAACAAGTGATCACTTCCTTGCATGTCAGTCATTGTTTTTCTTTAATGCTCAATCATGTATGCGCCTGAGAAGAGCTTCGAAAATAGGTAAACCTTATCTGTGGATCATGCTTAGAATATGCCTATTTTTACTTTCTATTTATATTCTAGGCATTTCAATATCCGACTGGTGCAAGACAAGACAGTATTTCATGCAGATTTAGAATTGGTGGATGGTGAAGGAATTCCTATAGATTCAGATGTCTCTCATATATATCATGGAACAATATATGGTAGGTTTTTTGTGTCATCAATAAACGCGAGACATGTTTTTTCAGTTCGAATGGGCAGTCATTCATTTGTCTATTTTACAAATAGTACTGTATACTCGTTCATAGAGGTGTATACTTTGAAAGCAGCGCTCCTATTCCTATTCCCAATAAAACAGTTTTTATTATACTATCACATTACAGGAAAGAAAAACAGTTTGGTTCATGGTAACATTATCGATGGAGTATTTACTGGTGTTGTCAAAGATCCTGATCGTGGAACTTACTATATTGAAGAAGCAAATGCTTTTTTCGAAGGAAAACCTCCGCTCGTTCGACAAAATGGTCATTCTGTAATTTATCATGAAAAAGATGTTGATTATCCACACAGGTTGTTCGATAAAATAATTCGATTATTTGGAATTTGCTATCTCATAGCTGTTTTCTAATTGTATTGACTCGAGGTGTTTCAAGTCTAGTTTCAATCAGTATTTACTAACGCACAATTCCACGTTATGATTCTTTATAGTCTTAGCAGCTTCTGGCACTCTAGTAGTCGTATGTAACTTTGCTCAGTGAATATTCTCCTTTGTTTCCTATTGAGTGTGATTGTCCTTACGTTGAACGAATTTTTTAAAAATTATATTTACTATAACTTAGTGAAGTTCAAGAAAATTATAAATGTTCTAGTATCTTTTTTTATATGCTAAATCACACTAATTAATAAGTTTATCTTGTTTTTTTGTTCAGGTATGGCCCTCATAAAACATGTGGATCTTCATTCTCAGATGTAGAAAAATACATGCAAAAAGTTCAAAAGTCTGCTGTTTTTTCAGTAAGTTTTTCGTGACATAAATAGAGGCAGTTTCAAATTTATTTCTGTATTCAATTTTAATTTACAATCATTCCATCCATCATTCCATTTCATCATTAATCACAAATTCACAATCAAATTTTTCGAAATCGCTCAATTATATTTTTAATTATTTTTTTAATTATGAGATCTAAACAAGGCTTTCGGCAAGTTGGAGTAATAAATAATAGATTTGAATCAAACTGATTTTTTTTACAAGGGCGACGAAAAACAACATCTCAGAAAAAAGCGTGCAGTCAGTTCAGAGAAAAACACCTGTTTATTGTATATTCGAACTGATCACATGCTTTGGAAAAAAATGCAAAGCAGAGAAAAAATAATCGGAAAAATTTCTGAACATGTGAAAGAACTGAATACAATGTATAATCCGACTGAATTTAGTAGTTCCAGTGGGACAATGAGGAATATTGGCTTCATGGTTAAAAGAATGATGGTGAATATATCTTTCATTTATTTGTTTGATTTAATTTTATGGTTTAGAACAGGGGTGGGCAAATTACGGCCCTCGGGCTGGATCTGGTCCACTGTGCCTGCTAAAATTATGACTATACTTTTCATGGATATAAATTTCAGTTTAAAATATGAATGAAAATAACGTCATAGACTCATAATGACCCCTATTGTGACATTGTGCTTCTTATTATTATAAATAAAATTAGCCTAGCTGTAACTGGTTTTTATTTATATTTTTTCATTTTGAGTTTTGAGCCTGCTTGGCCCAGTAACCAAGTCTATTATTATCTGTAACTGGTTCAGTCAGAACAGTAATTGCCCCACCCTAGTTTAGAACACCAAGCCTAAATATTTTGTCAATATAGGTTCTATTAGGTTCAAATCCCTTGTCCACTATTTTGCCCTTGATGTGATAATTTGGATGGTAATGCCGAATCAAAAAGATTTCAGTCGTTAGCTCCTTAGCCAGGTATTGCTGGCTGGGATACTGGCTGCTTGCACAAAGCCTTGTTTATGGTGAAAGCCTAAAGCTTTATAATGAAATCCTATTTTACTGTTTAACCTTCAGTGTAATTTTTAAATTCCATTATCAAGTTTTGTAAGTTTTTTTTATTCCTGTTCCTATTAAAATGGCTTCGAGTCAAAATATATGAAAATGGAATTCAAGAACAAAAATGGTTTGATATTCTATCCATGTGAGACTATGCTTTAAATATTTTGATTGAAAATAATATAATATAATCAGTAATATAATAAAATTTTCCCATTGAAATATTCATAAACACAAGGTAGGGTTCTTGTGTTTTAAATGTTTTACATGCTATTCCTGTTACAATGGTCAATTTTTATTTTGTCTCACTTCAACTCTTCTCTTTGTGAACACAAGGAGACATTTAATGGCCTTATTCATTATGTGCAACTAATTAGGAAAGTCATTAATTTTAATGTCTTTACTAGATCATGTGGTGGTAACTAACAGCCTCATTAAATCCTGAGTGACTCTTATTATTGAATTATACCCCTTATTAATTGTTTTGGTTCTTCATAGCATTACGTTTTCTCTTTAAACAAGGCACTGTATGAGCACTATGTGTAAATAGCTATTAATTTTTTATGAGAATTTGAATTTTTCTGATTCAGCCTACTCAGCTTATTACACCCTTAGTCAGGTGGTGGTTACAGGGTTTGAACCCGTTATTTTTATAACCCCCTTAGTTAAATTGAGGGCTCTAACTGTTAGGCCATTTATCCATATTATGTATTACAATATTTTTACCATATGTTTTCTTTATGACATTATGCTTATGCAGTTGCCAATATTTCCCAAAGTTCAAAATGTATTACCTATATGGTTTCTATATAATAGAATTTTGTGTAAACTTTTACAGGAATCTAATTAGTACAATATCCTTATTTTTAGATTAATGAAACAACTGATCCTAACGACTTGTTCTACAGTCCCAACATTGGCGTGGAAAAGTTTTTAGAGTTGGCATCGAGTCAAAATCACAATGACTATTGTCTTGCTTACGTTTTCACTCACAGGGATTTTGATAATGGTGTTCTGGGTTTGGCTTGGGTTGGTGGCGTAGGTATGAAGATTTTCTATTGATAGTTATGAAATTGAGTAATACAAAGACTGTTACATTGTATGCTAGTAATTTCCAAACTGTGGATTGCGAGATAATTTTGAATGAGTTGTTAGATATCGATCCATTCTCAATAAAAAATGACAACAATTCTATAAATTAACACGAAACAGAAGTACATCTACGGATAATGGACGTTAAGTCGGGTTATGATTGTTTATTTGCGTTGATTCCATGCGCATATATTATAAAACTTCTTCTTGTCGCAGTTTATTGGCAATAGTCCAATTTCCTTTCCAATGCATCACGATATGTGTTACAGAAAGTAAATGCACCATAAGCTTGAAATATTTGGGAACTTATATACTTATTTCAACGTAATATTTGAAAAGATAAAAATGTTTTTGTGTGAAATTAGGAAAATTAGTTTCAAGCTTTATACAATTTATTTGTACGAAGAAATCGCATGTATATCTTCATATGAATATGGTTATGATCCAGACCATGTGTGCTTTCAGGAAATATAATGAAATAAAAATAAACGATCACATTGTGCGTACCTGTGGTGTATCCTTTGAAAAAGTATTACCGGTAACTTCCCTTCACTATTCTCTATTTCACGGTCTCCCTATGTGGTGACATACTTATGTATTCACCATATGATTAAGCCCTTGCTACAATACAAAATCGTGTGGCTAACACTGATATTCAGTATACCATTAGTAATGACCTCATTGATAGAGGAAGTCATTTGAATGGTTGTTTAAACTTCTCAGTAGGATTCCCAATATTATTAAATTAACTTGGAATTTTCGAAAGTGATATTCAATAATTTCAATGAACACTGTAATCATTCTATTACTGTAATGATGATTTATGGATTACAGAATCATACAAAACCTTGGGTAAAGTTTACAACATACAAAATTTTAATAAAAAGATGGAAGTGGTACGTGTTCACTCACTGAAAGTAGAAAATGAATTGACACAAACACATACAACCCCAGAGATATGATAAAAAAAAAGTGTTGGATTACATTATATAAATTTTGGTTTTTATTCAACACAAAACTTGTTTTCTTTCCAGGTAGCACAGGTGGAATTTGTGATAAATACAGACAATATGATGGCAAAGCAGGGAAAAGTTTAAACACAGGAATCGTCACATTTGAAAATTATGGATCCACGGTGCCATCCAGAGTTTCTCATATTACATTTGCTCACGAAGTTGGTCACAACTTTGGTTCACCGGTAAATATGCCTTGCTTTTCTAAGTTGTTGGGCATTGTTGAAAATAATTTTATCAGAAGTCTATAACTTTTTAAGGAAATGAACAGTTTCTTCTTATGACGGCATCCATGCTTGTAAAAAAGGATTGTTTCATATAGTAGTAGCCTATGGTGTGTTTGTAGATTCCTGTTACAAATTCAAAATTTTGTCATGAAATCAGTTCTTAATATCTTAAACAAGTTCATTTTATTTTACTTATGGTTTTTTTTTGAATTAAGTACATCTGCATATGCCCACCATTGTTGCACAACCAAGCACATCAAAGTTCTTTGTCCTAATTTGATACAGGACTTTATGAACATGCTATATATTCGGAGTTTTTCTCTATAGAGCAACATATTTATAATCGATGTCAACAATGGGTGTGAACTCTAAGTTTATTGTAAATTATTATAGACCAAAAAAGAGTGACTGGCTTGTCTATATCAGTAGTTATCAGCGAACTGAATGGATAAATTACAAAAAGTCACTTTTTTTTTTTAATTTTTTGTATTTATCCAACGTTGGAGGGCTTTTGTTCAATTTTTAATTACTATAGGGCAGGGATGGCGAACCACTGACCGATTGGGCAGTCAGGGCCGCGATCGCTCATATTCAAATTGCTAATTTCTAAATCGGTATGGTCATTTTCAAATCCTTTAATGTCGGACGTATGTCTGCACCGCTGTGTACCGTTATTCAGCTATTGGCTCTGACATCGTTTATGACATAACAATGCAATTGATCTGTTCATTTCGCGTAACGTCTTGTCTCTTTCGGAAGTGCATCTGCAGACTGTTTTAGGGGTTATACTAGAACTAGATGCTACTTTGCATTTTATTAGTTTCTCGGTTACAATGCCATTGAAAAAACAAAAGCTTTCAGACTTGAAATAAAAATCTAGCGAACTGAAATAACAATGGGGCAGTGTAAAAGTGCCTCAATGGGGTTGAAAGCTGATCGAACTCGTTGAACCCGTAAAATAATTTGCCGCATCAGCCTAAACGTATTTGGTAATCTGTATGCATGTTTTCGTACTCTAATTTCATAAAATTGATTGCCATAAAAATCCCTGATAGAAGTGCTGCATAAGTACAGCACAAAACTACACCAACACCAACTGAAGCTTAGAAGATTTCAAATGTTTCTTATAGTTAGAAACATTGATAAAATATCTGTGACCCACTCTCTTCTTTCCGCGATAAAAAATATCATTTGTGACCCATTCATTGAAAAAGGTCCGCCATCCCTGCCATAGGGGCTACTTTATCAAGCTCATCACTTCATCAACTTTTGTGAATATTTGTTTGAAATCTCCTAACATACCTTCCTAATTTACTATTGTGACTTCATTTTTATTCACAGCACGACTCTGGCTCTCAATGTACTCCTGGTGAAAGCTTCAGATCTGTTGGAAATTACATTATGTTTGCCAGTGCAACGTCTGGACAGAAAGATAATAATAGAAAATTCTCTGATTGCAGTAAAGGAAATATGAGTCGCGTCTTGGAAGCAAAAAAAGATGATTGTTTCGTTGGTTAGTTATTTTCGATTCCATTTTTCATCTTTAACCAGTAATTTTGACTTTGATTCCACCTTTAGAAATTCTCTCGACTCTGGGGAAAATGGAAATGAAAATAAGAATCCAACTTCAATATCAATCAAAAGCTCCGATTCCATAATCATGTCTATAATCTAGTGTTTCTCAAACTTTCATGATTTCTGCCCCCCCTTCCAAAGTATCACATTACTCCATAGACCTGCATCACCAATGAAAAAAATTATCATTTTAACTTATTTTCATCTAGGCTTCCATTTTATTCGCTACATTGCTAAAAATATAAAGACAACAATTGAAAGTGAATAGGTTTATATTGGATAAAGAATTAAACAAATTGATTAATTATGAATTGACGTGGTTGATGCAAATGGTACCTAATGAAGGCCTTTGATTGTAACCCTAGGAGACCCGATCCGCGCCCCATATGGGGGGACAAGGGCCCAGTTTACAAAATCCTCTCCTTTATAAAATATTGACTTGTATTTAGTAGAATTTTTATGTTTAATCAATTGTTTTAAATAATCAAAACTTATTCGAATTTTGAATACAAAATATTTATGTACTAAATGAATACTTCTAGTTAGTAGTTACAGTGATTGAAAAAAATTTGTGTTTTTAGAATCTGATCTTCCCATATGTGGTAATGCAATTCTGGATGAAGGAGAGGAATGTGATTGTGGATATGCAGATCAATGTGAAGAAGTGTTCGATCAAAATTGTTGTTATCCAGCTGATGACAAAAAAAATGGTTGCAAATTGAAATCAAAAGCAAAATGCAGGTAGGCAAATGGGTTGATTTTGCTCGATATAACTTACTCTCATTTAAATTGTAGAAAGCTTTTTTTAAATAGAATTTACTGATTAGTATTGTGAAAATTTAAGAAAAGAGAACACACAAATCAGTTGTGAATCTTTTTATTTTTTCAGTATTACTCAGGGACCATGTTGTGACCCAAGCACTTGCAATTTTCGATCTTCGAGTTATGTGTGCTCTCCTGATGCTGAATGTCAAAAAGAACAAACATGCAGGTAATTTACTTTCATACTATTTTCGATTTGCTTTTCATCATTGATAATTTTGTTTATACGAAGTGTACATATGGACCAACTTTCTAAATTGTTGTTGTTGTTGGGTCTTTGTTTCACTGCTATTGTATTGTGTTGGGGAAAAATCATTTTTTGATGACTGTACACCAATCAATTTTAATAAAGATTTATTTGACTCCCCTCAAAATAAGACCTACTCAATAACGCAAAATTTTGCGATAGCAAGAAATCCCTCCTACACGTTTTAAATGATTGATAATTAATATATGTTTTGCAGTTATTTTGAATGAAAATGTGATATTTATAAGTAAATTGATATCGGTTTTCGTATTCTGTATATTTGAAAATCTGGTTATTCTCTAATTTGTAATTTTGTTTTCAATTAATGAAAATATATGAGATCCCCCGAAAATGAGTTTTCGTGTTATTTTTCGAAAGAAAATTGAAATAGGACCCAGACTTATTTTCGGGAAAACACTGTATATGTAAATAAAATTTTAAAATATGTAAAAAAATGTGAATTTATGCTTTTTTATATGAAGTCTGTTTGTGCATTTTCACTAATATAACAATGATTTGAATTAATTTAATTCTTGCTGAACATAATATGGTATTATTTTAAATTGGGTTCATTCATGCTTACTGTACTGTCATTTCACTGTTCTTTTCAACCAGGAAATTGCGTTTTAGAATTTTTCATATTACGTGTTGTTTGTACAGGCCTGGTTTCTCATAATGAGTCAAACTGGATCTTTCTTTATAAATTAATTCTCTGCAATTTTGTGTCGTGTGTTAAGAATAACTCATGTTTATGTATGGAGGTGGTAGAAGTGTAATTATGTTTTTCTTTCACAAACGTCAAACACCCTTACTTAATTATTATTGTGCACTCATATCATGATTTATATTACGAATATGGAGTCCATGAAAACAATGTTTTCATTCCTACTAATGACATTTAGGGCTATGCATTTTTGGAAAGCTGATGATTTCAGAATTGAATTGAATATTTTTTTCAAATGGAATCTCGAATACTTATGTGTGACTTTTTTATTGTGATGGTCTTCCGGCACGTAAGTCGAGAATTCGAAATACTCAGCCCTGATAGTATGTTCATGCTTACACAGTCACACCATCATTTTTGTGAGTCACAGCATGATTACCTTTAATACCATGGTTTAATCTACCTACTGAAACAACTGGTGTATCTGAATGTATCCTTAAGATTTAATTTTTAGGTTTTAGGTGGACTAAAAACTACATAAAAGTGTAGAACAATTACTTTTGTACCATCTATAGACAATAATTAACAGGGAATATAACTCTACTAATCGGACCTATAATATACAATCTGTATATGATGGCAATCAAATCATACACATATTTTCGTCCTAAAACTTGTTACACGATTGAATATTGATGATTTTAGTTACGTTTCTAGGTAATTTCGTGTCAATTTAATGTGCAATCTAAAATATTTTATATCAATTTAATTTCATGTTTAATTTTTAGTTCTGATAGTTATTCTTGTCCAACTGCTGAACCAAAAGGAAATGGAACAGTTGAATGTAATTATGGAACACAAGTTTGCTGGGCAGGAGTAAGTAATGCTATCATTATTAATTTTATTTTATGCAAAGAGTTATTTCGGTCTTGTGATGTTGTCATTGGTTCCCTAACGTTTCGAACTTATGACCTATTTAATTTCTGTGACACAAATCATGACGCATCATTTCATGTCCAGTTCTGGATGTAGATAAAAAGTAATTTTTTGGAGAAGTGGATTAATGTTTTGTGACACATCCAAAACACTCACATTTTTGAAACCTCTGGGCTATGTGGTTAGCTGGGCATCATGGTGCTCCTAAACCTGGTGGCTCACTGTATTTATTTAAATGCTCTTGCGTTCAGAGCTCGTTCAGAAAAACTATTGTGAAATTTCTTATAAATTTTAACTTTGCTTAATTATCAGGAATGCTCACGTTCCATTTGTGAAAAATATGGCTTGGAAGAATGCAGTTGTAAAGTACCAGAGAACGGAGATACGTCCATTGCTTGTCACGCTTGCTGTCAGACTAAATGTAATTGCATTTTATTTTTGAGGGGGTTTTTCCAGATAATTTTGGAAATGTTTTCGGTAGATTTATATTATATTTGTTCATGGCATAGAACCTATATATAATATTAATTATTATCAATTAGTGAATTTAAAAGCAATCTCTCATAATATTCGAATATTACGTTAAAGTTTGATGAAGTCAGTAGTGTATGTACCAGCAGCTTTTCAAGAATTGCTAGAGTCATTTCATGTATTGACTGAAACCTAAAATAGAAACCATATGTTATCGCTCATCTTTGAACAAACCCTATTTAATATTAGTTTCCAAGAAGTGGATTGAAGTCTTGAATTTCTCATCGACTACTGACAGTTGGCAATTTGTTTGAAGATTCGTATCAGGATTAAATAATGATGGGTTCATATTCAAAGCCAAAGCCAGCACCCTGTTCACCTCTCCATGTAGCTATTTGTTAAAAGCCTTGTTTAGAGTGGCTTTACGAGACATTTCAGAAACAAAATTTTGGTGCATTCTTCTCTTAATTTCATAAAATTTTATTCAAGTCACCGTTGTAAACAATATTTTCCCAATCCTCACATCTAAGTTTTGTGTATCTCTTGATAACTTAAAGTGTAATGTCACAACTTCTTTTCAGCTATGCCAGATACTTGCAAGAGCACTGGAGATTCTGAATATTCACCCTTTTTCAATGGAACAACAATTCATCTTCAGCCTGGTTCCCCATGTGATAATTTCAAAGGTATTTTTAAATTGTTACTTTTTTGTTCTGAAGTAGCCTACTATCTGCGTGCAGCAAAGGTAACAGTATCGTCAGCATTGAATTAGCTGGAATAATGTTCTCAATTTTCCTCATTCAATATTAGGATGTTTATAACTTACCTAACTGTCAAACAGTAGCATCTGTTATCAGATGGGGAATTCCAAAATGAAGCATTCTAAACCAAGAAGTCTTGTAGCTTTGTTTTGGAGGTTGCTTATTTTGAGTTTTGTTCGAATAGAACATGCTAAATTCCTCGTAGAAATGGTTGGTTATAAAGCTATATGAATGTCTTACTTTAATTGAGCTAAAATACTGTATGTCATGGGTACATTGCATTTAACCTAAATTGCTTTAACCAGGATACTGTGACATGTTCTCGAAGTGCCGACAAGTTGATGCAGATGGCCCATTGTCGAGATTGAAAAAGGCAATTTTAAATCCAGAATTATACAGAACTATAAAAGAGTGGATTGTGGTATGATTTATGTTATACTGTGGTCATGTGCCACCATGGTTTCAATTCGGTGACCAGATAAAATCATAAAATGCTGGTTAATAAAGGCTGTTCTGAGGCATTATTATTTTTATGTTTTTATTTTACTTATTTATGGTTCAATCAATCCTTTTCGGCAACCAAGTATACTTAGCTTAGAAATTTGGGTTTTGACTCAGATACCCATCAAATATTCTAAGGTGTTATAAATTGATGATTTTGAATTTGTTTACAGCAATACTGGTGGGCTGTCGTTCTCATGTGTCTTGCGCTCGTCATGTTAATGGCAGGATTTATTAAACTCTGCAGTGTCCATACTCCAAGTAATAATCCAAGGTTACCAAAGCACAGACAGTTGCCAGGTATTTATCAAATATTAAAGACTCAAATTTTTACCAATATTTTTGCAAATATTGTGAACTAATCAGTCTGGAATTTGAGACCTAAGTTACCGTAGTTGGACTATCCAGCTAAGGCTTGCAAATTCATAATTTGCTCATAAATCAGATTTTTAAGTTAACTGTTGATGAGACATTGACCTGTTAGCTTTTAGTAATTGATTAACAAGTTGGAATTGACTATTGATGGCATAAATTGTCAGCGAAAGTAACATAATAAATTTATAACAGTATCCAGGTTAAACTTATGGTTGGATCAAATCCTAATGGTCGTCTTATCAATGAGTCTCATTTAAAACATGTATGATTTGCTGATGTTCATGTTTAGTTAGTTTTATATTCTGAATATCTTTCCCATTTTCGTTCAATTTTAACGGATATAAATTGTGCTTACAAAAAATATTCTGAGATTCAAAAAAAATTTTGACATCAGTTATGACTGGACTAATCTATTTATTGCTAGTATTTTTGAATTGTCAATAAGTTTTACAATTTTGTCAATATTCAATATTTTTAAGAGCCTTGCATAACTTAGAACAGCTGTTTTCACTCTTGCTACAGCACCCTTGCATTATATGCGTATGATCACACCATTCCAAAAGCATAAAAAGATGAGTAGTTAGTTGGTCCTGCAGAAACCCAATTGATAGCATATATTAAATATTGTATCATCATCGACATGAAATATAAAATTTAAATTGTGAGGAAATTTCCCACAAAGATTGTACAATTATTTGTGTGAATTCACATAATGTTAATTAATCCAGTATCCAGAAGATTTGTTTTATTGAATCACATATCCTCTGGTAATTTGTGGTCAATCGACTTTATGAAATTTTACCTAACCTACCTAATTGCATGTGCGTTATTAATTTTTTACAACAAGGTGCCGGTACTTTGAAACGAAGACGACAAGCTCAACAACGCCGCCAACAAAATCAGAGATCTCGTATGAATTATGAAATGAGAATTCACTAACAAAAACACTGTTTTTATACAAACTATATAATCTTTCTTCACAAGCTTTACTCAAAAATAATCTGAAACTCTGATAGGCTTTTGCTGCCTGTGTGAATTGCCCTTTACCCCTCTGGTTTGTACTTTTGTAAAGGGAAGATCTATCACAGTGGTTCCCAACCTTTCATGGCTCGTGGCCCCCTCCCTTGAAGTTTTCAGCACTCATCACCCGTTTATCATTCCAGTGGTATTCAAGGTTTTATTCTAATTGGTAGATTCCAAATCCCTTTATGTTCAAACAATTCATGCTCAACAAAGTAATAATAACCTAATCGATCAATGAAACCAGAAAGAAACTATTTCTCTGTCAAAGCAAAGTAAAAAGTTTTGTGCCTAACATTGTTGCCCCCCCCCTCCCTCTACAACTGGGCGCTCGGTTGGGAACTGCTGGACTATCAGAAATTACCCATTCAATATGGAAAAACTGCAGTAATACTAATACTCCTGCATTCAACATACTGACTGCACTGTAATCAGGGATGGCCATTTCCGAATACTAAACTATTCCGAATACATTCTAAAATAATGTTTTCGAATCTGGAATTCCGAATACATTCTAAAATCGAAAATAACACATTTTTGTTTTAGTTGATTAAAACCCAGTAAATTAGGACATAAGCTTCAATTGAAATATCAGAATGAAGCCATAAACCAACAGTATATGTACACAAAGTAATTGATAGTTCACAGCTATCAATAAAAAATAATAGCAACTTGTGACACGGTCAGTTTATTAAAATTATTCACTTTGTACAAATGACCATATGAAAAGATAGCCAAGGAGTTGTCTGACGCTTTCTATCATTGGTACCATGATATTACGATAATAGTCAAGTCTATTGACAAAAATACTACTTGTATTCAGATAATTGTATATATTTTCTGAGAGTAATAAAAATCTATTGGCAATACAGGCAACAACAATCCAAAATCCATTATGCCTTTAGAAATTCTAATATTTAAGCCTGAGGTATTCTACTACCTATCAGTATATTTGTATATTAATTTATGTGAACCATATTGTTATTATGTGTAACATATTGTTGTGTTTGGAATTAGAAATAAATTAGTAGAGAACAGATGACCACCACTGCCAGCGTGCAGCCAGGATTTTCGAAATCGGAAATTCCCATTGCCGCCTGTAACACCCACCGCGATTTCGCGCTCGTTAAAAGAGCCGTCTTTTCAGCGTATAATGATCATTCTGTTACGTAAAATATTCAATGACAACTACGAGATTATAAAATATTTTCATATATTAATTCAATGTGTCCAACGTAACTCACGGTTGTTCTTCTTACGTCAAAAAAAAACATTACTATTAGGTCCACGGCGATCTGTGACCTAAAATTACGAGATAAACTGCCTGATGTATTTAATTTTAATACGTATTTTTGCAATCTTGCCAACTCGTTATCGCCGTTAGAAAAATCTCAAATAATTATATAAAATCCTGTTTAGTGTAGAGTATAATTCATTTCATACAATGAATATACATATAAACTTAGCAGTGAATTAAAAATACATATTCATCGCCGCGATTATGCCACCTGTTAAAAGAGTCGACTTTTACAACAAATAATATAACAACGAATATATATTTTTCTGTTGTGCAAAGTGATGGATTCGTGACCGACACGCGTATTTAAAATGTCTTGCTTTATTAGTTTAATTGTCTTCAATTTAACCTGCGGTTGCGTCGACAAAATAAAATCCTCACCGCTCCTATATACCATTGCAATCCGCGGTTATAAAATAAAAAAAAAATAAAAAAGTGAAGTAAACTGTCCGATTAAATCTTGTTTTGATCCGTATTTTGCGAATTGGGCAAATATTTAGATCTACTTGTTAACAGTGACTCCGCTCGATCGAAATGCTGCCACTCTGATTATTTTTAGATAGAACCGTTCGAAAAATCCATAAATATGCAGTAATATCTCAGAGTAAAATTTATTTCATCACAATAAAATTGATTGAATATACTTTAGATTAATTATATTATATACATCCTCACAACTCGGGAAAAAGTCGCGTTTCAAACCTTGTATCGTGTTACCACGGAAATATTCGACGGCAATTTAAAGTAATGGATAATCAGGCAAATCACGCCCTCAATTAGTGACGATATGTTTCTAAACGCCGACCAAAATTTAGCGATTTTCACTGCCTAGAAAAGCGTTTTTTAAATTTTCGCGGGCCTCAATAAAACTTATATTGTTTACGATTTTATTTTCAGTATTTTAAATTGCCGCTTTTCAATCAAAAAGTTGCGTTGTCTTTAGAAACTCGCCGCCAATGAACGTATTTACCAGATTCACAATTCCGTGGGCGTACAAAAATAAAATAAATGTTATCGTTATCGTGGAACAAATTTGTGGAAAATTTTCGTTTTAGAGAAAATAACACAAACGTAAAGGCGTTTACGGCCTAAATAACACGTTACGCTGATGAGTGATGAAAACAATCACGCGCAAGTTTCTATCGAGAATGTTTTCATTCAACGGAAACGTCTTGAAAGCGGCGTCGAAAATGTGTGACGTCACACAAATATCCGATATTCTTATGAACGTGAATTCCGATATTCGAATGACGAGATATTCGAATACATTCGAATACTTTATTCGAATTGGCCATCCCTGACTGTAATATGTTAAATATATCTATTCATACTTGACAATGATTCAAGCATATTTCATGACATTTTCTGTGTGTTATAATGATAACCAGCATTTTTGAATTAGCATACTTTGTTATGGGAATGAATAATGCTTCTGATCTGAATTTACTATTTACTTAATTAATCAACGTCAGTGACTTAGCATGCTTTTTTGATATATCTTTGATGGCATTGTCGTTGGGGCTACTTTCTCTATTTTTAGCCAACATTTTGAGAGTAAGTCTGTATTAGATATTGAATATTACATTTGATGGATTTTTGGATTTAGAATATAGTGACGATTACCATATTTGAAAAAAAAAATTGTAATAAGATACTGAAAGAAGATAATATGGTTTAATATCTAATACTTTATTGCAAAGAGATGTCAATAACCCTTAAATTGTATAATTTTGGAGTTGATTGTAGACGATTCTTTTTGTGTGACCATGATAATTTTCTTCTGAATCTTTCTGAATCTTCTGAATCCCTTTTAATTTCCTCTACTTTTGAGCTTAATTAATTAATGTAATTGTTTTTGGATTAATCATGTATTATCGCGTAATCTGCCTTGACACGGTATAAGCTATTTAATTTTTTGCATCATATGTTTACTACTAATTATACTTTAATTGCTTATTATGCAAAGCCTTCTTCAAGTAACCTATTGCTTTTATAAATTAAGCTAGAATAGAATAAAATGTATGAACGACCATGACTTAATCTACAGGTTGAATGATGTTCTTCGTAATTCTGCAAAAATAATTTGTTTTAAAACCATATATTTTGTTCTTAATTTTGCTTTCTAGTTATTTTATCCGCATTTGAAATTTATAGTTTTTAAGGATAAATTTGGTACAATCTTGGCATCCTTTTTTTGTGCATTAGATAGTCCTGAATTTTGTTGTAGTAACACATCCGAAACTCATTCAATCCAGACCCCATTCTACAAAAACTGGCACATATGCTATAATCCCATATTCCTATGTAATTTTGAAATCGGTTTAAAATAAATAGTAATTTTCTGAAACGCAAAGTCATCGGTCAGAAGATCCTACATTTTATTCTGCTATGAAATATTGCATATGTCGCTTCTTTATTTACCATATTATCGGTAGTTTACAGCATTTTTTGTGTCAATGTAGTTCTTTCTTTTTTGCACGCATTTTACAGCATTTAATTTTTACCCAGCAACACATTTTTCTTTCAATTTACACGCTTACCAGGTACAGCACAAAATAAAAGACAATATACAGCTGCACAACAGATGAGACGATAAACTTTGTCCGATGATGGCTTCGATCCCTCGGAAACAGGGAAACTGTGTGGATACACCAAGAAGACTGTTTTGTGGATTCAATTTATCTGGCATTCCAAATATTATTATTCAATCTTGGCAAAGTCTTCAACCTATCTACTTAATGTTATCGAAATTGGAATTATTGTATAAACTATACATAATAAATTAAGCCAAGACATTTAGAAATTTACCAAGCACGATCGTCATTATTGGATTGGCTGTCAAAAAGTTGGATGCTTCGTTCAATGAGGATATTGATATCAGTAAACGAATGGTATTTTGTGATTACCTAAAAACAAAAAATAGCGTTGCCGAAATGAAAAAGATACAGATTCAAAGAACAAATTATATTTTTGTGCCTCTTGCTACAATTTTATTAAATATCAACATAGAGAATATCATAGCAAAGCAGTGCATCATATTTTCATCCTATTGTTGCTTTGTGTTATTGCTTTTTCCTTGTTTTCTTAGCTTAATATTTCCTTTTTATTTGGCTTTTTTAATTTACCTTTGTATGTTTGGAGCGGAACTGCACCTGACTGAGTGTGTCGCTTTTATGAACAACTGCGAATTTCATCAAATTGATCTATTTATACTGATATGTTCATTAGTATCTAAATCATTTTCTAACGTTTGTTGGTTTTATTGCAGATTTGTGTACTCCTCTGTTATATTATGATAGTGAAAGATAAGTCCATATATATTGGTAAACTCAGAATCAATAAATTTATTATTATGCCTTTCCAATACATTAACCTGGCGGCACAAACCTCCCAAACTGTTCAGAAGTGCAGTCGTTTTGTTTACTGTATTGCTGCACTGTTTTATGACTTGTGGGTGGCAACTGTTTTTTGAATTTTCTATCATACTTCATTTAGAATTAGATTTCATTGTTGCGTTAATCCATGGCAATAAAATATATTACCTTTGTTTTAAATGTTAATTTATGTAGTAAAAGGAGTTGAAAGGTTGTAGACACATATCTAAGTTCTCTTATTATCAGTGCGTCAGTTATTGAAACCTGATTTCAAGTAAGGATTTTCACATACTGATCACAGGGGAGAGAAAAGCCGCAAATACTGCTAAATCGTATGAGGAATCGAACCATTTCGCCTGCAAACCAGTCCAGGTCTGGTATGAGGATAGTTGGTAATGTATTCATACCAGATGTATAAGCTATTTTCGCCAGTCGGATTTAGTGTGGTGAGGTAAAACAATAAAGTAAGGATAGTCAGTGGTACAACACAAGTAAATGTAAACCGGCTCCTTGGCTAGGCGGCAGAACTTGGATGCGACAACAGCACATTACTTTCAAGTATGACGTCATCTGAGGGCGTTGCCGTTGGTTTCCTCCACGTCGTGCGCTAGCGAACTATGTGTAGTTTTTTGTGGTGACGTAATCGGCATGTTTTCATCTGCGGTATGTCGCTTTGAATTTTGTTAAATTCTCCGCCCCGTTTGACTTGGCTGTGGGCTAATTGTTAATGTGAGCTTCAAGATCTTATTGGCTTCAACTTGTGCTTTTTCTCAGGAATCATATGTAACTTTACTCAAGAGACAGACAGATGTATAATCTATTCTATCTTGCCACTGACGACGGAATATGCGCGATGTATACACCGAAGATGATTTACCGTCGTAAATCATCCACTAATTTATATTTATTTGCTATAAAGTTTGGTCTATTTTAATGCTGTTAATTCTGTCATTGTTATGTGCCGTAGAATGATTGTCAAAGTGGAGTGAAAATTTAGGCAGCGGCAAGCAGACTGTCAAATATCGGGATATCAAGCTCAAACAGTCAAAGATGAAGATTTAGCTTACTGGCCTGATAAACATTACGGTACTGCATTAGGTCAGCGGGGCTATTACAGAATTCAGCGAATTACTGAATAAAAGCTTCTGTCAGTATGTATGAGGAATATTATGCAGATTCATATAACATTGTAACACAATAAATCTATAAATGCTATTTCTAGCCTATATACATTCAGACATTACAGTTAGATTAGAGAGACTTCATAGTTTTGTTTACTCCTGTACTCCCATGTCTGTTTTTTGTATGAAGTTTTTACTTCAGTGATTGGTATTGCAGTTAATTCACATACAAGCATCTGCCTGCAACACCTGAATGTGTCCTGGCTGAGCCTGAGAAAGCAAAGACCTGATATATGTCAGTCTTTTGTTCAGTGTTTCTTGTCATGTATTGATAGTTTCTTCATTTTTTGAGGCCTGGTCGTAGTGGTACTGACTGACTGAACACTAGACAGGTAGACCCCATGTTGCCATGTGTCTTCATTTGTTACTCTTTTTTACACTCACAAGTTTTGACACAACTATAGCTGTATAGCATAATATAACATGTTATTTTGTGGTATTATTTGAATATAATTACTATTCTGTTTCATGCTTTGTAGAATGGTGTGAGGAGTGTAGTACATTGTACGTCAACAGTAGAAAATTGCCTTCGTTTAATAATATAAATTGATCGCATTTAATAGCAAGTCTCAATTGAAAATTTTACGTATTTTTTGAATTGTACCACACTTTTGAACTATGGTAATATTACAGTATTACTGTATTACAAGGATTTTTGGGTTTAGTAGATTTTAATACCACAAGTACTTCCGTTGGGCGTAGCATAACAAATTTTGTTTATGTTATTCCTAACCCCCTCCTGACTATGTCATTCAAAATTTAGTCACTTCGGCGTCACAATCACATCATAGAGCTTTCCAAGTATAGCTACCATCGTTCGAAATGGCATCTGCGTCGACGATGCCGAACACAATAACGCCAGCGGTCTCTCTCCTATCGGGATCATTGTGACGAGAAAACGAGAGAAATAGCTTGCTTGATTTTGGGTGATTGTCTTCGCGTTTTGGACGACCATCTGTACACTTTGGAGGTATTTATTACACCACTGAGGCGTCATAGTGGCATAATTTTTTGGTGACATAGTCAGTTGGGGGTTAGGAATGACATATGCAAAACTTATTGAGCCAGGCCAACTAGAAGTGCATGGGGTACTAAACTATACCAGACCTGGATTTTTTATGTCATGGAAAAAGATTATTTTATAAATTGAATACAAATGTGACAGTATTATTTTCCTCCAAAGTTCAAAAGTTTATACATGCAAGATACAATCTCAACCTCAAATTTTTCATCATACAACTAGATCTGCAGACTGAAATAGAGTCACATTTCCAGAAGTTGTAAAATAGAAACTTGACAAGTGAGTGCGACCACATGTAAACATTGAAAAGTGTGCCGCACTGTACTTGTACAGGAAATCTAGATAATTTACATGTTGTAAGTTCATATTTGTTAGACTAAATTGACGAATATTTGGTATGGCTTCATCCATCAGCCACTTTTAGACTTTCCATGTCTAGATAGTGTATTATATAAATAGTGAAACATATGGTTTTATCCTGACTATGACACCAACAAGACCGTGCTCCTCATAATTTGCAACCTTCAAATGTGCAAGATGTGTTAGCCATTGAATATATGTTTTGAGCATGTGTGTTACCTCATTTTTGCATTTATTAATAGTACGTTCAGTTGCATAGGACGATACAATGTAATATTTCTGTACATTTTTTAATTTATTAAATCTGTATAAGAAAGAACAAAATTCCAGAATACATCGCTAGGTGCTAGCTATAAATAATTGAACTGTTTAATGTATTCAGTGGCTGAAATATCTGTTATAATACTTTGATTTATATATTATATAAAGCATAAGCTATTATAATATTCTTGCAAGGTTAATTGGAAATATACATCTCAGATACAATATGATGAATCCCCACATACCAGCTTACGGACATATATGTATGCGATAGCGAAATTAAAATTATCACAAAGTAGTTTTTCATTATAAATTCCAGATTATCATAGATCAGAGTTGTTCATATTTATTTATAAAATGTCACAATTTCGGAATAATTATATGAGGTTTGGGTATCGAGCAGTTGCATTGTCTGTTGTATACTTTTCTCATCACATTGCATCTTCAGCTAAATGGTTACTGTCTTTGTAATTGATATCGTTTGCTACAAAGGATGTGTTATTTTGCTAAGTATGTGTTTCATTCGTAAGTAGACAAGATCAGAATGAAAATGTTATTCAATATAATTTTGGAATTTGGCCTGTGTTAATTGTGTTGCGGCAATAACATGTTGATTTAGGTAGAACAATTTCACTTTATCAATGAAACATTAACACTCAGCAATGATGACATTTGGGCTGTAATAGCAGGAAATTATTCCAAATTTATAAATCACGAATAAATTTTTTGAAAAATTCATGTTTGCTTCATTTTCGATTTTTACATTTTATGTCATTTTGTAAAATTAATTACCATCAGTACACAAGTGAGAGCCCCGAATGTTTTGTAATGTGAATCAGAATTTTAGTGTAGGAATTTATTAAATAACCAAGTTTATTTTTTGGGGGAAAAATCATCCGATTACTCACTAAAATAATTCTTTTCTTTTTGAAGCATGTCGTACAAAAGGGCCTGTGGAACTGACAAGTTTAGAAACCTCTATTTCACTTCCTGGGTATATTGACCCTTATACTGATGACCTCATATTTATGCCTTCAGTTCTTAAAGTCAGTACAATTATGATTTCTCACTCAACGATTTAAATTTTGACTTGCGACACTGTAACCTTAATTTTATTTATATGTCGATACTTAATAATCATGAGATTTATTATGCCCCATTGTAGAATGAAAGTTTCAACTTTCATGTTAATGAAATTAATGATAGTGTTTGCAATTTTTATGTACAGTTAGATAGAATATTTGCATTAATAAGTTAGGTTGCTTCGAAGAACAAAATGTCATATTTAAGGACAATTTCATTGTCTGTTTGTTCAGCAAACATCAGTTGATATTCTTGATAATCAACATCAATGTATTATTAATAGATCATCTTTGATTACCTATGGCATGTAAATAGACACCTATAATCGAATTTTTCGAAGATTATATTAAATTAATATCGGGTTATTCATGAACTACTATGGACCAGTGCTGTATATATCTACAATGCTTGTTTTACCCTTTGTCCATATTTAACCGACTGTGATTCAATTTCAAATTTTAGCATGCTTGTTAATGTGACTCCTTATCTTGCTTAGCTACTGGCTGAAGACCAGATGTCACTGTTAGTAAAGCTTTTTATATGGTAAACAGTTTCGCCCCCATGAGGTCTGTGGTTTTACTTGCTTGTGTGCTTTCCAATACATTATGATCATAGTGCTAAGTGTGTATGCCTTTTCCAATGCCATTGTGAGCTTCAGATTTATTCTTAATTATTCACACCAACTTGTGAAGTGATTTATTATTAGGCTCCATTGTTATACTATTCACCTTCATTACAAAATTTAATTCACTTCTTAAAAGTCAGTCAACTGGTAAGGTTGTTGGTGGCTCGTAGATTAATAGTAAGAACAGCCAAATTAAGATATATCGTGAGTTGTACACCACTCGTGCGGTTTGCACAAAATTGTTTCAAAAATTTTAATGTAGTAATTAGTTGGTGTGGTAGTTTGCCTGCAGCAGAAATTGTAATCGTGTCTAGTGCTTTAGTTAATACAAGTAAAACTATTTAATGTTTCTCAAGTAGGTGAAAAGTATGTCTAGAATTTTGAAATATTCCTCATCTTTACTATGCCTCAACTATGTTGTTAAAATTAGTTTAAAATTTATAGAATCTCTTCAATTCAATAAGCAATTAGACATGGAAAGATAGCGATTGGTTTTGATTTAGATTTACCAATTTCACCGCAGTATTGGTTAAGATTATTTGAGCATATTAATTGAAAAATGAATTACCAGTATCAATTTTTAAGGTTATTTATTATGCACTTTTAAGTTTACAGATATCAGTGAAAAAGGTTTTTCTCATTGCAAAGTTTTTCTGCGCACACATTCGATCAGATGAATGTACATAAGACACTAAGACTTGAAGCTTTGCTTGGAAAATTTTTTTACCCACTCATCAGTTAATATTTATATAAAAATTTATCCAATATTCGCCCCCCTTACAATTATTACAGCAGTGAGAATTTTTACTCGGAAATTAACGCTGTCAAAATTTATTTGATACATAGTATTATTAAGGTTCCATACAGTTTAAACTCATCTAATAACATGCAAAATATTCCCATTTTCATATTTAGATTAATAGTTATTTCATGTATATAAGCTATATATTAATAATATATAATCTTTAAACGGCATTGTTTGCTTCAATGCTGAATATTTTAAATATTTGTTGACGCAACTGCAGATGGTGTTACTAAACCAAGCTGATATGGGTAAGATATTTTTTTCTGGGTTTATCTGATTTGAATAATTATGTATTTTTATATAAAATTGGAAAAAATCTTCATTTTATTGTGATAGGATAATTTTAAAAATTAGACATGTATGTTGATTATTTAATTTCACAATGCCTTCGTCTAATATTATCTCACATGTCGCGAAAAAAAAACGTTTCGAATAGTTATAGATTTGAGATACCTAATATCCGTTTAAATATTTGTTTAAATTCCATTGAAATTGCGGTCAAAATGTGTCAAATTCTATGATATGGTACTATTCCTATCTAAAAGCAATATCTTTATAATAATCTTGTAATATTGTTAGTATCCTGCATGTAGATTATTGCTGGTACTACCCCAAGGCAAGTTATCCACGAAAGTTATTTTTGTTATTATCTGATAGATATAAAAGAGAGCGTCGGTCTTATTATCTTTCAAACAGATCTATGTAATTCGATGCATTTTTTCCGCATCATAAATATGCGTGGCATTCTTTTTGCTCCCAGAAGAGCGACCGTTATTATATTTCCTGTAGCAATGTGCTACATTATCCCTCTTCGATCAGTCCAGTCATTATTTACAGTGATAACATTGTGAACAAAAAGTGTAGTTATATTATCACAGCTTTACGCAATGCTGCTGTGTACTTGTTTAGACCTAATCCTTAAATATACTTTTACAACTACGTGTTGCATCAACGGAATCACTTGTTCGTTCGTGTTACTATAATTTTACCATATGTTTCCTTTATGATATTATAGTGCAGTTGCCTATATATCCCAGAATCCAAATTTATTTGAATGTTGTTTTTGAAATAGCTGCACTGATTAAAGTACTTTTGTTAAATATGATGCTCTTTTTGCATTTTGGATAAGATTTTTTTATCACAATGCTATACAATTCGATCCAGCATTACAAATTATATAACAAAAATATAAAATAGTGTCCTGGCCCTGGGATTTACAGCAATGTTTGAAAAAATATTTGAACTATGTGAATGTGATTAACATAGGTATTTATTCTTTTTCTTTTACATATGAATCTTCACAATATGAATGAATTTTATACTGAACAGCTGTAAGTAGTTTTATATATTAATATCAATAGTTATAATTCGGCATTGGTTTAAGTTAGATTTTAACATCTTTAAAAGTATGTTTCGTCCAATTTTAATCTGTTTGTATATGAGGTTTGTTCACTTGAAGGTGACAGAAGCTAATTGTGGTCAAGAGGTTCTTTATTATGTTAAAATTCCTGTTCTTTTGTTTACATCTATAAATCATTATTGTAGGAAATCTCAAAATGACATAATCTGCCAATTGCTGCTACGTTGATTTTCTAATCTTATTTTAGTGGTACAATTTATTTATTGTTTTATCACCTGTGTTATGACAGCAACAGCCCAAAACATTGGACAGCTATGTGGGTTTCGCGAACCTGCCCAACCAACTGTATAGGAAATCGGTGAAGCAGGGATTTGAATTCACCTTAATGGTAGTAGGTAAGGAACTCTGATTATTATATTTTTTTCGTACACCACAAAATAAATATTTATAAAGATCGGCAATATAGACAAAAATATCTCATACTACTTGAGCCGTAACATATCTTTCATACCGCTGCAAATGCCACACGGTTTGTTGTTTTTATTCGCCCGGCTTATTATAAAATTCTCTTTAGCTATTGTCCTTCAAATTGTCAAATACTCTGTATAAATTTACTTTGTAATATGATATGGGATGCCGTAAGTCTTAGTTATATTAGGCATTGCAAAGAAGACAAATACATTGAAATTTAAGCTATTTGATTTTGCTTTTTTTTAAATTGAAAGTTCATTATATCATTTTTGGAGTGTAAAGTTTCAACTTAAAATAATGTAGGATAATTGTTTATTTTGAACCTCTCAGATTGAGCATATGAAATTTATACTTAATAATCTCCTAAATGTCTGTAGCCTACATCTTTAACATGCACATTCCAAAGTCTAATTAATTAGTAATTACCCTTCTGAAATGAACAAAAATTTTTATTATCAATTTGTTATTGCATTATAGTTAAATTCCTATTAATCAGTATTTCTCAATATTTAATGTGAATCAGAATTTCATGTTGACGTTTGTTCAATAATACGTTTTTTTGTACACAGGTGAGAGTGGACAAGGAAAATCAACTTTGATAAATTCATTATTTTTGACGGATTTATATTCATCAGAATATCCAGGTCCTTCTATGCGAATCAAGAAAACAGTCAAGGTAGGTTTGACTCCAAAATCACATGCCCTAGTTTAGTTTCCATCAGTTAAATCAAAGTATTTTGATTTTGGTTGGACTAGTTTTGAATTGGTGATTCAAATCTTATGATTAAAATGTTTTTGAACAACTATATAGCCTCACTATACATACACATAAAGAATTTTAATTTTGTAACATTTTATTTGACGAAAGCCAGTCTTTAGCGAAGTTTATGAATTCGTCAAGAGTTATTACAAATACATTTTCCATTTATAGTACTTGTTTTAGTACAGTTCTTGATAGATAAGGATTTGATTAAATTTTTGTCAGCTGCGTAAATATATTTGTGCCACCACTCTCATTGAAAATTAGTCTATCGATCAAAAATCATTTGTTATCAAGATTAATGTAGTATGCCTTTTTAATGCCACAATACCCACAATACTGTACAATCTATGAAGATACAAGCATTACGTGACTTTTCAAATATTAGCTATAATTTCCTTTTATTAAGCACTCACTGTTTATTTTTATTCAGACAGTCAATGTAGTTTTTGATAATAATGATACCTAGATAATAATAGAACTGTTTATGGTATTCAGTTTACTTTTTATTTCATGAAGTCATACTTTATATTATAATATGCATTGGTTAAGTACCATATATAATCTGCTTTTACAATATCCATCAATAAACAGGGTTAGCTTCTAATGCAGATAACCTGTTGAATGAATAAAGTACGGTCTAGATTTTTGTTATCAAAATAAACATTGTGGCTGGTCTCACCCTTTTTTGTAAAATTGTAGCAAAGTTATGAAAAATGTCTCTAAGCTTGCAATCCTTCAACAAAATCTAATAACAGATGTAAGACATAAATATATGAAATGTAATATTCGTGAAAGATGTGAGATTGACAAATTCAAATGTATCTTTGATTTTTACCTAGGTTGAAACAACGAGAGTACTTATAAAAGAAAATGGAGTGACATTGAATTTGACGGTAGTTGATACGCCAGGTTTCGGAGATGCCGTTGACAATAGTGATTGGTAAGTATTACTTTAATAAGGCTTACTCACTCACTTTGAAAATGTTAGTCTTGTTATAATGTTGACAAATGACACGATTAAAAGTAGGATATTACTCATGCTTCTGTCATAAATGAAATGTGACAGAAAATAAACAGCTTGTCTTAAAAGTTTGATGAATTGCAATTTCCTTAGGATAGGATTTCATTGATATCTCCGAGTACGGAATGCTGCGATAATTGGTTGAGCTCTAACTTCCAATTAGCCACTGCGTTTTTATTAATTAAGAGGCCTGCTGGAGTGTTTTGTTTTTGCATTTTTTGCATGGTGTCTTTTATTGAAAATTTGGGTAAAATACTAAGAATATCATAAAACTTCTAATGTTTGGAAGAATTTTATTTCATTAATACGGGTCTAAGTATCAAGTTTTGTTATTACACCAGTTTAGGTTTAAATAACAGCCACAGCATTTAGCTTGCTTTAAAAAATTTGGATTCAGTATTCTGAAATTAGTTTATGTATTCTAGGATAGTAATGTTTTTTGAATTACCTGCACCTACATGAAAAACAGGTTGCTAACCTTATCCCACGAAAATATAGTAAAGTATAAAATATTTGTACGTACGGAATGCCGTTGCTTGCATTACACAGTTGATCGCCTCTACTAAATTTGCTACATAATCGTTTAAAGGTGTCACGTTACATTCTACGGCCCAGTAATATGCCGCTAATGTGATCCACGCCCATAAAAATTAACTGAAATTGCTCTCCTATACCTATAGCACAACCTCTGCGGCAAAATTGTTGCTACATGGGGTTGTTTTTTTGTTTGTTTTTTTACTATAGGGCCTACGTAACTAAGACAGAAATTTATCAATAATGAACCTTTATTAATAAGAAATTAAAATTTTTAAAAAGCAAACAATTGAATACATTTCATACTAATACTATCATCTATAAAGTTAAATATTGTATTTCTAAATAAAAATAGTTTCATTAATTTATAGCTTATTTATTATTAAATGTTCATGAATATATTTAATCATGTTTAAGTCAGAGCTGACATGGGCTCTTGAGGCATATCCATATAGATATTGAGATGAGAAAAAGTGATTACCGGTACTCTATTATAATTTAATAGCTAATTAATAAAACTATTTTTCGTATGCCAATTGATGGCTGTCAAATTTTACCGAAACACAAATGTGTATAATTATGTTTGGTTTCTATAATTAGTCTAGCAATGTAGATATCCATGGTTTTGCTTGGATAATATGGGATTCTAAAATAGACTTGAAAATTGTGGTGAATCATAATTCCACGAATTTATTAGATATTAGTGGATGTTAGTACAGGGCCATGTTTGAAGCGAAGGGCGTCATATAAAAAGAACTATAAATCAAATTGAAAAACTAATAACAAAAACACATTTTTCAAACAGTCGTTTTGCTATAGACTTTTACCATACTTGATTCTTGGTAAAAAATTCTTTCAATCATTTAACAAATTCATAGATAACAAAAATCAGCAATTACAAAATTATTTGAAATAAAAACTCTAAGCTTCAGTTTTGCTACTATATCATCAGAGACGAGTTATTGAATTGGATAGGTTCACACAAAAGTCGATGTCTCAAAATGTTGATAAGAAATTCATGAATTATTGATATAGGCATGCCAATGACTCAATTCAATGAGGCAATTTCAGTAGTGATTTCAAAACATAGTGGTAATTTCCTGACACTGAATACCATGATCGTGTCATCATCTTCATAGTATTATGAAAAATGAAAGTAAACCTTCTTGAAGTAAATTTTACTTATATATCAATGCCAAGTTAGTGAAGTAAAGTTAGTTAGTAAACTGAAATTGTGGAAAATTTGATCATGGAAAATTTATTTTTTGTGGATGTGGAAACTTAGGTATATGGATGTTGAATATGGCAAATTTTCAAGGGGAGCTCACCTATACCTACTATAAAGTTTTGCTTGTACTGTCTTGCATATTGTAATATATGAGTTGTATACAACAAGATGATTTGATTCTATTATATTTGTTTTTAGTTGGCAACCTCTCATCGGGCACATAGAGACCAAATTTGAAGATTACCTCAATGCAGAATCAAGAGTTGACAGAACCAGGGTTGCGGATAATCGTGTGCACTGTTGTCTGTATTTCATTGCACCATCAGGGCATGGGTAGGTTCTATTTTCCTACAAAGAGTTATTTTGAATTATTTAAGATTTGTACTGGAAGGCTGTCTTAAAATTTAAATTAGTGAAAATTTGGTTTTCATTTCAGAATAATTTTTTTAAGTGCATTATGCTAGTTTAGAAAACAGTGATTGGTAGAAGTCAAGTCTCAATTGTGGTTAGTTGATGACAAATGTGAGTTACTCTATTTAATTGACTCGAGTGAATTCGAGTCTTCGATGAATAGTGACTCGAGTTGAGTTATTGGCTCAAACGTCTTCAACAGTAATTAAAAGTAGAACAACAGCAATGTTCAGTTTGAAGCTTTCCTAATTCATTATGTTTTATACCAATTGAATACCCTGAGATGTACTACATTTTCATAACTCCAAGTGCTCGACCTGATTTTTAAAACTGAACATTGAACTTTTATTGCCTCCCTTTTGATCATGAACAGGGATGTCCAAAATAAATCGCATATTAAAATACAATTAAAAATCATTTTGAGCATAGATAATCACATAAACAGATAATCTAATTGAATATAGGCCTATTCAATTTCTGATAACAGTGAAAAATGGAAAACGATAAAACCAAGTTCGTTTTTATTTCTTTTTATTGTAGCATTGTGTTCATATAGATATTGGTAGATATATTAAAATTTGTGCTAAATTTTCTGTTCAATATAACTCCATTGGGAATATATTTCATCTTCAAAAATATAATTTCATAAAGTATTGGATAAAGATTTGTTCAAATGTGGCTATCACTTATGAATAAATTGATTTGTAAAATTTAAAATGATATGCTAAATATTGACTACCATTTTAGTGTCTTCGTTTTATGCCATATAATGGTCTCTCATGAAATAACAGCTTGTGTTAGCGCAAACGAAGTGTATCTTATGCATAATGAGCCTACTGTATAATTGCGCGGTATGGTTTCGAATGCAGACTTACCGCACACACACTTCATCACTGACTGTGGCATATTTCACATATTTTTAGTCCACCGCCTTTAATACAATTAGGTTATGAGAATTTATCACTGTCTAGTTTCTGACAATCCTGCAACTTATGTATATATTATCTTTCCTATCTGGTAATATATAATTATCATTGGCACATGCTTGATTTAAATTGAAAAAATGTTCTATATGTAAAATTTTGAACTGTGTGGATGATCAATCACTTAAAACTATTACACTTTGAATAAAATTTAACTCATGTTTCTGTACCATGTTATGGAGAAAAAAACACTATTTTTCAATTTTACCGCAAGAAAATGTTCTTTTAAATTCTATGAAATCGCATATACTATACTCAGGAATGTCCAAAACTGAGTAATTGACTATTTAAAATACATTCAAAATAATATTTTCGAATGTGGAATATCGAATCTCTTCTAAATTGGGTCACGTTTAACAAAGAATACATATTAGATTCCATGAATATAAATGTAGCAAAGTTGCAGATAAACAGTGAATTAATTGATTTTCCATTTGCTGAAACTATCAAAAATTTGAAACTTTTTAGGTCATAATTGTAACACTTCATTTGCTCAAAATGACAATTTTTAAAATGCAAATATTCTAAATTATTACTAAAATAAAGAATTTAAAATATCGAATCTAACTAGTTCAAATTGATTTATACCTTATATTTCAGTGTATTTGACTGTTTTTACACAGACAATATTTTTGTTGTGAGGCTGTTTCAGGCAGACAATAATTTTGGGTGCATCACATGTTTAGTCCCTTTGGTAATCTTGATAAAAATTGCCAGATATTCAAAGATTGTCAAAATCTTCAGTTGTATATATTTCATAATACTTCGCTACTTGGCATATTCCTCTTTACAAAAAAAATTCTAACATTATCTTTCATAACGGAAACATGATTAAACTGTGGGCTGTGGCATTCCTGATACTGGAAAGAATTTTTTTCAAAAAAAACGTATGGTACTGCAAAAATCATCGTAATGATTCAAACATTTAATATTTTTATGAAATTTTTGCATTTTCACTTCTTTGTATTTCTAGATTGAAGCCACTCGACATTGAATTTATGAAAAGATTGCACGACAAAGTCAATATACTTCCATTAATTGCCAAGGCAGATACAATGACGCCAGAAGAATGCAAAAGATTTAAAAAACAGGTGTGCCTTTGTTAAATATATTTATTATACTAATAAGAGAAGTGAACTCTGCTTGCCCACCAAGTTCAAATATTGAAGCATTATTTTCTATTCAAAGCTTGAATTCATTCACATTTTTTCTGAAATTCCACTGCAGAAACAAGTCAAGTCTAGGGCTACATGATGCAATAAATTTACAACATGATACTTGGCAGATTTAAGATGGACAGTATGAGTGTTTTTAACACAGAATTTTTAAATTCATAAATTCCATTATTAAATTTCCTTGGCTTATCTTACTTAGAATGCAGTAGTAATTTATTGTTTAATAAGATTTGCAGCTATTTCTAGAAAATGACATTAGAAATCATGTGATGTTGATACTTTCATTTATGATGTAATAACATTGCAACAACTGTACGCTGCAATTCTTTTCTTCCACGGACTAACACTCTCGCTTATTGTTTTACAGATTCTCAAAGAAATTCAAGAACACAAAATCAAATTGTACGAATTTCCGGAGTGCGAAGATGAAGAAGAAAACAGATTAAACAGAAAATTAAAAGTAAGCGTCGGTGTAATACTATTTTGTGGTGGTGGTGGCAACCGCCTAAAAAAGCAAACGTTTGACTTCCGCATATGCTATTTCCTGTCTTTATTGATTAGCGAGTTCGAACTCTCAGGACATTTGTATTGCGTGAAATATCGTTCTGCTCCATACCGTAACATAATATGTAATTGGGTGCATTTGGAAAATTGGACGGTATTTCTGGCTGTGACATTGAAATATATATAACGGAAATTGCTTTTGCTTTTTAAGTGCTATGTTGTCATTTGGCTTCTACTTGAATATATTTCCAAATGACCTATTTTTCAAAAAATGTTATTCTTATTTTAATTTCAGTGACGTATTCAGATTATCATATTACTGAAAAAAATATATATTTTCGCAAATAATTATTTTTCTAAATACTCCACAGAGTTTTGCAAACTCATGAATTGTGTAAATTTAACACAAATTATGATTTTGCATGATTAATCCTGTATTCAGTTAATGTTCATGAGGAAGTCTGACCTTGGTGAGGTGAAACTTGTGCTGCAAGACCTCGGTAACTATCACTAATCGTGACTTTGCTGAAAAGGGGTCAATTTTAACAAATAAGTCACCTTTTCAAATGCCATCAAATATAAGATTATGGTACTTTAATCTGAAATTTCAAACCAGTCGTTCTCAAATGGTGGGGCGTGCCCCACACGGGGAGCGTAGACAATTTTTTGAGGTGGCGTGAAGCTTTTTAAAATTAAAAAGATTCGTTAGATTTGATCTTGCCTGCCTTATTTTGGAAATTTACATTTTATCCACATATTTTCAACATGTTTTTTAAATAATGCTTAAAGATTTGAGAACCACTGGTTTAAACATATTTATATAATGTAACAGATAAACTAACTTTTCAGTAGTGGTCATTTCTAAATAACAAATCTAAACTTTCTATTCGATACATCCCCCAATGAAAATGTTTTATATATAATATTGGTATATAATTCATTTTCCACAATAATAAATGCAACATCACTTATTTAAGTCTGGCGTTTTTTTATTTATTATATAGATCAAAATATCATCTCTTATTTTTTAGGAACGTGTACCATTTGCAGTCGTCGGCAGCAATACAGTTTTGGAAATTAATGGACGAAGAGTTCGTGGTAGACAATATCCATGGGGCGTTGCAGAAGGTTTGTTGACAAATGTAATGTGAAAATCTATATTAGATTGTATACTCCAATAAGCAGATTAAAATATGCCCTATTTAGGTCAAAAAAAGATTTGTATCAAACTTTTTAAAAATTTCCAATTAAGACTTTTTGCTTTATGCAGTTTTTGGTGTTCAAATAATTTTTGTCATCCTTGTTTTGGGTATTCCAGCGTATAGGGTGTATTGATGTAATTTTAGTCAAATATTGATATGCATAGTATTAAAAACTTGACATTGGTACTCTTGATCTTTACTTTTCTTTCCGAGTTATGATAAAATTTATATATCTGCTTTGTTTATGCAAGGCGGAAGAATGAAAGGCATTCCTATTTTAAATGACGATATCATTTATATATAGTTATTATTCCTAATGACTCATTAGCACATATCAATAAAACAATTTCTGTGCTCTTATTTGCATATACTGAATTACATATTCATATTTTCTGCTTTTAGTTGAAAACATTGATCACTGCGACTTCACAGTTCTACGTGATATGTTAATTCGGTGAGTAATATGAATAAAACTAGAAACTGTTTATGTGTAAATTTTATCCTTTTTGGGTCCACTTTTAAATTACTAATTATTATAATGGTAATTTTACTTTCCTAGCTATTGGAGTACTATTTCTTTATTTCTTTTATTTTCACATATGTGACAATTTGCTTCAAAAGGTATTTTGAACATAAAATTTTTCTTCTTCTTTTTCGCTACGTTTTACACAGACATTAAATATAAAGTATCTATTACCGGTACATCTTTTTCCAGTGGTAATTTAACATGAGGTCGATCAGTGCATTTTTTTATGCTGTGATTAAACACATAATCACAAAGAATTAGCATATCATATTTACCGTAAATAAACCCCAAAGGATGAATTTTTTTTATAAAAACCCCTTTTCTAATTTATGTTCTATGTCTTTTAAGCACCCACATGCAAGATCTGAAGGATGTCACAAATAACGTACATTATGAGAATTATAGAAGCAAAAAACTTTCCATGGTGACGAGTACATCAACTGGAGGACCAAAACCACCAACGAAGTATGTGGAACAGTAAAATAATTTTTCTTTGTATTATTCAAAATAAATTAATTTCCTGATGATTCAGATATTAGAACCTTGGGCGTCGCTAACTAGTCATATGCTTTGAGTACTTTGCAGCTACCCTTCCCGTCAAAACTGTGTGTTGATTTTCTCCTCATAATTTTGTTTGCCATCGTTTTTTATTTTACTGGTAGAATCAAAAAAAATTGACTATGGATTATACAAAATGAGTAAATCAATAATTTAACCTTGTGTTGTTGGGATGCCGAACGGCTGTTTTTATATATGCTAATGACACTGTTGATAATAGTATAGGCTATGTATCAAACTTTGCGAGTTTGGAGGTTAAAAAATAAGTGCTATTGATTAGGGTTTTGCTGGACCAACTACTTACCGTTCTATGCTTTTGTGCCGATGGATGCGTATGCATATAATGCAAGCAATAGTGAAGATAACCATACTAAGTGATTCAAGAGTCTTGCTGCACACTAACACAAACAAATTTATGTTTGATGATGCATCAACACTCTTGAATCACTTTAAAATCCTATTTCGGTGTTATAGGATTTCACTTACTGCCTACTGAATTTGTACATTGTGTGAAACTGATTCAGCGTCAAACGCGTTACAATCAAATCAATTGCTTCCTGTTTAAGCTTCTATAGTTGAGGGTTTGATTGTTGCATGAAGAATTCTGTAACATCAGTAAGGCTTAATCCTGTTGTTATTGCGACAACAGTATTGAACCATGCGCTCAGTTGAAAGTAAAACGAAGTGATTCAAATTTTGTTGTAACTCCTTAAGTTTAAAACTTACTTTTATATGCAGAAAATACAATTTACTAGTTATGTCTTCTAATGGTTTGAAAGTAATTGGACAAATAAAACATGTTTTTTTTATTAATATTAAATAAAATATTGTTCAAATTTGGTTTAGAGTTGGATACACATAACTAAATTGTTTCATTTTACATATCGAAGGTTGAAGAATGGCCGAATGTTGAAATCTCAACAATATAATGTTTTAAAATATTACGCAGAAATGGGCGCTCCGGAAATATTTGTACCAAGGTGACGCACAACCTGAACAATCCCAACCTGATGCACATACTAATGTTCAGGTTGTGCGCCATCTTGGTACGAGTACTTTGGAAGCACCGAAATAGGTGCTGTTTAATTAAGCTGGTATCGAATCATAGTTTGGAGCAATATTCACCTAGTTATTTCAATAAGAAGTTATAGGAGTTTAAAAATGAAAAAAGGGTGTCTTATTTACTTAAAACTGATTTTTCAAGTTTGCCCTCTTCAAGTTATAGCCCTCTATATATATACTGTTTTTATATTATTTGTTCTTGTTTTTTATTTTGGGAGGGGGGGTGAAAATAGTCTCGGGTAGAAAGTTTTCAAACTTGTCATGAATCGAGTTTCTAACTTGCAGAATCCAAATTCTCTTGCATCCAACTTCGTGAATCTAATTTTATCACACATACCCTTAGAAGCAATTGTCGATGCATTGTAGAACGCAGTTTCATCAAATCCCTATTTTTAGGAGTCCGCTACAACAGATGGAAGAAGAAAAAACAGAGCATGTCTTAAAAATGAAGAAAATGGAGAAAGAGATGGAAGATGTCTTCAAAATGAAAGTACAAGAGAAGAAACAGAAACTGAAAGATTCAGAAGCAGATGTAAGTGATAATTATAAATGACAGAAAATGACTACCTTATTTTGTTTGTAACTGATTACTTTTTCTTGAAAGATCCTAAATTCAGAGCAGTGATTTTCAAACTTTTTATTAAGCCCTTTTTTAGAATTTGTCAAGTCTCACGCCCAACCTCTAGGGTAACTAGCTAACAATAAGCTACAAATAACAGATAATAAGGCGAAAGTATGTTTTATTCAAAAAAAAACGTTGAAAATACGTGGATGTGACTTAAATAAGGCGGGCAAGATCAAATCTAACAAATATTTTTATTTTTAATTAGCTTCGTGCCCCCTCTCGCTTTGCAATGTTGGAATCTAGTGATTTTCACGTTCTGGTTTTTGTGTTAGTTATAAACACTATAAATAAAAGTGTTGGAGAGGGAGAAGCTCGAGTCAAACTCGACTTGAGTCAACCTTGAGTCTGCTTGATAAAATGACTTAATTTATACTCAACTATCTGCCACCGAGACTTAAATCATGGGTTGACTCTAAGCTCGGTGATGTCTTAGACTACATTTTCTTCGACTCAGGTTTTAGAGGCATCTACCAACACTGGTTATAAATTAATTAAACAGTTCATTTATGGAATTTGCAACTGCATATTTGTGCTACTCAGATTTAGCAAATTTCATTAGAAACCCATTCATTCTAGGTCATTGATATGGAGATTAATTATGAAATTATCTTTTAAATTAATAATGATTATTTTTTCTGTAGATAGATTTTTTGCAAAATCAAATTTTCTTGATAAGTCCATCTCCCTGTATTGTTGTTGTATTAACTTAATTTAAATTTTTCACCACTCGAATATTTCCATTTTTTGTTGCTTTGTTATATTATGGTATTTACACAAATGATTAAAATCATTTCAAATGTGTTATATAACACAGTTTGTTAATTAATTGTTCCAGATGTTTAATATATCATATACTCACCACAAATTAATATTATGTATTTGGCGAAATAATTCTGAAGTTAAATTTAAAATGGACGTACGTATTAAAATAGGTGATTTACATTTTCTCAGGAAAATATTTTGAATAGTATCGAACTTGAAATAAAATATAATTTCGACTACAGCTCGGACGGCGACATGAAACTATGAAAAAGAAGTTGGAATCTGAATATCATGATCTTGATGAACGTCAGCGAGAATACGAGAAAGAAAAAGCAGATTTCGAAGCTCATCAAGCAGCTCTCCTGGAAGATAGGAAACCAGACAAGTATGATCATCTTTTTATTTCAGATTTTCGTAGTTTTATTATTAATTATCTACGATTATCTTGATTTTGGGGCAAAATATAAAAATCTGGTATATAAAGTTTATAGTTTTAAGTTGAATCTTTTGAATTATTAAATATATTTTCGATATGAATCATTCCGAGTTATTGATGCGGTCTTGATTCCAGCAAATTCAAAACACAACTCTTAAGTTTATGGTACTATTTATACAAATCAGATGACCAGAAAATATTTTATTATGCTTTGATGCCTGGACTAATCTTTTGAATGATTTTTAATAAACCATTCAGTGATTATCTCAAATTCTCAAGATTAGATTCAAAAAAATAATGCCTATGTAACCATAATGCCTATCAAAATTCATGTAGATTACGTTAAATAATGTATGCCATAGAATTAAAATGATTAATCTTTAACTATCAATGTGATGGTGAGCTCTTTTTAGCCCACATAACAATGTTTATTCACACTTCTAACAATTTTAAATTATGTCTATAATGATAAATGATTATCATGTACATATGTACTGTTATCATGTTATATTTTGCCCTGTTTGCAATGATTACTGATTAGTGTATTTGCTTTTTGTATTCCAAGGGAATCAAAAATAAATCAGTGTATTAAGCATGCTGAAAATGAAGAATATATGATCACTGGAAATTGGATTTTATTTTCAGTTGACCGATTGTTATACTGATGTAACTGATTCCTTGCTTTATAAATATGTTATAAGAATATTAAATTGTGAAATAATTTACTCCTATAATATCTGATTCATGATTGCAATGTTGGTGGCTAACTATATAATGAATGCATGCTTTGCTAATCGCAGAATAATATTAACTATGTCCAAATTTGATTTGCATATCGAGAACTCAATCATAATATTTAATGAACCAATTATGGAAGAAGGCTTGTAATAAACAGTCAGTATTACAGAAAAACTTAACAGAATAGTGCTATACTCAATTTGTCTTAGAAAAATGCATTATAAAAGCTAATGCTTCTGTTATTAAAAGTTCTATTTATTGTTATATTCCCATAACTTTTATGACAACTTTCCAGAAAACATGGTTTATTCAAGAAATAAGTGTTGTCAAAGTGCATGGGTAAGAAAACCACTTATGGCCTTTGTAGTGCTGTGACGCAAATTACAAACATTCTTATTGTAATTTGGAGTTATGCATGTTTCCACTTTGATCTGGTGCTTTTCGTTTCTGTACCCTGGCCGATTTGGATCCTCTTTTTAACATTTAGACACCCTAGCTCAATATAATTCTGTTTTTTGTTTTATTTACTTTCTCGGTATTCGTCTGTGTGTTCTCCATGCTTTGTTTGGCACGTCGAAAACTACTCCTTATTGCACCACCATTATTATGCACTGATTGATTCTACTACTGACAAACAGAAATACGGACAAGAAAAAGAAGGCCAAAACCCTCTTCTAAAAAGAAACATGAATGGTCGACTCCTTGACAATGCCACACTTCATTCAAAAACAATCGCAGTGGCTCCTCACCTTCTTGCCCACAAGTATTACCACCACCTTGGACGCTGAATGATCACTCCAAGACTACTCCAACGGCCATCGTTTGTCATTTTTACGTTATGTTTCTGACATTAGGCAATATGCCTATAATAAGATTTGTGTTAATGCACGAATGCAACTTTATTGTGCAGAGCTGCACGTCTTTGTTGATAAAACTAGTTTTTTTTGTTTGGTTTTTTGTTTCTGATCAACACACTCTTGTTGCTAACTGTATGGCTGGCATGGTGTTTGCTTTTTAATAAGTCGTTTTTGCATTAGAGAAGCAAAGTAAGCGCCATTACTGTGTTTCGCTCAAATTTGGATTAAGTCGATCGATCAATCACCAGAGTTTGTTCGAAATCCAAAACATAAGATTATTTTTTTACTCCCGTCACTCTTATACTAACAATCATATTCCAAAACCTATTATATATTGGTTAATTAAAATGCAGCCAGATTTAATTCAGTTACTCTTTAATGCCTGATAATTAGCAGTTAATGCAATGCGTACTAACTTATAAACTGGTGACTTTTGGTTTGTGATTTTTCAATGATTCCAACATTGATTCGCTTACCAAGGTATAACCCATAAGTGAGCTATAATATACATGCTGGTTTATAGTCTTGGTAAGGCTGTTATATTAAAAACATATGTCCACAAATACAATTTGATTTTGTTCACAAAAATAATACCTTGTCAAATATTATTTCAATATTCATTATTTCTTGCTAAAAAAATATTCTGCAAAAACAATGAAAAGGGGGGTGGTGTGAACTTGCCAAGCCACTTGTTACACCTCCCTGCGAGCTGCAACCACATTATTTTCTGAGGTTATATTGGTCTTCCAGATATTTTCATACCTCATGAATACTATTTGATATTTTGTCTTTATATTATGTACGTAAACAGCTACAGATCATTAACAAGAAAGAAGAAATGGTAAACACTGGATCAAATTAACAAAATACGGTTTTCTACCGGAGAAACAGCATTCAGGGTTGTGCAAAGTTTGTCAGCATTTGAGCTATTCGCACATAGCAGTCAAAATTGTGAATTTATCAGGCACCACATTATCGATTATTTTGCAGTTGGTTATAATTATATGTTATATTTTGTTCCTGTAATCGTTTATGGTATATTCTTTTATGTCTCATATTTTATTGGAGTAATCTTTTTATCATGCTATTAATTGCATAATTTTCCAATGACCAGTCAAAATTTAGTCACTGACATTGGATGTAAAGTCCTGATTTCTTTGGATAAATAGAATGCAGTTTTTGGTCTTTAACCAAGAGACATTCTTTCTGGTATAAACATTTGGTTATGATATTTCTGAGCTCGAAACTAGTTGGCCACACTTAATATTGAGTATAATTTCATTTGGGGCAGTTTTTAGAATATCAAGCAGTCGAGTCTACAATGATAATTTTGTAATTCAGCTCTGAAGACAAAAAAAAACTAAATTGAGATTTTATGTTTTGTATATTTGTACACTTCGAATTAACCAATATTTTCGCATTTAGCACTGAACTTCAATTGTTCTGGTCTATATTGATTCATTACTTGTTTGTTGTTTAGTTTGTTTGTTTTATGTTTACATTTTTGTGTTTAAGGAAACGTCGTTTTGTGCCATATTGCATTTGCATATTGGGATTATGTACTTTATAGTCAGAATTTTGTGACAGTGACCAGTGGTTTCTAAGACATACAGATGTCGGTCAAATTTGAACTGTTTGTCCAGCCTTAAATCTTTAAATCATTATTGGGATCAGTGTACTTATTAGTAACCTATTCTAACTGGGCTACCTTGAAATAAATTCGTAATTTCATATTGAGGCTAATGTGTTACAAATATTGCCTTGTAACCATATCTGACTATAAATTATACATTTCTAATGGGTTCTGTGTTATATGTTACTGGATGAATAGCCGAATAACCTTACTTGCTCAGTGTTGGTGTAAGATATTTAACCTGAGCAAAGATATTATCTTTTTTGTACATACAGCATTATTTATGAAGTGCATGCTTATCATAACGCAAGCGAAGGTTTAAGGCTTATTGAGATTAGAACTGCCATTAATTAATTTTTTTCTCAATACCATAGCATGTCGATGATATTTTTTTTTCCATTCATATTTACGGATTGTTTGTCATTTAATCACAATATACTAATTAATGAATGCGTAAAGATATTCCTTTTGGGGGTAAAATTTTGTTGATATTGTCTTCATGGGTTTCTAACAAGAAGTGCAAAGTTTAATTTAAAATAAAGAATTTGAGAAAATTAGACATTCCAAAATATTGTACTTGTTCCATATTATTAATTGTAGGGAAAATGTAGATCATTTTCAGAAATCTTACAAATCATAATTTATTAATCTCTGTCTGGCCTTATAGCATCACTTTATTTTCTTGCCACCGACGTCCTCCATAGGGACAGCTATACCGCAATCAATATGTTAAGTGAATAATTTTGATTCCTAATGGCATGTCGTCTTGAACCGATTGATTTTTGTTTGCATTTATCTTATATTCGTTGTATACGGCAGCATTTACATAACAAAAACATCAATAAAAAGACTAAAATTTCTATAATTTTGTTGAGTTGGAGAGGTGTGGGCTTAAATGAAAGACGCCAGTTTGTGGATTATAATCTGACTTTTGAGACAAATTGAGGAAACTAAATTACTGCCGATTGCCTGCTTGTTGGAGGTTGGCTGATTTCAGATAGGCTCTGTTTTTTTTTTCAAATTGGAGAAATGCCTAAACTTTCCTATCGGTTTGTCGCGTTTTCACACAACTCTTAAACATTTGGAGGTAGTTCAATTTACCCACTCGCACACTATTTGGGGATTAAAGTACAGGAGTGATCGTAGCGGGAACAAGTAAAAATGCTAAAATATTTGGGCACGAACGTCCATTAACTGCGGGTGACAAAGTGCCTAACCCAGTTTTTGACGTCGTGCTCCCAGACGCTCTCGTTTAGCACCACATATAAATATTAATCCTGGAATCCGCGGTACGGCAGTGAGACGTATATGTGTTCTATCGTAAATATATGCAACGTCAAATGCAATCTGAGAGGCAGTTATTCTGTACTCACCATATTTGTGCTCACTATAGAAACTGAAATAGGTAAAATATGTCGCGTTCAGTCAAGAACGTCGACATGATATTAGATGGTGTTCGATTTAAGTGATGGAAATTTGAAATATATATATTGGTTTATTTCTAGCGGAGAAAAATGATTTCCCCAACAAAAGCAGTCGCCAGACAGTAACATACGTACATCTCAACGCACTTCATCATAAACATGTTGCTCATCCACACAAGTGCACTTCGTGTGAAATCAATAGTCGTTAAGTGGAGGATGATCCGTCGATAACTGCTGTACATCCGCTTGTGTCTCTCAGTTCCAAGCACATTTGACTGGCTATTAATTGAGGCTAGGCTTTAATTTGACGGGTTGTTGAACTATTAGGTAATAGTTCATTTAATTGAACGAAATAATATTTGATATTAGTGGAATGTCGAGGTTTTCTCAGGATGATATCGCTACGAACAACGAGTACGATGTTTACGGGGATAGCAGTTCCGAATCAGAATTTGGAAACGAGTTTTATGAGACTATTGACGAGGCATCACTCGGACGATCAGACGAGATTTATCAAACTCGAAAACTAGGAAATGATAAAAATAATTTGTGTTCCATCAATCAAGAACTTGATTGCGACGTCGGGTTTCATCCTCAGTCGCTAACGCAAAAACCAGTTGTGAGCTGCCGGTACGAAAGCCGAGCGATAGACAAACAACCCCCATATTTCGCCAATTCCCACAGACATCATAACCAAAATACTCACCACGAGTTAGAGCAAAAAAAATTGCGTACTGCGAAACACGTTGGATGCTCCGGACAACATGCAAATAAGATACGGCTGAAGAATTTGAACGATATGAAGAAAGTTGGGAATAAAACAGGAGTGGAAGACATAAGTAGCACAAAGATGAGAAGGTCAGAGACAGAAGAAAACGCTTCAATATCTAAGAAAAACATTGGATTTTTAGCCAGCCGCGGACCAGAAATTAACGTAAAAAGGCCTACTAGCTCTTTATGTGGTTTTAGCAATCAAGAGTCAAATCAGGACATCAACGAATCCATTTCAAATTGCCTAAAACTAGAAGAAATACCGAGTGGCAAAATCGAAAATTATAACGAACCAAACAAAATGGATGCCCTTTTCGTAAACAAAGCTTATGCATGTGATGAGATAGAAATTTGCGATTCGACCCAACCTACGAAGTCAGAAATAATCGTTGCAGTTGAAGATATTGATATGAAATTCGATAAAGGCGATGTGGCCAATCTGAAATGCTACGAAGATCAAAATAGGAAGACGTCAGATGAGGTAGTTATCATTTATTGAGCCTATTAACCTTATATTAATAAGGTGCCGACCCACTACCTCGTAAGTCCACAAGTATAACATAACTTTGACATGAGAAATTGACCGGGCGAACTTTTTGTTCCTATTTCGTTTCTTTTACAGATATGTTAAATGATATTACTGTCATGAAATAATCACAGTAGCCTATTCATTTTATGTTTATATTTTCCAGAATTACAAACACAAAACCAAAGAGGAATCAAGTACAACTGATCATAAAGCGTGTCATAATAAAAAATACACGAAAAAAAAGTTACCTGCGCCCGTTTTTGACGACATAAATTTGGCAACATCAAACGATTCAGATGTAGCTGAAGAGAAATTGGAATCACAAGAAGAAGCTCCCAAAAATTCACAGACCATTGACTCAATTAACCAAAACAATGTGGAGGATGCAAATGTAAGAAGGCGATTACCTGCAACGATGTTCCAAAATATAGATTTGCAGTTGCCACGTTCAACAACTTCTCAAACTTCCAATATGCAGTATGAATCGCGAATTAACGACAGACATAATTATTCTAGCAAGAAAAAGATTTTGGAAAGATGCCGAAGATGTTTACTACCTTTTTGTGTGATGTCCTTATTAATCATACCTGGTATCATTTATATTTGTTTTATCAAAGGAAAGTTTCAATCATTGGAGACCGTGGGAAATAATCATATAAAAGAAGGTATTACTAATAGATAGATAACCTTCATCGGTTTATCGCGTCTCCTTTCACACTGAAACGTATTTTTTTATATATTTTTTTCGTAATTATGTTTGTCCTTTGTGTACTTTTGGTATGTGATAAAATAAACTACTGACTGACTGAATACCCATCACTAAAAATTTCGCTGTCGGCATAATCTAACGTTTCGATTGTAATTGGACGCAAATTATGAGATCCATTCTTTGAACCAGACTTTATTATTGGAATTCATAACTTCGTCTTAGATTACTGTTGGGGCGAAATTGTTTTCTCCAATCGCAAACTATTTAAACCATATCAAATCATCAATGATTCTATTTTCCGATTTCATTTATATTTTACAGAGATTTTTTCTTGCGCTTTACACATCACAAACGTACAATATATGCAATCATATATCAACGCAACTAACAAAGAGACGGCTTTACTGACCTCAGATTTGGAAAATCGGGTTTGTTGTCAGAATCATTGTATGCGAAGAATAATGTATATATAATAATTATAATTTCATATGTCTAAGATATATAGAAAACACTCATTTTGATTTCACATTTATTCTTAACGTGAGCCGAGGTCAATTTTCTAACCATGTTGACTTGATATACATGTACATTACAATCCGGTTTTGAAGTAGATTTATTTTTACTGGCAGATTTCAACATTGTTCCAGCGGAATCGAACATTTGAAAAGTATTTCATAAAATGTGAGGTAGTTGAGATTGAGAAGGGAAGCGTGATTGCTTTACTTGTACTGACGATGCGTGAAATGCCAAACACATTAAATTCTCGACATATATCCAATTTTGTGAAAAGAGAAACATGCACGGGTAATAAGTAATCATTTTTTATTAGTATTATGCCAAAATACCATGAATACTCTACAACAATGTTGTGGTGTTCAATATACAGGTGCATGGAAGAATGAGCGCTGCGCTGGGGAACATTTCATAGGAAAATATAAAGTGGTGGGAGATTCCAGCTTAAAATTTTATGACGACGGGTGTGCCAATTCTGCAGTGATCCACAATTCAAAAGTTGGATTCTTTTCTTCACCTGGGTTTCACAAAAGACGACATTACAGGCCTCGTCAAAGATGCGAATGGATAATAAACGCACAGGCAGAGACACTAATCCGACTAACGTTCAAACAATTTGAAACTGAAAGATATTACGACGTTTTATCAATATACAAAGGTCGGTGCGTGTTGTGTAAGATGGGAAAATATGTACGATTTTCACTTTGCCTATTACAACTTTCTGCAACTTCTAATCAAACAATCATTTTACAGGGGTTGAAGAAGAGCAGCAACTGGTTGCCAGGTGCAGTGGATATATAGTTGAAAACAGGGATATTTTCATCCCGCTCAACAACGCAACATTGTTATTTACAAGCGACAGTATGCTCCAAAAGACTGGATTTTTTATTGTATATCATGTCGTCAAAAATGAGTTTCCGCCATGTTAGTATTTCTACATTTTTATTATTTTTCGTAATCAAGCTGGCTGTTTTAGAAAAATCATCGTGTTTCAGCTATTGGATGTTTGAAGGATGACTACACTTTAACTGCTTCCTCTGGGGGATTTACCTCATTTGGTTACCCGATAAATTACCCAAACAAAGTGAGCTGCAAGTGGATCATTTCTATGCCTAAAGACAAAGTTATTGCATTCGATATTCTGGATTTTCGAACACAAGACTATAATGACCCAGTGCGCATTTTCAAATCGAACGGCGATGAAAGCATGCTTTTTGGTAAGATCTGTGATATTATTCACATAGTTTTCAGTATTTGTAACCAATTTTGGTTTGAAATTATTTTTAAGAAACTTTATATGGAAATGTTGATCAACGACAAATTCAAACTAATTCCAACTTAGTAGTTGTAATCTTCACTTCGGACGCCTACAAAACTGATCGCGGATTTCACATTGAATATTCTTCGACAAAACGGGAAGGTACATAAGATTATTTTCATTTGCCGGCAAATGTTAAAATCGACTCGATTTTTTCTTTTCTTTTCTAGGCTGCCCAGGGGAAGTAGAATGTGATGACAGTTCATGTGTTCCACATTTTCACATCTGTGACGGAACAATGGATTGCCAAAATGGTTCTGATGAAAGCGGGTGTGGTAAGATTAAACTACCCATACCAAGATTGAATCTATTGTCTTTATATTTATGCTCAACTATCGAAAATTTAGAATCAGGATGCGGGGGAGGTTTTAACGTAAATGTTTCCCCCGATGGGAAGGTTGTATCGACAATGAATTATCCGAACAAGTATGACAGTAACGCTCAATGTACGTGGCAAATACTTGCATTCAATGCAACCCATGCGATCAGGATACAGTTTCTTGATTTCTACACAGAATTACAATATGATATATTGGAAATATATCAAGGAATCGGCAGAAATAAAACCGTTATGGGTGAGTAAAAAAAGTTTCCTGGTGAATGATAAAATCCGGAGCTATTTAAAAGTTGCTCTACTAAATTTGCGTCTTTCAAAATATGCCATGTGTATTGTACAGCACCGGTAGTACTAGTTACTTTCGTACAGGTAACAACTCTAACGTGAGACACACAGACTATAATTTTACTGTCAACCCCTTTTTTGAATACCGGTAGTCCGGTACCTATAACTTTCAAATAAAATACAATTAAATTTTATTATTTACCTGGTCATACCTGTTGATTGTCTTGTTAATCCGCAACATTATTTCCAGCTACATTCAGTGGAAGTCAAGTTCCCGCCACAGATTTCGTTGTTCCGTCATCAGTATCTACGTTACGCTTCACTAGCGATTCAAGCGTTTCGGAGCGTGGATTTCGGGCATTCGTAACTTCCTTCGCTCCAGGAGGTGAATGCACAGATATATTTTGATTCAATTCATTCAAAAAAATAAAACCATACTCTGGAATGAGAAAACAAAGAATCTGGAAAGTAAACGAAATTTAAAAACAATGGTAAAAGCGAAGAAGAAAGATAACAAATCATAACAAACATGAACAAATGTGCGCGTCTCCCTTTCACTTTTCTTATAGTTTCTTGTCGGTTAAAATTGGTAGAATTCTGTGCTCATTTATGCCGTATAGTTTTACATTCTATCATTTTATACGAATTGGCAGCTTGTCCCGGTGAACACGAATGCGGAAACGCAACCATAAAGTGCATTTCACAAAAATGGATTTGTGACGGCGATGCAGATTGCGATGATGACACAGATGAAGAAAATTGTGGTAAACAAACACAGTGGCGTTTGTCATGAAACTTGAAATTACGACATATTAATCCGATATAAAATTGTCTGTCTGATTTAGAATCAGGATGCGGCAGTTCAGCAGAAATTGACGTTGAGAAGTATTTGGTTTCCCAATTTTATCCTGAAAATTATGCCCATGACTCGAAGTGTGAATGGAGAGTGCGTACTCACAACGTCAGCAAGTCGGTATTTTAAATATTATATTATGTACAAGCAAAACAAATAGCTTACGAAAATATTTTGGTTTGCAGAATTATTATATTATCTTTCATCGAATTTGCCACTGAACAACGTCTAGATGAGTTAACGATATTTGATGGAACAGGGAGAAACAAGTCGCAAAGAGGTATTTGTTTTATTTATTCGTTGAATTCAACTTGTATGCAATAAGAGCTACATTTTTACTGTTATATAGCATTTGCATTCGCGCCTATTGGGGTACCCAGGATCTCGTCAGGGAGAGGCATTCAACAATCTGGAAAGTGAGGTCTTTATTGGGTATTTTCAGATTTGCATAAAATAAAGACTACAGTAATATTCAAATACCGATTTTAATCAAGAAGAGTTTCTTAAAACACAAAAACGTTTGACTGTGAATGATTTACCTCGCATGTTGTGTAAAATGCTTTTGTCTTCAATTTCTATCCAATTTTCTTTTAAGCCGTTTATAGCGGTAACGTGATACCACCTGGTTTTGAAAGCACAGGAAGTGACATAACAATAGCTTTCAAGAGCGACGGGTCTGTGAACGACCTTGGGTAATAAATTCTTCATTTATTTCAATATTTCCATCCACTTATAATTTGACTTACAAAAATAGTAATAATTCTTACAAATTTCAGATTTAATATCTCCATAAAGTTCGATGACAGAGGTGAGTGTCCTGGACACTTCACTTGTTTTACAAATGAATGTCTAAACTGGACAAAGGTTTGCGATGGGAAGCCAGATTGTAGAAACGAAATAGATGAACTGAATTGTCGTAAGTTCATTACACCAGAACTAATTTGTACTAAATCGCCAACTAGATTTGCAAACAGTTTTTAATCGTAAAAGATAGATCAAAAAATTGCAGTTAACATTAGGTTAAATGCAGTATTAGTTTGATTTGTAATAAAATAATATTCTCATCTCTTTTCCAAACCGTGTTTCTTGTCACGTTAACATTAGATTTTGCCATTCGTTTGGTTTATTTAGCCATATAAATCTGATGTATTAGTTGGAAATTAATTATATGGTTTATTTTTTGGTCTGGCATAAACTTTCATGACCAAGTCAACTTATTTAAAGCATGTTCTTTAATTGTTTCTTGGTCATTAAATATGAAATAATGTATTTATAATTCCTTTTTGTGTGTCTATCATTTTTTCGTTTTTCAGTCTTTTCTTGCTTTAATATTTGGTGGTATTACTGGATATTTGAACTTACAACTATTACCAATGTATGACTTTTAAAATTTATAATATTGACCATACTATTAGTTCAATATTATTCTATCAATATCACAGCATCTGGATGCGGAAAATCTAGAGAGTTGGCGAATGTTTCTGGTCACTTTACTTCGCAAAATTATCCAGGATTTTACTCTGACAATTTAAATTGTGAATGGAGAATCTATTCTAAACGGAACCATCTTATTCAATTGGAATTTGATGCCTTCGATACAGAGAAGAACTTTGACAAGTTATTGGTAATAAAAATATTCATTTGTCAGTGTTTCATATACTTATTAGTCTGGATATCTATCGTTTTGACTTCAAAAATGGACCATTCTACAAATAATATTAAATGCATGCATGCATGCATCTTTAGGCTTTCTGTATTACCCATTAATACTGGGCATTTCGAATCGAATATTAAATTATTTGAACAGATTCAGACGAAAATTTCGATTCGCTGCCATCTTTTGTTTTTCATTCAGCAGTCAAAGGTCGGGTTGTGATTCTTAATTTTTTTCCTTGAATCCCTATTTTTACAATGGTATTCTGACACATGACTCTCTTTTTTCCTAGTGGTTTTTTGATGAACCCCTTTTATTATTGTATGTGAACGCTCAGTATACTGACTGAGTGTAAATTCCATGTTTCCAGTGTATTTTTGTGCCCGGAGGCATCATTACAATAAAAATGTCACACACAATGCATATCTTTCATGTGTTCGAGATTCGATTTGAAAAAAATATTCGCTTCGATTTTGAAAAATCATCAGGTATCCGAAAATGCCCAGCCCTACCCACGACACGACACATTGCGCACCCTATTACGGTACACCAAATGCATAGTTTGTACGGTATATACATCAATTGCTGCTTGTGTACAGTTTTGTTCAGAGCTAATATATATGATAAAAGCAACGTAAAAATATACATTATTGCAACATTATGAGCAACTTGTTTGAGGACGACAGTTTTCTCTTGGTGGGTGGGACAAGGGATGGACGGTTTGGTGAAACGACGCTGATTTGAGTGATATAAATGCCCATGGAACTTTTCTAATCTCCAGGTTTTCAGAGGAGTTAATGTCAGAACACGAAAATATGTTGGATACTATAGTGGAAACAAATCGGGCTCAGTGTATCGATCTCGATATCATCAAATATCAATAGTGTTCACTTCAGATGAATCAACCACAAGATCGGGATTCAACATTTCATATAAGACGGGAACCCCTCAAACTCTGAAAGGTGTGCTTCAAATATATATATATATATATATATGTTTCTGTAGCAGCAAATCGGTATTTCTATCGTATGATATGAGGAATTAAGCATACTAACGAAGACATTATCTATTTCTAGCGTGCCCAGGAAACTCATATATTGTTGCTTTGGGAATGGAGTCAGGCGAAATAAAGGATGGTCAAATATCTGCGTCTTCAGCTTTTTCTCAGCAGTGGAAACCAAGCTTAAGTCGTCTCAATAATCGAAGGGGTGCCTGGATAAGTGCTAAAGCTGTTCTACCCCGACACAGATCGTATAAACTGCCTACAACACAGTAAGATATACTCACACTAGTGTAAAAAGCGCGGGGTCAGTGACATAAATTTTGCGTGGTGAACATTTTGAGTAACATCATAATAGTATTATAGAAGTCACCATCGCATGACGTAGAAAATAAACATTTAGGAAATCAAAAATCAATCGGGCTTACATTATAATGTGGGGTTATAATTATTTTGTGAACGAAGAGTTTGTAAGAAATAAGCGTATGGTACAAGTGTGACGAATTCATTTACAAATAGCTATAGGATGCAGTTACGACCGGGGCACGCTCTGATTTTCGTAATTACCACTTTTTGTCAACCCAAGACAGCAGTTCCAAATTTTTTTGGAGCTATGGGTCTCTTCGATGGTTTGCCAGAAAGCTTGGTGCCTTCAAATAAAACCAGTCGGTAATGTTTTGTATTGATACTTTTTCCGATCAAAACTACATATAGAAAATGCTTTGAAGGAGGATAGTATGAGATGTTCTCATTTTGTATACATGCAAAGCTCACGCCCTCCCCATCAATATTTTTTGTGAAACCCTGCTGTTGATCAATGTACCTCTGACTTAAGGTCTTGCGACTTTTTCACAAGCGAGCGACTTGCAAGTTTGTTTTGAACTAACAATGGATTTAAACTAACGTAAAAAATTCCTTTACATGTATAATCCTTAGTTAAACCCTGTTAATCACTATACATACAGGAACCAATGGATTCAAATTGATTTACTGAGAAATCGTGTCGTAACTGGAATTGTTACACAAGGATTCATCTTGACGTCAGGAGATTTATTTGTTACATCATTTAGCATTTTATTTAGAAAAAGTAGGAAGACGTGGAGAGAATATAGAGAGGGAATTGATCCACGACTGAAGGTATTCCCTATACGATTCAAGTTTCCTATACTGTATGATATATCCAACAGCATATCGCTTCAACGAATTGTTCGAAGGAGAATTCTTCAGATTTTACTCTCAATAACCCATTGAAAATTCATCTTTGCGGTCTGCCAACATGTCATATCACCATTTTACCGGATGAAACTACATCGCTAGATTTAAGTGCGGCTTGCCTGCTTTTTAATTGCCCTTCCGCTTAATTGGAAATATATATATGTGTTTGTGTATATATATACGAATTTTCCTTTCTGTACATCTTTTTCAAAATTTTGGCGACCATACTTTGCCATAAAAGTCGGAACTTCTGTCAAATTTTTCATTGATTTTCTACACCCTGAATAACATGTATTCTGTACTATATCATTTTTATATTTTAGGTTTTTAAAGCAAATATCGACGGTAGAACTTCTTGCAATATCCAATTCAGTCATCCTTTCGCTGCAAGATATTTGCGTATTATTCCACGCAGTTGGACAGGACAATATATTGTGATGAGGATGGAAATATTGGGATGTAGCGGATCAACTAGTTTAGCTAATGATGATGGTATCCATAAACAATTTTATTTAACAAAATAACAATATTTTATTTCTCGCAAGATCGTGTGGAGAACAACTGCCTATCACTCGTTCCACGTATTTTTTACTACTAGATCCGTATTTAACCTGTATACCCGTATCTCTCACAAGGTTGCTCGATTAAGATGAAGTGAAGTGTTTATAGCCACAAAATAGCAGAATTTCATTCTACATCAGGGGTGTGCAACCTGCGGCCCTTGAGGGAAAATTGTGCGACCCGTGGAGAAGCCAAATTTGAATGATGTGCGGCCTGCGAAACGAGTTATTAATTCAATTTGGTATGTGCGAGTAATTCCAACTCCTTTGCGTTTCGAAGCCTAAGTCCAATTTATTATCTATGCATATGACTTTACAATGCCTTAACAGCTGGCTTGTGCAAACAAGGCAAGTCACAAGATTAATAACAAAATTTTTGTGCCTGCAACTACTAAAAAAACTAGGTTGAGTAAAAGTGCGTCTCGCGGTTTTATTCAGTTATTTCTATCGGGCCCTTCTGTATTAAAGGTTGCACACCCCCGTTCTATATAATAATGTCTTATCACACACAATGGAGCTAGACTGTGATTTAGTGAAAGCTTGATGAAACCCGTAATATGTCATGCGGAGTGAGATTTGCTCTTTTATTGATTTAGTAATTTAATGATGGAAATAATTTTCTTGCGTTGTTAATGTTATTCATTACCAATTATTACTTATACTTTTCTATTTTCCCATTTGGCGTCAAGGTGGAAGGAAAATTACGAAACTTTTAAAATTGACTGTAAATCAACTGCTTTCAAAAAAATTGTGATCCGTATCTTGGAAAAAATTTAACATGAATTAGGTATTTATCATCTTCGCTGCAAGTAGGTTCCTGGACAAGCGCCATAGATTCACATCTGTATTGTGAATTTGTGAATTGTCCACGGAGCCAAATCATTCTCTTTCAAATGTAAAACATTCACATAATAGCTCTTCCTAACAGAATGCGGAGAAGATGATTTTGAATGTGGTGATGGAACATGCATAAGTCGAGAATTAATTTGTGATAAAAACAATGATTGTGACGACAAGAGTGATGAAGTGGACTGTGCAAGTTAGTTTTTTTTATTTATTTTCGAACCATCAAATCTGGTTTCATAAACATATTCCAGTCAAAACGCCCTTCTGCAATTTGTTGGAAACGGAGTAGACCTATGAAGTGTTTTAATAAATTGGTGTTGTATTGTGAAAAAGCTTTTTTTCTCGCATCTAATGGACCAATCGATCTTAAATTTTCAAACTTGGATGTACAAAACTCGTTACAGGCTGTTATTTTTATTTTGTTTTAAAATCCTTCATTCCGTGCCAGCTATATTAGTCTATATTTTGGTGATCCTCATACCTCACGGGCACACCTTCATATGAAATAAGGTGTAATGTTTTTAATATGTGGTTGTGATTTTACTGACATTGCAGTAGCCGTGTCAATCATTTGACTTTCGTGTTCGTGTGTATATTTGAGCATTGCTCTCAGTTTCATTCTCCTGTTCCATATGTATATTTTATATTTTTCTAATTCTCAATGCCGTATATTAGGCGAATATATAGATTAATATAATATTTTCCAGAATGTCGAAACTTTCAGTTTAAATGTGGATCTGGAGAATGTATTCTACGCAAGAAACGATGTGACGGGAGTAAAGATTGCAGCGATGCAACTGATGAAGTATGGTTTATAGTTATAGTGATGCTTAAACTCATTTTAGAAGTATTTCGATGGCAATATTCACGCGATTGGTAAACGACAGGAATTGTATTTTAATAAGTACCACGTTATCAGCACATGTATTGTGTGAAATATCTGCATGCTCTCCACTGGTATCCGTATGTCATAAGGTCATGTTACATACAGTAATTTAAACGCCAATATCGCATTAGAACGTGCTAAAAATTTCAACTATACAAAAAAATATTCGCTTCAAAAAAATTAGTTTTGATTTCAAATATCTTACGCAAAAGTTGACGGATAATACACCTTTCTATATGCATATGCTAGTTTAATCCGTTTGGTTTTTCTTTTAGATGGGGTGTTCTCGTTGCCACGGAGATGATTTTCAGTGCCATGACGAAAGTATGTGTCTGAAAATAAAACGAGTTTGTGACGAATATAAAGATTGTGATGATTTTTCCGACGAAAGAAATTGTAGTAAGAATATTTTTGAAAAATGCTCATTAGTGGAGGGAGGTGATGGCCCTACTCTGCGAGTTCTTACCCCCGTACTATTTAAACGTACTTTAGCGGAGCAACTCCAACTGGCTCCTCAGGGGTCAATAACCACACAATAGATTGTAATGCTAAATCTTCGTATATTGCAGAGTTGTACGGTCGATTTGAAAATGCAAATATATTGAAATATACCTTGAAACCTTAATACAAGTTATACTTGTTATAAACTTTAAAATCCATAGTTACATTCCACATTCGCTACATTAGGCTGACAAAAAAATAAAATAACAAACAATAGGTTTGCCGTAATAAGTCTACCATCTTTCCATATAAATTAGACTTACTTTGCAACAATTAAATTTTTCTTGCATTTAGGTCATCCGTGGTTGTGTCCTGTGCATACCGATTACAAATGTTCTGATCGTTCGTGTGTACCTGGCATCAACTTAAAATGTAACGGCTTTACAGACTGTGATGATTCTTCTGATGAAAATGATTGTGGTGAGTTACATTGTTAGAATACTGCTTAAACATTTCCCATCATAAATGTCATTTTATCACAAACAAAATTAATAGACTACAGCCTAAATTCGTGGCGCTGAACTATTCGAGCATTGGTTACTAATGAAATATTACCGTTTTTTGTTGTATACTTGAGATCGGATCAACCGAAGAATCTCCTCCCCAGGCAGAACGGGGGGAGGGGGGATGCTTCAGTTGATGCATATATTTTATTTTTTTAAGATTGTGGCACTTCTCCGAAATTCGACTCCAACGTCATATTAGATGAAACTCTGGTATCAAGTACGAACAGTCGCAGCAGAAGATCTGTTACCAATTCAGGAAGATTTCCAAGAATAGTAGGAGGTTAGCATATTTAATATTCAACACCTTTATTTATATTAGACTTGTTTCATAGGAATTATCGAAATTATAGATGTGAGATTTTATGTTTGACATGCTCTTGCAAACTTGCTAGTTTGTTCTTTGTTTTACTAAATTTCAGCTTTTTTTCAGGCATGGATGCTGATATTGAATCGTGGCCTTGGCAAGTTTCTATCGAGAAGAGTAAGGATAAAGAACACTTTTGCGGAGGAGCTCTCATATCAAATAGATTTATTCTTACTGCAGCTCATTGTTTGGTTGCGTAAGTAGCAATACACAAATCAACTACACATATCAACTTAAAACTGTATTCTAATAGTTTGTTATTTTTTCTTTAAGTGTACTAATGTGGTTTCTGGAAACCTACACACCAGTCGGCTGCAGGCTTTTTTGTTACATTTCCATTCAATTATTACAATTTGAAAAAAAATTGAAAATTTAGGTTCTTTTCTTTTATCCACTTATACGTCAAGAACCAGGCGTTGCAGAATATAATTTATTCTGTAAGATCCGGAACCTTCCGGTTAGCCATTGACTACACAATGTATTACACCTCAATGAGAATGGAATTTTAACTCAGATTTTTATCCTGCTACGCCAAGTCCCAACACTTCAACCACAAGGCCAACTCCATCGAAAATTTGTTCCGAGAACTTTACTAATTTACCCTAAGAGAAAAACCGCCTCTTTATTGAATCCCACATTTACGAAATCGAAATTAGTGATTGTAGTGTCGGAGGCACATAATATATATATTGTTTTTTGCTCATTACAGTAAGAAAAAGGCTGATATACGTATCAAAATGGGTCTCAACCATCTAACGGAGACAGAAAATACTCAAAGTTTCAATGCGAGTCGTGTTTTTATGCATCCTCGGTATGATGCGCAGGTAATGCTCAAATAAGCGAGTTTCCATATCCATATGTAAGTAATTCGTACGGTGATAACAATAACAGGTATGGTATATGCTTGACACCCAGTATAAAAAAGCATCTCAACACAAAAAAATGAAAACGTTTTTGAGTACGTTATTTTTATTTCTTTAGACCTACGATTTTGACATTGCTCTAATAAAAATAGACGGAAACGCTACTTTGAGTGACAGAACAAGAAAAATATGTCTTCCGCCATCTAGTCATATTTTTCACGAAGGTCAGAGCTGCTGGATAACTGGATGGGGAACTACATCTGTACGCGGTTAGTTTTGCATATATATATATTGTTTGTTTAGCTGTCGTACGAATGAAACAGTGGAGTCTAGACTCCAGAAGACCTAATTTTATCATCGTATATACTTCTACGTACGTGAACGGTACTGTATTTATTTTTTCGTAGGTAGGAGATCTGAAACATTACAGGAAGCCCGGGTAGAATTGATGACAAACGACCAATGTAACAGACCAAGATGGTATGCAGGAAAAATAACTCCACGAATGATTTGTGCCGGAGATTCAAATGGAAGTGTAGACTCATGTCAGGTAAACTTTTAAAGCAGTGAACACATCTTTATGCCAGATAAGAAAATATTTCAATATACGAACTATAAATAATAACGAAGTACCAGTCAGCGGATCTATTCTATATGCGCCAGACTTGTAAAGTGAAGTTAGGTGATTTGGGTACTCGTTCAAATGTAATAAAATGATAAGCCGAACTCATTTTATATTACCAAGTCGGTCAGTCATAATTATCATTATTTCTAGTATAACCAGACCTTGCCCCGCGGAATCCGTTTCTGCACTGCATTATCATTTTGTGAAGTATTTTGCTCGCTAGTCTACAAAGTTTCTCATTAAAGGTGTTCAACTACTGTTACAGGGTGATAGTGGCGGTCCGTTAGTTTGCCAAGAGAGAGGTGGGAAATGGTTTGTTGCTGGGATAGTAAGCTGGGGAAACGGTTGTGGAGTTGCATACAAACCAGGAGTATATACAAGAATGACAGAGATGATACACTGGGTTGAAGATATAATGGAAAAAGAAGATGGTGATGGTTAAGTCCATTTCTATTACAAGCAAATCAAGTTCTAACCGGATATTTCTGGAACCATGGATTTCAGCGAACTGTTGAATATGAAACCGGAATGGTGACATGTATCTGAAGAAATCCAATCCTGATTTGAAATTTATCTCGTATCACCGAGCGCTTCACACGCGAAAGTTGGTTGTGATTGTTGAATTCAAAAACGTATTTATAGCGTTTTAATTGATGAGTAACTATACCCGGATGATTTTATGTAATCTGGCAATCTCACGATCAAATCATCTATCTGTTGGTGTGAGAATAGGCCACATGAAGTAGTTTCTCAAAATATCGTAACAAATTATTTCTATTCTCAATTTTTGTCATTAGTTTGCTAGATTTTTACTGCGCTTTAAAGTATTTATCACATAAATCGGTTGCAAAATAAATATTTTAATAAACAAATGCATGATATATATTCAAAACTAAACATATGGTTATGTCTAACGATGGGCTGCTGTTTTCATTTAGCCAAGTTCCATGTGATGATATCGCTTTTTGCTTATAAAAATAAGAGATATTTCATGAATAACTGGTAGGTACAAAAGCTATCAATATAGAAAAAAATATACAAAAAAAAACAGTGGAATGATTTTAAGACTTGCACCCCATCCAATCGAGGCTTGCAGCATGTGTTTACACCATGTACCATAATAACTATATGAAATTCTTGATTCACAGTGGTAAAACTTGCTTCAAATATCGACCGACAGAACTCCAATGAGCTGGTACTATCGCTGCAGCTGAAATATAAATTTGAGTAATACAAAGTAATCTAGAATAGAGAAAGCGTGAGAATGGCAAAATGTGATTTTACATAGACGATGAAGTACATGACAGTAGATCTATAATATCTCAAACGCATATACGAAATGTATTCGGTCACTACTCAGTTGCTTGACAATTATTTATGACAAATCCAGCAAATACAATGGAGATAGCTTCCAAACGCAGAGAAAAAAATATAACGAAAAATACGAAATTTCTGCAACACATCTAAATTTAGCTTCTTCACTGATTGTAAGCGACAGGCATAGAGAAATACATAGGCCTACTTACTAAATGATACGATATGTAACTAGATAGTTTAGTGCCCACTTTGCCAAATCGAGCGATCGTTGTGGTTAAAATACCAACAAGGGGCAGTACAAAACATGAGCAATTTTGCGACACTTTCAACATTGCCAAATGTAACGCTATTCAATTCCATACCAGAACACAAATATATTCAAATAAGTTGCAAAGTAACAAGCGGAAGTATAACAGTAATTTCAGCAATTGAATTCAACTCACCAACTGAAAAGAATGTCACAAGTAAGGCCCAACCATAGTTATATGATCTCAAAGTGTCTGCTGTTGTGAGATCATACAGATAGAAAAATTCAGGTTGAATGGGTAGAAGTAATTCAGGCCAACATGTCGCATCTCGTTTGCAAGTGTCATTTCTGTTGATCTCGTACCTGTGTGAACAATTTAATACAATAAAGAATTTAAATATCATTGGAAGGTTCTATGCTCCTGTGCCTATGCACATAACATAATTAGGCATTTTAATTAGAATGATGCTACTTCAAAGTAAAAACCCATTTTTTATTATATTAAATAGATTAATTTACAGCAAAAATGGTAACATATTAATTATTATAAAAATTTCCAAGAAAAAACGATTCCAAAAATCATCAGGAAAGTAGAAGAAACAAGCAAACTAGGGTTATAAATGTCCATATTCAAATCCTTGTTGCAAAATGTTTTATAAAATGTTCTAGTAAAATTGATTTCTACTTGCAAATTGCAATATCTTGTTCAATTTTTCAATAAATGAAGTGCCTAAACAGTAACAGGATTATTTGAATTAACCCAGTAACGCTCTTTTACATAACCTTGAAACAATTTTTGGAGAACTTTCAATAATATTTTCCAAATTGTTGCAATCCTACACAAAGCCGTAAACATTACTTTTGTTAACACTTAAAACGCCAGAAAATGATAACTGCAAACAAAACAACGCTGAACCAAATATCATAAATATCTAATGAGAGATAGTACTCACAGAGTCAGTGGAGTTGTAGCCTGCGGTGGAACTTCTGTGAATGTGACAGTGCTATATATTGGATATGTGTAAAACTCACAATTTGTTTCGCCATCTACGCAACGGATTTCCCAAGTTTCACGAACCAAGCTGAACAAATTTAACAAGTTGAGAGACTGTTGCTAACAAATAACAATGCTCGTTTAGTTTAACCAATCTCGGCTTAAAAAGCGACATAATAGCGATTTAATAGTTATATATAATCTTTACAAAACACATTACGGTAAGGAAATTATTGTACATCAAAAAGTATGAACTTTAGATTAAATAAATTTATTCCTTAGGAATTTATTTCTTCAAAGTCGGTGGCACATAGGCAAGCCGCATTTTCGATTCATACGAGATTATGTTCATAAAAAGTTTAATGATAAAAGCTAATACTTTACCGATATTGAAAAAAACGCTAATCAATCATTCTATCACAAGCACTTCTCTTTTTCTATTACAGAATACAGATAACTTGAATATGGTTCCAATGAAGATTTTAAAAATATGAACAGTTTCAATTCATTTTTTGGGGTTACTACAAAATATACTCGGAAAAATCGCTTTATTGAAGTTTTAAAAATAAAAATAGTGAGTTCATTTTTTTTGTAGTTAATAAAAAATATACTCGGAAAAATCGCTTTATTGAAGTTTTAAAAATAAAAATAGTCAATTCATTTTTTTGAGGTTACTACAAAATATACTTGGAAAAACCGCTTTCTTGAAGTTTTAAAAATAAAAATAGTCAGTTCATTTTTTTTGAAGTTAATAAAAAATAAACTCGGAAAAATCGCTCGATGCACATGAAGCATTAGTTACCGACCCGACATAATACCATTTTAATGATATTCTAGTAGCTAGTATATTAAAATAAAATAGATAATAAATGTTATTAGAATTAGGCACAAATTTAATACAGCAGAAAGTATATTTTGGTTAGAAGATCCCAATCACCGTCGTTACTGTTAAAGTTTTTCTAATATTTTTGCAGTTAAAAATGGGTATTGTAGCGCAAAATAACCAACATTTTCAGGTTTATATAGCGCCAGGTCAAACACGAGTAATTTTATTGATATTGTGATTCCGCACTCAATGTTTTTGAACACAATAAAACAAAAGAAAAACTGGCAACACTCACTCTACTCTTGCACCAACAATTTCTCGTATATCAACATTATTTCCTTCTCCTGTTTTAGCCCATAAAATTTCTAATACCACGAGACTCGGGATTCCTTGGCATTGCCCTGCAGTGACATTCTCTTCAACGAAATCGGAGATATTGCTGAAGAACGGCGAATAGAAGAGGAAATTTGTAGTTAATGTATGAGAATATAAATTTCCCATTTTATCACAGTAAGACCAGAAACTTGCGTATAAATTCAGTCGACAGATTTACTGACGTTAAAAATCAGTATGATATGTAATCCAACATACCAAGACAGAAAATATTTTGAAAATTGAAACCTGATGACCAGTGCGTAGAACGAAACCCAGTTGTTCTCGCTGGTTATGGATTACGGGGTTAAACCCCACACCCACCCACTATACTATGTTAATAAGTGTTATAAATGGGTATTGGACGAACTGACTGCAATGCTTCAAATTGGCAATTGGGTTCGTATCGGTTGCTTGCCCAAACCCTCGCGCGGACCGAAGGTGACGTACAACGCTATAAAGAAATAGATGACACAATATCTATTTCAAAGTGATTTGCAAAGAACAAAACAATTTTCCTAATTCTCGAAAAAAAATTGAAAAACAATGAATAGTTTTTAAATATAATTTGAAAATCTAAAATTTTATTGAAAATAATATGAGTTATACGAATGCGTTGATACATATACATGAACAATGTACATAAAATACACGATACTTACTTTACAATTGCGATCCAATCCACAGATGATGCGGTGTTACTCGGATTTCCAAATCGAGATACCCGATTTGCTGATAATAATTTGAGCTGCTCAGCTTCAACTAATGCACGAAGTTGAGTACAGTTTTGATAGCTGAATACAAGCGTACATCCAGATACAGAATCATATCCGAACAGAGGTTGGGTGAGAGAAGCATCAGCACAAAGACCAGAAGACGCTAAAAATAGGAAATTGACTTAAAACTTTAAAAATTGCACATTTGTAAGAAATAGCAGGTTTTGTGAAAAATCTATTTCATATAATTATTCCAGTAGTAAGGCTAATTTTGAGTCTTTTATGAGTTTCCGGATTCGGTCTAGAAAAAGTGTGCCCGCCAATAAGTCGCCAATAACTAACGATTCGAACGACATAAAGTTTATTTGATGTAACAGGAGAAAAGGATTTCGATTATACAGAAGGAATGTGTTTCTATAACTTATAGAAAAAAAAATATTTATAAAAATATTTTATAATAGGTGTACTCGGGATTCTGAAGATCATAAGAGATATAAAAATTTTGAGACGATGTTTTTGCCATTCACTAGTCACATGCGGTTACTACAAATTTGAGAAACAATAGGTTTTGCTGAAAAACACTTTCTATTTCAACTTCCAAAAAAACAATTCAAATGACACAAGTTCATCAGATTATAAATTCTAATCTCTAAATCTGCGAAAATACTTTTTCTCGTTTAACAGTGATCGATTTCGCACTATCGCTCACGGATAATCCACAACCAAACAGCTAACCACAAATGAACTGCAAAGTGAAATATTAAACATAATTCCCAAAAATCTTCAAACTTTTGCGTAGCAAGGTCGAAGAACCGCTACAAATAATTTGTATTAAATTTCAAGAGGTCATCACGCAAAATTTCGAAATGAAAAACGAATCACATAGAGCCCACGGAAAGTTTTGAAATAAATGAAAGTAATGGCCTTCTAGCGGAAACATAATCTTTAACCAGTGAAAATTTTGAAGCAATTAATGCAGTAGTTAATGAGAAAAGCAGATGCAATTCACGTCCGAAACGTGCTACCAAAATTTGCCATTTTGCCAATGAAGAAATTCACGAAATATGTGCACAGTATGTACGTTATTGATTAATCATTTTACGCGAAACATATTTAAAATGACTTAATTTAAAATCAAGACGTATGTCAACTACCGATTCCAGAAAACGTAACAGATTTAAAAAATAAATAAAAGTTCAATATACACATGCTATTGTGGTTTTTCACGATGGCAATACAATTGTTTCGTGCATCGAATGAACTAAAAACGCTATTTTTTCAATATTTTTTGAATTAAAAAAGTCACAGTAGAAGAAGATCATTTGCAACGTGTTAAATAATAGTCAGACATGATACAAATCTTGCATCTTCAATAAAGCGCCCACGAGTGACGTAGTATATATATTTTCTCTCATTTTACACGGCGTGTTCGCGCCTCCACTCCGAAAAGGCTCTATGCATCAATTTATAAGTAATGATCTACTATTTTTAGAAAAAAAGCGTTGTAATTCCGCGATGAATAAGCAATTTTTATAGGCAAAACAGTACAGGCAAAACAAACACTAAACAAACAACGACACAAAAATAAAATATGCCACAATAAATCGTCATAAACAGCTTTCATCGTGGTTTTTAAGATTTACAAAAGTTTCCAACAAACAAGATTATTACTGGGTAGCTGGTTGCAAATATCGCTATCAAAAAACGAAAACACAAATCGGCAAATTTGAACTAGATTATTGCAATCATGGGCAACAACGTTAAATTACAACCAAATTCAAGTAAAATATACTTTGATTTTCACACTATGGTGTAAATTGAAAATACTGTCACGAAATAACGAAGTCATCGAGTTTCATAGATTGTTTTGGTGATTGTTATTTGTCAATATATATTTTCGCACAGTGGCAAGTATTGTTTTGACTAGGCGAGTCTCACGAATATCAAGATAAGATCATACGCGACAGAAAAAAGCCACGGATTAAAAATAGTCATAAGAGGAATTAGGAAATCTGTTGGAAAAATAATTTAACGACTTGCTATTAACTCTTTACTCATAGATAAAATGGTAGCCCAGAAGTGTGTGTACCGATATGGAGGTAACTAATTTTGTTCGCGTACTTTACATCAAGTTGTGTAAAGGGACTGCAACCTATGGGCAGGAGGTATATTCACTTGGCTAACACATGCAGACAGTCCCGGAACTTGTAATGGAACTAAAATAAGAAAAATCGGAATCAATTTATGGCCTAACCTGGTACACACACTACGGGAGTACCGATTGAAGTCTAGAACGGAGCTATAAGTGGAGCCAATGTTTTTCGACACAGAATTGAAATCGAAAAAATATTCATTTGGATCTTCAAAGCCAGCGCAAAAACTGGGACAATCCAGTTTTTCAGAATTTTCGGAATAGGGTTATCCCTGTGAGAGGAAATCCAATAAGAGGGCCTAATCATGCGGCGTACCACGGTCATTTGTATATGATTACCAGTTCATGTCGGGTATGGGAATAGTTAACCAGTTAATTGTTTCGGATGTATGCACTTGGTATGAATAATAATCATGTTTGGCAGCGTATGTAGTCTATTTTAAAGATTAATCATGTTTCGAGATAAAAGTTCCATATTAGAAAATATTGAGTCAGTTTGAGTCAAGAAAGTGTGAAGAATAATCATGAGTTTGTTAAATTCAATTTTAGTTTTCTTCAGTGAGAAATTATAATCGATGAGTAAAAGAAGAAAATACGACGAGGTCGTAAGTAAAAACATGTTGCATTAGTGTGAATCAATAGTCAAAAATTGCTTTTCGTTTTTAAGTTAGTTGAAGTTAAGTTAGATGTGAGAGATTTGTTGTTCTTTCCAAATAAGACATTTAAATTGATTCGTAAATTACTCTATAATATGAAAAACAACAACAATTCAACAAAGTGTGCTGGTACCGGCTGTGCAAGATGATAAAATTTTGCAAATTTATTTTGATTACATGTTTTTAGGTGATTGTGGTCTAATTAATTAATTATTAAATTGAACATGGGTAATTAGTTGTTGTGTATCCTAGATTGGCCACTTAATTCGATGTGTTAATTATAAACAAGAAAGTATGTTAATTTTAATAACCAATAATTATCGGAAGAAAACCAATACTGTTATCTGTTCATATTACGTAATGACATCGGTAGTTTGCACGACAGTGTTTTACTATTTAATTTGGTTTTTTATGTTGTATTTATTATTTCAACTGGAGATGTGTAAAAAATCCAGTGTAAACAAAGGTCCAAATTTTTTCCTAATACTGATAATCAAAATTAGTTTTCAACTTTTTTATTGTGGGGGGAAGGGAAATTCTCTGTGCCAAAGTTTCTTGAAATAAATTGACCTATATCAGGAATTTAGAGCTATATCCTCTTCGATTAATATCAATTGAAATTGATTACAAAGTGTTATTCTAGAATATCTATAGTAATAACAAATTATTGGGATAAGGCCAACACAGCCCATAACTAAAACAAAGAGATGCATTTGGATTGTCTTGCTACACTGTAACATAGTGATGTTTAGTTTGATATGCATTGACACGTATTGTTTATTATCGGCATAATCTGCATTCGTGGTTTACCGAACTACGTCGAGTTGTATGTCTTGCTTGTAATGCGCACCGGCCTTTTTCATTATGATATGCAAGTACAATTTATGATTGTAGTAACATGCAGACGAACTAAAGTGAAGAGAATTCATTCAAATTTATTTGGGTTATTATTATGGGTCACGAAATAAATTAGCTGAACACAATGATTGTTGATATTCACTGGCTCACACTAAAATTCTCCTCGGGAAACGTCGTCGAGGTTTCCAAATATTTGAATTTTCGTTTTTGGTCAAGTTGGAATATTTCGAATTTGCAAAAAATATGAATTAGATGAAGCAGACCCATAAAATCACGATAACCGAAGCCAGGGTATTGTATACACCTCCCATCCCATGAAAGGACACCAACGTTTAGTAATAGCAAATTTAAAGCTGGGAAAAACAGCTTTGTGGTTACAGTGCTGTACTGGACCATGTTGGCACAGCAGAATTAAAATTCCGATTTAGTGAATATTTTACATTTTAAAATGCAACTATGTCATATATTTCGCTATCAGCATTTCTGTTTATTAGATATGTTAATTAGTAAACAACCAATACAATAACGATTGAAACAAACATTGGTTCGGAACGAAAACATCGAAAAAAAAGCTTTGTGACGTAACTTTGAAGTAATTGCATCCTCTTCATGACAGAAACCAAAAGCAGAAAGAGGAAATGTTGTTCATGATAAAAATAAGTATTTTTTATAACCAAGTCATGATATGTTTTCATATATAAATTCAAAAGCAAGAGTTAATTAATATTAACATATAAGCTAGTGAAGACGAATGATAACACGTACTTGGCCCAGAAACGAGTACCGAAGTTCACGAGAGCTAGTAATCGCACTAAATTTTACGGCTTTTTACAAAAATCTCCATAGTTGTATTGTGCCTTTATGATGCAATAATACATCGACTCGTATAGCATTGAGAAAATCACGATCAAGTAGAAATGTAAGTTTTAATATGATTGGTTGAAATTGAATTGAACTCAGATCCACCCATTTTGGCTTTTCGCCATTTTCTTAAAAATCAATCAATGTCTAAATTAATTATATTATAGAAAGTAATTAGTAAATATTGGAATATTGCTTAATTTAACAAATTAATCTTATATATATATATATGATGTAATTATGTTCGCAATCTATCAAACTATAACAGACAAACAATCATGGCTCGAAATTTACAAGAAACTGAAGATAGTTCAGATCTAAGATTAAGATTGAGCTCGAAATAAAGATGGAAATAAATTAAGGATAGTAGAATTGCGTTATGAATTTTGCGTTATATGACTGACATAAATCATATTCAAAATGAAAAATAAACTGCAAAAACGACTAGTATATGATCAGGGGCAAAATCCCATTTTCATAGATTGGTTAGACAATGCTGAAACGAAAAGATTATGGTCATTTCATGAACAGTTGATCTTGAAACATCAGTTTTGACTTATATAGGACCTTATGCTGAGAAAAAAGTGTGAAAAAGCACCATGTAAAATTGTAAAGGGTATAGTTGAAATACTAAAT